AAAAGGCGCCTTTGAGTCCTTTTAGAGGTCTCTTTTTTCCAAAAGTTCTTTTTGAGACCATTTGGACTTTGCCCGTGTCCAAGCTCAATCCAAATCTGAAAAGAGAGATTTCAGACACCCATAATCACTGAGGAAGAGAAGAAGCCAGACATTTCAACTAAGGGACAAGGCCGCAAAAAGGTTCAGACATGTCCAATTCAAGAACCGGTGGCCGGACCCAGCAGCTCACCTCGCAGCACTCGAAAAAGCATGGTATAAGAGATTCAGCGATATTCGATTCAAGAGAGATTCCAGACGCCCGTCGTCAGATTCGCCGACGAATACGAGGCCTCCGTGGCGTGTAAAGGGCAGGGTCGGAGGAAAAATCCTGTGGCCAAGCAAGTCGACCAAGATTCTTCGGACGATTCTGAGACAGAAGTAGATATCTATTTTATAAATCTAGCAGTTTCCATAACATTTTTGCTTTTCCTATAACTGATAGGGTTTGTAAACTTTTTCAGTCGCTATATTGAAAAAGTTTTGCTTCGAAAAAAACCTAGAAAAAGCCGCGTTGCGTACGCGTCGCGGCTTTTGGCGGAAAACTTTAAGTCAAACGCGAGCCATCCTTTTTTCTTTTCTCCTTCTATCCAAGTAGTGAGAAAAACTACTGAAAAACGGTTGTTCTGTGCGCAAAATTCGCTTTTTTTAGCCGAAATATCGGGAAAAGCAAGCTTTCAGGAACCCGACAGTCCCAAATGAACTGATAGATTGATTTTTCGATTAACAAAGAGCATTTTTAAGCATCGAAACTCCCTTTCATGTTCAATTTTTCCTCGTTTTTCAATAATATTAGGTCTGAAATCCTTGATGAAAATTTGTCGAGTTTCAAAAGCGAACTATCAATCAAAGCTCGAAAAACTGGGTAAAACATGCAATTAACTAAAAATCTCAGAAAACGCTTTGTGAAGCTGAAATTGAACGGCTAGAGCTCTTAGTGAAAAGTTTTCAAATCAAGTAGGTCTCTAAATTCTAAAGTTTTGACTGACTGATGAGTTTTTATACCTTTTTATCGTATCTCAAGCCAGGAAGTCGAAAAAAAACTAGAAGTTATTTTCAAATTTTAGTTTTCCGTTCTGGTATTTTAAATTTAATGTTAAGGAGAAAGTGGACAAAGACTCAGTCAAAAGAGCGAAGAAGCTGGTGAAAACCGAGTACGAGCCGATCCTTGAAGCCTACGAAGCACGCATCCAAAATGAAGAGATGGTTTACCAATCAAAAAATAACAATCCAAATAACCAACGAATCTAGGTCAAATTCCAATCGATGCTCAGTAGTTTACCCAAAGGACACGCCGAGCAACGGAATCTGAAGTTGGAACGGCCAGAGTATATCCCTCAAATGGCCCCTCAAGATTCGATAGCTCTCATGAAGGTTCGTATGAGATCGAATTGAACAGTAGTAATGGAAAATGCAGACGAAAACGGGGAAGTCGAGAGCCGATGCGAAGACTGAACAGAAAATGCGGTGTTTTCTCATCCCGTCGATCCAGGTCCTTCCCAAAATGACCTATTGGGTCCATGTGGAGAGCAACGTTAAGGTCAGTTTGATAATGATTATTTCAGAGGGTACTCGAAGGAACATATTTTTGTGGGCTTCTTAGTTTCCAAAATCTAGTTTTTGTTGTGAATCAAATCTTGTGATCTGGAATATTTAACAACCAATGTATTCGATGATTCTCTTCTCTCTTCGAATACATCAGTACATTTCCATAGCGTACATCGGCTAGATCCCAGGCCTACCCCGGGATGGTATCTAGCCGGCGCATGTCCCATAGACTTTAGGGTCTGTTAAGTTTGAAAAGAGAACGGTAGATCATACACAAGTTATATTTAGGCTATAGCCTCTCAGAATATCTTTAATTGAGGATTAATAAGTTTTTTTTTAAATATACAAGGACCTTAATTAATATAAAACCACTTTAGTTTTGAAGTTTTAATAATCGAAGTTTTATTGAGAACTCAAGGAAGCATTTGTTGTTCTTTTTTAGTAGTAAATAAGGAGTTTTGTAGGAGTGTTTGTCAGAAAACTATAAGTCCTTTCTGACCAGAAAAGTGTTTTTATTAGTGAAAAAAAATCGGTTGTTCGATTAGCGACCATGAAAAGTCTGCATTCAGCCTGACAAGGAGCTCGTTTTACTTTTTGGTTGCGAATTTCGTGAAATTACGCGAGAATATACCTTAAAAAGCCAAGTTAGAGTCCTGTAAGTGTCAACCTGAAAACTCCCAACTTTCAAGGATTTCCCAATCGTAAAGTAAAATTACCTTCCTTGTGAGCATAAGAATATATAATCTCAAACCTCACACGGCGAGCATCTTCCTATGAAGGATTTTATGTTCTCAACACTTTGAAGATGAAAATCTGACTGGGTTAATTCAGACGGAAGACATCAACCGCTTGAGCCATATCCCCTTCGTAAACGATAGTCAGAACGACGCGACCCTTTGCAAAAGCCTTCGAAAACTGTTCGACGAAGGAATTCACGGATATTTGAATAACTGGCAGTACATTAACGACTATACGATGTATGCTCTATTGAAACGGGTGTTGCCCCAATGGACGGAAGGTTCGTAGAAATGAGGAAGGAAACTGAGGGAGAAAAGGAGGTTCAGATGAAAACGACATGTTCTACGCCATCTATTCGTTGTTCCCCAATAAGCTCTCACACAAGCAAATTCGCGAAGCGTAAGTTCTGTTTTGGGATGAGAAAAACTAAAGAAGATATTCAAGAAGTCGTTTTAGATGAATAAAAAAACTTAGAAAGAGACAGTTTACTCCCGTGACCGTTAATTAGAATGGCTCAACGCGTTGCGCACGCGCTGCGGTTCGAGTTGATATTTCAAAGTTAGTCGCTGAGTAATTCGCTTTGTGGTCGGGCGCAGTTTCCAAAGAACCGCTTCGCATCCGTCGCGTGTTGAGTCATTCCCAGTATGTCTTTCGAAAAGTTGTTTTTATTGTTTATTGGTTTCAACTATGCTCAAACCCTGAAAAAGGTTTGAATTTTCCATATTTCAGGCTTGAAACTGTTTGAAACCTACTTTTTAAAAAATATGAATTTTTTAAGTGCAGAATTTTGAAATAATTGATAATCTTTTTTTAACTGATAAGTTTTGATGTAACTCTACAAGTTTTAGTTCCTGGAAAAACTTTTCACCTCTTTACAATTTTATATTTCTCGTATAAATTCAAGAAAAAAGTTCAATAAAAAAGATCAGGAGGCTCCTGAAGAGACTGCTAGAGAAAACCTAAAACCTGGATTTCTTTAATTTCTTGCAGTTTCGAAGATTACAAGGTCCGGTTTGATAAGCTCCCGGTTCTGCAGATCAAGGTTGAAGAGTAGAAAGACAAATCATCATTTTTCAACTTTCAGAGCGAAAAAGAATGTGATCGCGAAGATTTACACAGCGTTCAAGCACTGAGATGCGTCCAGTGCAACACTTTGGACTGTATCTATCACGGTTGGTTTTTTTTGGGAGCAGGTGAAAAAGAAAAATGAAAGCTTTTAAATACTAGCCGTAGAAAATAAAGGAAAAAAAATTTTGATGAAAAAAATTTTTATCTATTTTTTTCTGTTCTAGTGTAATTTTTAGGGTTAATTAGGAACTCCAGAGTGGTCCCTGTAGGGGCAACCTTAGGGGTCTTAAGAGGGTACCCTCTAGGGAACCAGAGAAAAGCGACCCTCCCGTAGGGCCTATATCAGACCTATCTTTATTCCTAGTTTTTTCAAATTTTTATAAGTCGAATTTCTCCTCCCGGACCTTGAGTTTTTGCCCGTGTCCGAACGGGTGGCAGAAAAAAACTCAAGAAAAAAGCTTTTTTTTTTTCCAGGTTTCAATCCGAAGGCTCTCATATTGGACCACGAAACTCTGTCTTCTTTGGATTTGACCATACCGCTGCCTTTCGGCGACCTTTCCAGCAATGAAAATAAGGCTCTCAACGATGATTTCGAGCCCTGTTCTGAGTCTTGCTACTACCGGATCGATCGAAAGGTGCTTCGCTAAAACTAACTTGCATCAAGTTTCACATGGTCCATTCGTCACAAATTCAAACAACCTGGTTTCTCTAAGACTCTCTCATATTTACGTGCCTTTTTTTATGTATGCATGACCTTACTGTCAAGAAAAAAGAGGGCACATCGGTGTCTGATTTTCCAAACTTGAAAATTCCCGCAGGCACGTGGAATTGCTCGACGCGTCGTTGCTTTGAAATGAACCCGACCTGAAACTACTTGCGCTTAAAGCCATCAAAATATTAAAAAGAGCTTCCTAGCCATTCCCAGTGCGACCACGGTTTTCAAAGAAAAGAAAGTTGAGAGGCCTGAGCGAAAATAATGAAAAAAGGTTGAAACAGAGAAAACAATTATACCAAGAGGTCCGCATTTGGAATGGCTGCAACGATCCAAGATACGCGTCCGACCGGAAACGATTTGCGCGAAAGGTTATATAAATCCAACAGCGGCCCTTTGAGCCATTCCACGTGCGACCACGGCTTTCCCAAGGACCTGGATAGACATTTTCCAACTTCAGACGGTCATGGAGAAAATCGTTTGTGAGGAGGCGCGGCAGGCGATTGCCGAAAATGATAGATCCGCCGTTTTTCGCGTCGAGACCAAAGAACTCTACGAAGAATTGCCGTCCATAGCGGTCCTCATGTTCACCAAACTCTCGAAAAAGGTCTCGATTTGATTCCTTCCTGATCTTGTTCCCTACACTAACCCTACACTGCACCTAAACACTAATTGGTTTTCAAGTGGACACTTGAGTGATATTGAAGCTTCTAGAATGATCGCTAAACTTCTAAAACTAACCCAACTTCATTTGAAACGCCTCGGTCGCGCGTGGAATGGCTTAAACCTTACCAAACGCTTTCTGAAGTCACTGAGCGCAAGTAGTTTTGGGTCGGGTGTGACTATCTACGTTGAAGGCAGGACGAGTAGAGTATAGATTTTTTCTACAAGAAGCGCTGTCGAGCTCAAATTTCTCTTGACAAACTCAATAAATGTCCTGAAAAGTACTGTATGGCGATCCGCTGGTCGCACTTGGAATGGCTCGCGTCCGACCAGAAACGATTTGCGCAAGAAAAAACTGCTTTGAGCCATTCCAAGTGTGGCCATGGTTCTTCAAGTTTAGAAGAAATGGAAGGAGATTTTTCAAAACGTCAATTTTTAGGAGAAGGACGCGGAATTCATAACCTTATTCAAAATGCCGTGCAATTATAGCAGAATGATGCGTGGTGTGACAAAAGATCGAAAAAATCCGACGTGTTCTGAGGTTTTTTTTAATGATTCTAAATTTCTTTTTTTTTTTCTCGAGGTACTTTTTTATGTAATTTGAACAACTTGTAGCCAAATATAACCTTTTTTGCAGCTCTACAATCTTCTGCTAAAAAATTCAAAAGATGTGGTCACCAAACGAGAAATCCCCAAAAAGAAAATGTATGTTTTTCTTCGAATTTTCTTCCTGATGATTGAAATTTCAGAAGTGCCAAAAATCAGCACCGTTCCTTCAGGAATAGCACCTGGGCCGGCAGTCAGGGAACTGTTCGTTTTGATTTTCGGATCTGAAAATGATAAAATAAATTTGAGAAGTATCTTTGAGATTTGGGGCGGTAGGTTGGCCCTCGCAAGTACCTGACTGTCCCTCTCCGTATATTTCTTTTTTAGTTTTTTATTTAACAAAAGGAAGGCTCTTAAAAATAAGTTTTTTTTTTGGTCCTTTCAAAGTCTGTGTGCCACGAATTGAAATTTCACCGAACGACATTCCGCTGTTCCGCTGCGAAGCGCTTGCGCCTTTGCGAGCCTCGGTAGCGCTTTTTTTTTTTGGTTATCATTGCTGGTAGATCACTGGAACACGCGAAAATAAAGTACTGAAATAGAAGAATTCGTAAAGGCTAAGATGCTTCGCGACCGCACGTAGCGGAACAGCGGAATGTCGTTCAGTGAAATTCCAAGTCGTGGTACACAAACTATAGCAGCCGTTCTTCAGTCTCTCTCTTTTTTTTTGCAACCTTTTGAACTTCGTCTGAGTAAAGGGTAGCCTGGGAATTCTGTGAAAAAACGATTATTCGGTTGCAGATCGACAATAACAGACGCCTAATCCCGTGTAATCATGAGGGTCCCTGCCACCAGAATCCGGACTGCATTTGCTCAGCCAATGGGATTTGCACCAAATTCTGCATGTGCTCCGACGAATGCCGCATAAAGTTTCCAGGGTGTCGGTGTGCGCCAGGTCAGAGATTCTGAGAGAAAAAAAAAATAGAAAAAAAGGTTTCCACCTGAGAAAAGGTGAACTTTAAGGGTTTGTTGGAAATTTTTGGAGATCCATGAAAAATATTTTGGCCGTTATCTTTTCAGTTAAGGAATCTTAAAGACACAAAAATCCTAGGGGCCACTTAGGAACTCTAGAGTGGTCCCTATAAAGGTCTCTTGAGGGTCTCCTCTAGAGACCACTTTACCAACCCCTATAAAGCCCACTGAAGCTTGCAAAAGTGGTCCCTGTAGGGGTTTTGGTTAGTGGCCTCTATAGGCATGCTAGTCGATTTTTTATGAACTTTATATCAAGTAGCATTTTCATGTGATAAACTAGACCAATTTTTTGAATAATTGAGAAACCCCTATAGGGACCTTTTTCTGCTCCTATACGGGCTGTTTGATGGTACGACAAAATCTCAAGTCCGCAAATCTCGAGGACCGTAATCTTGTGTACGCAGATCTAAAGTCCCATAATCTTGGAGACCAAAATCTTGGAGACCAAAATCTTGGAAACCACAATCTTGGAAAGTAAAAATCAACGCTTTTGCGAATAGATTTTATCAGAAATTGTATTCGGCGATCCAAACAAGAGAATATAAGTAGATAAAGTGCAATAAAGAAGACTAAGAAGGAAGATGTTTGCTTTCCAAGATTGTGGTTTCCAAGATTATGGGACTTAAGATCTGCGTACACAAGATTACGGTCCTCGAGATTTGCGGACTTGAGATTTTGTCGTACCATCGGCCGTTTTTCCCTAACCCCTATAGGGACCACTTAAAATTCCTAAGTACATGTTGTTTCATGTTATTTTTTGCACTTTCCAAGGCTCCAAGGTTTTCGAGCATTATTTACCTTTAGGGAGACTTTCGTTTTCTAGCTGATTTTCTGGAAAAAATTTAATTTTTGTGCTATCAAGATAATTATTACATTAAAAATGATTAGACCACCTTTTTGAGGTTTTGAAAAAAAAAAGATTAGAAGCCAATCTTCTCAGGGAACTGCCGAACGAAGCAATGCCAATGCTTCTTTGCCAAATGGGAATGCGATCCAACCATCTGCAAAAGTTGTTCCTGCGGTCTTCCGGAAAGCGCGAACAAGCCGATCTGTCGCAACGTTCAGATCTCGAAAGGCCTACAGAAACTCATCAAGGTGCCTTTTCTAACCTGAAAATCATCTGAGTTTTTTTTTTCCAGGTTGGCGTTTCCACTGTCGCTGGTTTCGGCGCTTTTCTGTTGGATACGGCGGAAAAGGTGAGTACAGCATCATCTTGAAAAGCGAGATAGGTAGATTAGCAAGGGACACGCGTTGCGTACGCGACGCGGCTTTTGGCGGGAAATGCGATATTCAAAGCTACCCCCTTTTGTTTCATGCTTTTTCTTCTTTTTTTTTCGATAATTCTAAATTTTCTATGGTTTGAATGAATACAGTAAATTGAGAAGTATAAAAACAAATAAAAATTTTTTTTTCTCCTATAACTGACTCAAGGCTGGCTTGAGCCATCGAAAAAAAGGGTCTTGACACGACAAAAATAAATAGTACTCCGGTAGTGGAGAGCGCAGACGAGCCACGCCCATTTGCGCCTCAAGACATCCGTGAACCGGCTATATATTTTGTCCATGAGTTCATCTGACCTTGAATTCCCCCCTCGGTAAGCCGCGTCGCGTACGCAACGCGTCACTTTGCCAAATTACCCCCATCGTTTTTTCAAGTCGGGAAAAATGAAGATTCAAGTTTCATCCTGACTTTTAGGGCGACTTGATCGCTGAATACACTGGCGAGCTCATTTCTTCGTCGGAAGCCGATCGACGTGGCCATATTTATGACCAATTCGGCACTTCTTATATTTTTAGTTGGTTTTTTTTCCATTTTGATGTTCTCCATCTTTTCCTTGACCATGAGACTTTTCGCCCATTAAAAGGGACGAAAAGGTAGATTTTCCAAAAATAAGATATTTTTCCAGGCCTCAACAGTGAGCAATGCATTGACGCGAATCGGTTAGGAAACGTGATCCGTTTCGCGAATCACTCGGACACCTGTGCGAACTGTTATTCACAGGTGAGATTGAAGAAAGCTTGAAAAACATATTCAGAAATTCATAAAATCATAGATACTTATAGAAGTCATTTCATCAGGATCTCGTCGATCCAATACCAGAAAATTATTTTTTGAAACTTTGAATTCTTTCGAAAACCGCAAATTTTTAATTTTTCGATGGTTTCTGAACTCAAAAAATGATCTGAAGCTTGTCGGTTAGAAATTTCATCTCAAAAAAAAAACTTACCATTTTTTTTCTATTGCTTCTGAACTGTTTGAATTTTGCTAATTATGAAGGAAACTCCTCAAAAAATTTTCTGAATGAGCAACATACGGTTAAAAACCCTAGAGTGCTTCCTATAGGAGTTAGGGAAAAACAGCTTGCACGTGAGAATGATAAGTGGTCCTTAGAGGAGCATCTTCGAGACCCCTAAAGTTGGCCCTATAGGGATCCGTTTTTAAGAATTTTTCAAATGCAGTTTCAATTATTTTAATGAACAATGTTGATAATTTGGAGGCTTTTTTTTCGGAAAACCCACTAATTTTGAATTTTTTTTACTTATTATAGCTCAAAGCGGCTCGAATTTTTTAAATCAGAAGATGTTTTTCTGTATTTTTTCTTTCCAAAATGCCATTTTAACCAAATTATCTTCATCTCAATTTTGAAGAGTGAATTTTGAAGATTCTCATCGTGAACGGAGATCACCGGATCGGAATCTTTGCCAAAAGACACATCGATTACGGCGAGGAGCTCTTCTTCGACTACAGCTATAATTGGCAACACAAGGAGAAGTTTGTCTCGATCGAGCATCCCCTCGACGCCATCAACAAGTTCGCATAGGAATGAAACTTCTTTAAAATTGACCCTTCTTTCAGGAACCGCAAAAAGAAGAAGAGAAAGCCGCCCGTACACGAGGGCGCTCCGGCGTCTGCACCGGTCAAAAAGCCCGAGAAGGAAAAACCAAAAAAAGAAAACGTGAAAGCGGAGAAAAGTACTGCCAAGACCAATACGGCCCCCAAAAAGCCTGCGACGTCAAAGGGTACCGTCGAGCCGAAAAAGGCTTCAAAACCGCCCGTCGAGGCCAAGCCGACGACGAAAAAAAGAAACACCGCTGAGACCTCGACACAACGACGTTCGGTCCGAAAATCCGCATCTGAGGCCCTGACCAACCTCAAGAACATTTGTATGCAGGAAAACTCGACAGGTGCGCTTTTTGCTCCGTAGTCAGCTTGTCTCGCGTGAATCGACAAAGGATTTCTCATTGGAGCGCGCTTTCTCATCCCTTTTGGTGATTTTTCATCACCTCTGACGGCCAGGCTTGTGCGTCAGGCCGGGCGGCCCGGGTCGGCCTGGCCCGGGCTTCAGGCCTATTATTTTAAAAAAAGCCTGCGTGGGCTCGGGCCAGGCCGGGCAAGAAATCTTAAATTCAATTTTGAAAAAAATTTCACGAAAAAAATTATTTTTTTACTTGTTAAGTCATAGTTTCTCATAACTCTATGAGAAAAAAATAAGCAAAAAAATACCACTTTTTCTCGTTAAAAGAGCGAAAAATTCGACTTGAAGAGAATTTGAGTTTTTTGGGCCGGGCCGGCCATTTTTGCCTAAGGCCTCCCTAGGGCCGGGCTGGGCTGGACTTGTGAAGTGGCCGGGGGGCCGAGAGGTTGACGGGCCGGCCCTCGCACAAGCCTGCTGACGGCATAAAGATCGTCACAACTATTTCCTTGAAGTACGCTTCGTCGTTATCTAGCTGCGAGAAAACGAAGAAATAGTGTAGATCAGAGAAAGAGTTGTGGCGATCTGTCAGAATTGTTTTATCATCAGGTGAGAAAGAGCGCCCCAATGATAAGTCTCTTGTCGATTTACACAAGGTGAAAGAAAGTAGTCTGCTAGTTGTTAGATTCGATGCGAAATGCGTTTTGCTCGTAAATTTTAACTTTTTTGTAAGTTCCTACTTTTCATTTATGCAAAAGTAGGAACTCCTAAAATTCTCATAAATCTCGACCAATTTGCTCGCTTGGATTAAAAGTTATGAGAATGGTTCGATTTCCTTTAGTATGTGACAGTCTAGCCGCCACTATGAAAAAAAAATTCGCAGCATTCATTCAAATCTGGCACGATCACTGGATATAGAAATGTGCTCGTTTCGAAAAAAAAAAATCAATTTCCTATAGAAAAGTTCATCATTGTAGTAGCGCATCAGGAGGCTCATTTTTGTCATAAACCCTTTTTCTCACTAATTTATGTATAAAAAGCTCTTCAGACGCAGTCAAGCCCAGTAGCTCGGCACAACCGTCCGGTTCGACGATGATAAAGAAGCGAAACTTGCCGAGTCGCGCCGTCAAATCGCCGACCGAGCAGCCGATTTGCAAGCGTATCAAGTCGCAAAAGGCCGATTCAAGGTATTTTGTCTCGAAAATGGGCAAATGAAAAGGGCCATTGGGAATTCTTTTTTGCTCTGCCATGGCTGATGAGGATGATGAAAGGAGTTATTAATAAAAAAATTATAAATAAGTTTAAATTTCGAGAGGATCTATTAAGCAAATCAGAAAGTGTCCAAAAAGCAAATAGAAGCGATAGCCAATTTTTTTAGAAATATTTTGCGCTCTATAGCATGTTTTAACTACTCAAACCAAATAAATACCATTATCTTCTTCAAAATTTACCGAAAAATCGAGATAAAAAGCTGTAATATTCACTACGATTTTTCACGTTGAAGCAAAAATTCAAAAAAAAAATTGTCCAGTTCATGAAGTTCAACTTTCAGCCCATCGGACGACGACAACTAGCCGTTTTATTTCGAATATTTTGTTTTTTTTTTCTAGAATCATTTTTCATCATTACTCAATTCTGATTGTATATTTTTGACAACTTTTTGTCATCTCTAACATTTATCATATTCATTCGTGTACGTGTTAGTACAAACTAAAACTTTTGCTTCTTTGTAAATCACGCTCTCAATTGAGAAGCTTCTGGATCTCTTTTCATCTCTTCGCCATTGTTTTCTTCATTTTTATTTATTTTTTCTCTCTCTGATTCTTGTACCTTGAACCAACTTTGAAAATAGTTTGTTGAAAACGTTCGGATAATAATGAATATTTTCCCACTTTATTGACGGTGTTTTCGTATTTACAAGTTTCTGCTAGCTTGAATACATTCATGGAAGGCGGCGCGAAACCGCATTCCGTCGGGCGAATTCCGCCGTTGCATGAAGAACTGTCGACGCTCCTCATGGCTCATTCCCTGCATTTTGGCGCGGAGCTCCTGGTTTTGAAAAGAAAAATATTGGCAAAGGAATGATTTTTTCAAACTTATCCCGAATATTAATTTTTCTCCGAGCTACAGAATTATTCCGTTCAAAGCGCGCGGTCTATTTCTGCCCATGCGCCTTTTATTTGGTTTAAACTCTCAATTATATTGAAGGCGCTTGCACAGAAACATCTCTGGGTTCTCTAGAAAGTCTCAAAGCGATTCATTTTCATTTTTCTCTCGAGAACGTTTTTATGTGATGCGCCTTTTTATTAGCCTGAAATTTCTGCTATATCGAAGGCGCATGCGCAGAAACAGGCGGCCCGCATCGAAGGGAAGATATCCCCGGAAGGGTTCTGAGGCTTGGAACAGACCGAAAATCGTGACAAGAAATGTTCTACACTCACCTGAAATTTCCTACGTCTGTCTGGGAACTTGACGTTCATGCATTCGCGGAACTTCAGCCGAGTCTGTTCATCGAAAGGCATGCCACCGAAACGACGCATGAAACCGCCGCCGAAGAAGCGATGGCCGCCGAAGTGAGGTCCTCCCGCTCCTCCCATTCCGAAAGGAGAAGCCCCGAATCCGTTGGGCGCGCCGACGGGGAGCAACGGCGGCTGTCCGAACTCTTGTCGTTGGTCTAACCTTGACTTTCAATCATTTTTCCGGTTTTCGGGTGTCTCAAAGCGGCTCACACCATCGCTATAGCCTATTCCGCGCCAGCTTGTCACGTTTTTCCTTCCGCCAAAAAGACCGTACATCAAATTAGATCAAATTTCTGCTTTTATAACGGCAAGAAACAGGTCTTGAAGCGAAGTTGGACAAATTTGACCTGGCCTTTTGGCGGAAAGAAAAACGTGACAAGCTAGCGCGGAATGGCCTATAGCAAGATAGATGCCAAATATTAGAAAAGGAAGCCCTCTGAAGTCAAGAAAAAAAGTGATATTAAACTTATTTTTCTGGATGGTCGCACTTGGAGTGGCTTATAGCAAAACGTTAATGTACAAAAAACATGTAGATTTTTTTTAAAAAAAAGTTTGATTTTCTTGTTTGTCAGCACTTTTTGCGGCTTATACTACAAAAGTTTTGAGTATCATCCAGTCAAAAAAGGTATTTGCTCGTTTTTTTGTAAGTCAGGATTTTTGAGGTTTTGTAAAGTTCATTTTCGAAAAAGCGGTCCTTTTTTGAAATTACTGTCCAAAAAGTAACAGTGAGACTCATTCATGATGACTTAACAAGATGGTCGCACTTAGAATGGCTAAATCGTCTGATATTAAATATTCCCGTTCTAAATGTTGCGCGCGGAAGTCTTTTCACGTAAATTTTAGAAAATTGCGGTTTTCTCTGATCACTTTTTCGAAGATTTCACATTTTCAGAGAAGAAAAAAACTCACAGCTGAGCTGAAACAAAGCCGACGATTGCCAACGTCAGGAACACCACGAAAGAAGACATCATAGTTCCACGCGAAAGCTCCGAGAGTTCAGGTACTCCTCCTTTATACCAGATAGATCCAGATCAACAATCCAGGCTGAGTTCGACGAACGCTCTTTTTGACGTCGCCCGACTCCAACCGGTTCCCAGATTTTCGGTCGTAATTAAAATGAACGACGGTCTTCCAAGTTGAAAAGTAAGTGGCTGGTTTTCTGATTTGAAGTGGTACTTGGGCGCGAATGGGATATTGCAACAAAGATTAGGTTTTTTTTTCAAAGTTTCGTTGTTAAATTTTAGTAAACTGGAGCTGCAAAAACTTGACTTTTCATTAATTACGTTGATTAATTAGAAAATGTAGAGAAAAAGCTTTAAAAAAAAAAAAATGAAAAATTGAAAAATTTCTGAAATTTGGACTGTGAACCCTTTTTCTACGGCTTTTTGATCCATTTCTCAATAATTCGGGGAACTTCATCTATTTATTCTAATCCTTGTACTATGTCGCGCTCCTTGGCGACCTCTATAGTCCGCTGATTCCTCACGCAGCAGGTGATGTGACCATGGCGCAGTGGGGTGCGAGCTGGCCCTCTTTAAAGAAGGGCGCTGGTTCGTGTCCTCCCTCCGCCATTCGGTGTTATTGCTGACAGTGATGGATAACCTAGAGTCTCTGAAGCTTCGTGTTGCACAACTAACGCTCTTAGCTGAGTCAGTTCTTTTTTTCTTTAAGTTCCTGCTTTTTTCAAAGATTTTATAAACAAATTATGTCGAGGAAACCCGTGTTGATTGCATAAGGACATTCTAGAAATGAAAACAATTGAAAAAGTACAAAACGGAGATTGTGAAAACGATTCGAGAAATTGGAATGGTGCCCAACTTTGTCGTTTTTTCCAGAGACTCCGTTGTCCTGCTTGCCCTTGAGGTTGTTGTGGATACTGTAGAAGATGTCAATTCCACAGAAGTCGTCTTGAAAGTTGGTTTTGGTGTCAGTTTTGGTGTTGGTTTTGGAGTCGGTTTGGGAGTGGTTTTTGGAAGAATGGTTGTTATTTTTCGAGTAGAATGACCGTCAGTAGTAATCACAGAAGTATTGGCTGTAGAAGATTCAGTTACAATCGTCGGACTTTTGATAGTCGTCGAAGAAATTGATACATTTTTTGGAGTGGTCATTGGAAGAGAAGAAGTCTCGATGATGCTGGTTGTTACATTGAAAGATTTCGTCGGTGTTGGACTTGAAATCGTTGAAATAGAAGAATTGAAAGTTGAAGCAGTAGAAATAATGCTCATACTGGTAGTAGAACTTGTAAAGTTTGTTGGAGGGGGGCTTGAAAAAGTTGATGTTGAAAAGTTAGATATACTGGTGGCAGAGGAAAAGCTCAAAGTTTTAGTTGGTGTCAAAGGGGCACTGGAAGTGAAATTTGTGGAACTGACAGAGCTAGAAGAGACGGTTGCGGCTGTTGTGTTTGTGCTAGGTAAGCTCGTGCTCGTCGTAAAGTTCTTAGAAGAGGTGCTCAAAGAAAATTTCATCGTACTGAAAGTAGAAGCTGAAGAAGGTGCTTCAGACGATGAGTTATCACTTCTGGACGTCGTGAAATCAGTCGAAGTCCGTGTGAAGTTAAGATATGACGTACTGGAAAATAATGACGTCACTGTAGAGGTTGGGACGGCAGGAGACGCTTCAGATGATAAGTTTTGACTGCTGGATGTCGTGCCTTCAGTTGAAGTCCGTGTAAAGTTATCAGATGATGTACTGGAAAGTAATGACGTTATTGTGGAAGTAGGGACTGGAGAAGACGCTTCAGACGACGAGTTATCTCTTCTGGACGTCGTGAATTTGGTTGAAGTTCGAGTAAAGTTGTCAGATGACGTACTGGAAAATAATGACGTCATTGTGGAAGTAGGGATTGGAGAAGATCCTTCAGACGATGAGTTGCCACTTCTGGACGTCGTGAATTTGGTTGAAGTTCGAGTAAAGTTATCAGATGACGTACTGTAAAATAATGACGTCACTGTAGAGGTGGGGACGGCAGGAGACGCTTCAGATGATAAGTTTTGACTGCTGGATGTCGTGCCTTCACTTGAAGTCCGCGTGAAGTTGTCAGATGACGTACTAGAATATAATGACGTCATTGTGGAAGTAGGGACTGAAGAAGACGTTTCAGACGATGAGTTGCCACTTATGGACGTCGTGAATTCAGTTGAAGTCCGCGTGAAATTGTCAGATGACGTACTGGAAAATAATGACGTCATTGTGGAAGTAGGGATTGGAGAAGATCCTTCAGACGATGAGTTGCCACTTCTGGACGTCGTGAATTTGGTTGAAGTTCGAGTAAAGTTATCAGATGACGTACTGAAGATTAACGGTGTCATTGTGGAAGTAGGGACTGGAGAAGACGCTTCAGACGACGAGTTATCACTTCTGGACGTCGTGAATTTGGTTGAAGCTCGCGTATAGTTATCAGAAGTTGTCAGAGGATTTGGCGTCGTACTGGATGCTGCAGTTGAACTTGCTCTCTGAGTAGTGATCATTGAAGTTGAAGGGAAGTCTGTCGAAGTTGAGGCAGGCTTTCCCGACGTCGTTGAAATTCGCGTTGAGCCACCAGAACTGGTACTGGATGAAACTGAAGAGGTTCCGGACGTCAGGATGGAGCTAGCTTTTTGAGTAGTGCTAGGCGATGTAGCGGAATCAGTGGTTGTTTGGGTAAAGTTTTCAGATTTGGTACTGGAGTGAAAAGTCAGAGTTGGTCTGACAGACGAGGAGGTGAGGCTGTTTGAGGTGGTTGAATCCGTAGAAATTTTCGTAGAACTTCCTGGTGCAGGGCTGGGAAACACCGACGTCGGACTGGAGCTCTGAGTGAAACTGACACTTTTCGTATTGCTTGTCGAATAAGTAGACGATGATCTTGAGGGTAAAGTTGTTGAGTCGAACGGGATCTGAGTAGAATTATCATGCGCCGTACTGGAAGAAGATGACATCGTACTGATTCTTTGAGTAGTAACTGATATTGGCGTTTCGGACGATAAGGTAGGACTCATGGTGGCTGTCGAGGCAGGAAAAGTGGAACCTTGGCTCGGTTTTGTTCCAGGAGTCGTACTGCTCAAAACCTCAAAAGTCGTTGAAAAACTTGATGGAGCAAAACTGCTCAGAACTGAGATGGAAGTCGACTTTTGTGAACTAGCCATTGAAGAAGCTGATGAACTTTGGGATATGCTGCTTGAAGTTTTCGAAACTGAAGTCGAAGAGCTTTCAGAAGCAGCACTGTTAGAATTCGTAGAAGGTGTTGAAGATTTCGCTGTTGTTCCTTTACTTGAACCTGCGGCCGTGATAGTTGAGAAAATTGGAGTCTGAGTTGAACTATCGAAAGTTGTACTGGAGGCTCCGGAAAAAGTGGATGTGCTGCTGGACGAGGATGAAATTGATATTCCATTGGTAGAACTTCCAGGTCTTTCTGTTGATCTCGATTTTTCGGTACTGCTAGCCAAGGTGGGATTAGTTTGAATGAACTGTGTTGTATTGGCAGTACTGAAAGATGGCAAAGAAGTGGTCGAAAGTCGGCTCAATGAGCTGAAAGAAGTACTGCCAGCTGATGACGGACTGGTGGCAGATGAGGATTTGAATCTCTCTGTAGACGTTTTCGAAATTTCAACTGTGGTAATCGCTTGAGAGGAAGAAGTTATTACGGGTGTAAAACTTTTTGTAGTTTTCTCAGAAATCGTGCTCCTGAAAGTTGAAGAAGTAAATGTTTCAGAAGTCGTGATCTCAGAGGTTGAACCAGGTAGCGTGCTTATTGAAACTGTAGAAGAAGATTCCGTGCCTTCTGAAGATGTAGGAGATGCAGAAGAATATGATGTCGCTCGAGAACTGATTGCACTTGTAGCTTTTGGCCCAGAAGTCGTGCTCTCATGAGTTACAGAAGATGCTCGAGGAGTTCCCGTGTTCATCGAAGATTTAGATGAAGCTGCTGTCGAAGATTCCTTCGTTTCAGTTGATCCAGAATTAGCGTTCTGAGATGTTGAATAAGTTTGTGTGCTACCAAAAGTTGTAGAAGAAGCTTCGGTGCTGTTTAAAAACTGAGGAGACGATGTCGTTCCAGAAGACGTGCTTCCGAGCTCCGTAGAAGATGGAGGGGTGATTGCAGGGCTAATCGGCACAGTTGATTCAGAAGTCGTGCTTCCGGAAGTTCTTTTAGGAGAAGTGTCAGTGCTTTTTGAAGTCACAGGCGAATGAGACGTCGACAAAGTTGCAACGTTGATTGTTGAAATTGAACCCGATTTTGTGCTTCCAAATGTTATTTCAGGAGAAGTTCGGGTGCTTCTTGAAGTCACAAGCGATAGAGACTTTGAGGAAGTTGCAAAGGTAGTCGTTACATTTGGGTCGGTAGTTGTGGTTTGAGGGCCTTCTGTGCTTTTTGAAGATGTGGAGAAAGATTCCGTCGTTTCGGAACTCTCCGAACTGCTCGCTGTTGGTTCAGAAGGTCTCCCAGTAGGTGTTTGAGTGACTTTTGAGCTTTGAGGTGACACGTGAAAAGTGGATGTTGGTCCAGAAGACGTGCGAGTAGAAATTGCTCCAGAAATCGTACTTTGGAGAGTTGTAGAAGACGATTCAGAAGCTTTAGTGCTTCTGGAAGACGAAAATGAAAATCTCGACGTTCCAGAGCTGATTGTTGAAGTTCGGACTGATTGAGAAGAAACACTCGTTTCGATGGAAGTTGTCTCTAAAAAAGGTTTTTTCATAAACCTTCATGAAAAGAAGATAAAACCTGTTTTTGGACTCGTTTGTTCGGAAGAAGTCGGCGAGACTGTTGATGTTTGAATATCCGGTAGTTCAAAGGCTGTAACAGCTTTTTGAAAAAAACTGGAGTTTGTTCTCCTGATCCTGAGGTTGTCTCAGAGACATGCTCTTAGTTAAAAAGGGCCTTAATAATGATGAAAACTACGAACTTTCACAGTATAGGGTGTCGTTGATAACGAAGATCGATAGGTTCTGGAACTGATACCAGTGGCCGTCAGTAGAATTGCAAAAAAGCAAGCAGCTGACCGTCTGAACTCCGTCTTCGTAGGTCTCATCGCACTGAAAAGAAAATAGTTTGCAAGCCATTGAGACCAAATAATCGGAATCTAAAAAAATTACGGAGCTTTCTGAAAATAATAAAAAAGTCAAACCGTATGGCTCGTTTCTCCATTCACGGAATTGTAGTTGATGGCGGTGAAGCCATCACCCGTGCAGTGAAAATTCGCCGTCGCTGAGACATCGTCGTAGTCGACGGAAACATATGGACTGTATAAAACTTCGTCCCCATCACCTCCGGTTCCGCTGATCAGTTTTCCGCAAGGTCCTAGACGGAATAGAGAGAAAAATTAATTTGTTTGAGTCGAGAAAATTTGTATTTAATGTAGAAAGCTGCTGCGCGTCAATAGAGTGACATTTAAGAAAAAACAAGGAGTTTCAATTGCCATAAAAACATTTAATGGTTCCACAGTTTTTCTCAAATGCGGCAGACCCAGAAAGACTTGCGAGCATTGGCATCCGAAAGTGTTACAGCTCTACCAGAACGGCGCACGGGGCCAGCAACAATAACCCGCTACACGGTGCATGTGGTAGTGTGGCTCCTCGCGTTTTTTAGACATTTTGGTGCAAATTGAGCGCATGCGCACGGTGCAGGCATTTATCGTTATTATTATGTTTTTTTTGATTTATCATTTTTCGATTAAAATTGGACGAGGGGAATTGGATCAGAAGGCTGTGCCTGAATCGAAACAGCAAGAGCTCTAGCTTTATCTAAATATGGCTAAATAGCTAAATTGAACTTTCTTAAGGAGGCATGCTGCTGCATCGTGCGCATACACTCAATTCGCACCAAAATGTCTCGAAAAACGCGAGGAGCCGCACTACCACATGCACCGTGCTGCGGATTATTGGTGCTGGCACCGTGCGCCGTTCTGGTAGAGAGAGAGAACTCGATTTTAACCGCAACGCGACCGCGACGCTTTGACCCATTCCTTGTGCGACCACGTTAAGATTTCAATGTATTATTCCCTATTAGCCTAAACTTATGTGACATGTCAGCGTCTTCTTTTCTCTCACCGAAAAGGCCATAGGATCATGAGATAGATCAAAATGAGAAAAAAAAACCATTAAATGAACAAAAACTATACGAATTTTATCAAACATTAGGCTTCAGAGAAATTTTTGGCTGTTTCACGAATAAGATTATCGAATTCGCACCTTTCCTACTACTTTAGAATGTAACATACCTTGTGATTTTCCCAAATGAAACAAACAAATGATCAGGAATACCGCTGAAAGCATTTACGACGTCGAGCAAGAGGAACTTGACTCAAACGGAATTGAAACGCTCCTCGGGTAATCTTATCACCGAAAACCGTGCAAACACATAAAAGGAAGGTGAGAAAGTTATTATTTGTGGAGATTTTGGAATTGTAACAATACTCGGGGCTCGGTGACGAACTTGGAGAATCAGATGATCTATCGAGGTCAAAAAATGAAACTTTTAGATTTTTTCAATCACACCTTTTTTCAAATAAGTTCTCGAATACATTATGAGAAAAAGACTCAAAAGGTCTCAATGAAAAGTTGAAAAAGAAAAAATCATATTTTTCTTACTTGGAATGGGTATTTGCGTCGCGGTCGCGTTGCGGTTTGAGGTTCCAGCGGGAAGATTTATTTCAAGTAGTTTCAAGTCCGGTGCGTTTCGGAGCGGCTGAGCAATTACCCGTGCGACAGTTCACTCTCAAGCTAGGGCGCGTATATATTTTTCAAAAACCAAGTTCGTTTGAAATCTCAGGCTTTCAAAAAAAAAAGATACGTTTGAAGTTTATTTCAAGTCGAACAATGGTTCAAAAACATAAATTTGTGCTATAAAAAAAGGAAGATTTATACACGTTCCAGGAAAAATTGTACCTATAAATTCTGAACGAAATGACTAGAAAGGGTAACAAATTAATCGAGAAAAAAATGAAAATAGGATATCAACATGAAAAAAAGAGATTTTTCCTCTAGTAAGATCTATTGATAAAGAAGAAATAGAAGTATAAAAAAATCGGACAAAAAAATGATACAAGGCCCGAAAAAAACAGCTTCCAAAAAAACTTGGTCAAGTGTGCTCCAATGATAAAAAAAGCAAAAAAACTCAATTTTTTTCTCTTCTTTCTATATTAAGTTGGCATTTAGAGAAAAAAAGGAGCTTTTTTTAGTAAAAAAATTGAGAAAAGGAGAATTTTTCGTATGAATCTCAAAAAAATGTTTGCTCGAAATTCAAATAAATTTACCCGTGAAAAAATTATTAATTAGACTCTAATTATCGCGGTATGCCGTCATACCTGTCCGAATTTTTGGCCAGGTAAGTCAAAACGGCGAAAACAATAACAGCAATCAGCATAACTACAACGCCACTCAGAGCGGCAATCAGAATAATTTCCAAAGTAGACAGGCCGGAACGAGGAGGAGAAGGAGTGGTTTTTGGTGTTTTGGTCGCCGTAGTGGTTTTGACAGGAATGGTGATAGGTTTTTTGGTTACGGTAGTGAGAACGGAAGTCGCTCCGGCTGGAGAAGTCGTTGAATTTGTAGTAGGATTTGTAGGGTTTGTAGGATTTGTCTTCGAAGTGATCCTCGTTGATACTTTGGTTGTCTGGACTGGTGGTGGGGTTGGGAACGGCGTTGCGGCTGAAAATTTCATCTTTTAGGGATTTTTGGGATTATGAGACCGCTTTGGTCTCACTGGGAACGGCTTTGATGCGATTTCCATTTTCAGTCAAACTCACTTTCGCAATAAATTGTATTATTAATGATCCTCAATTCGTTCGACGGCGACGTCTTCTTCGTCCAGAATCCTTTGTCGACGTTGCACTCGAAGATGCAGGAGACGGTCACGTAGCCGCCTTCTTCGACTCTCGCGTCTTCGCACTGTCAAAATCTCGTCATTCAGATTGAGAAGCAAGGCGGACATTGGAATTCACTTCGCCATTGAAGTTCTCGAAGTAGAAGGCGATGAAGGCGTTGCCGATCCCGGTGCAGGCGAACTTGGCTAAGTGCTCGGGCAGGTACTCGATCTGCACCAGTGGACTGATGGAGATATTGTTGCCCGGCGGGTTCGTCGAGCCGTTCACGATTGGCTCGCAGTCAGCTGAATCAGAGATCAAAAGAGGTTGAAAAAAAAATTATTTTTTTTCTAAAAACTTCGAGAAGATTCTCAGCTTCAAGACAAAACAAACTTCTTTGAACTGTCGTTACTGTTGTCAATGCTTGCGTAGACGTTGGCGCTGAAGATGATGTGGAAATCTTTTCGGTTGCAGTAGATCCAGAAGACGAGGGTGTTGTCAATGTTTTTGTAGAGGTTGGCGCTGATGATGTAGACACTTGGGTGGACCCAAAAGAAGTTGGAACTGACGTTGGTGTTGTCAATGGTTGAGTTGCGGTAGATACCGTAGAATCCGTCGGTAGAGATGTGGCTGAAGTAAAATTGAAATATATGTACCGTTGGCAAGCAATTATTCGAAGGCGAATAACCGGGAAATTAGTACATTCGCCGGTTAGAAGCGTTATTGATAGAGTTTAACTCGATACATACATGACAAAGTTAGAGGGACCCAAAAGGTATTTTTCAATTGTAATCATGAACTTCCATGCGGACGATAAATTTTCTCATTAATTAAATATCTTTGGAACGAAATACAAATCGAAGAAATCAACGCTCATTTCTAACCGACCAATCCAATAAATAGACAACTTTTGAAGCGTTTTGTTAGGTTTATAACAGTAAAATTGGCTTCATAATACGTCAAATTCATTATTTTGCTGATCATTTACTTTAAGAATTGCCGAAATTTTCATTTATACTCAAAAGTTTACTTAAAACTCACTTTCACAATAAAGAGTGTTGTCCTCAACGAAGGTAGCAAAACCCAAAAGTTGGTGCCAATGATTGTCGTTGACATCACAGAATAACTTGCAGAACACCGTCCCCTTGCCTTCTTGACTCGTTTGATTGCACTGAAAAGTTCAAGTTTAGATTGGAAATTGCACAAAATAGATTATCAATATTAAATAAAACAAAATTATTGATCACATTGATGTCAGCGAAGCCAGTGTCCGGATTGAGGTTGTAGGAAATGATGACGTCGTCCCAACCGGTACAGCCGAATTCGGCTGTGCCGGCGACGTCGTCGTAGGTGATCGTCACCAGGGGACTCTGTGGCAAACCGTCGGCAATTGTTCCGTTTATCAGGACCCCACACGCTCCTAGAAACAGTAATTTTGAGGATCGAAGCTTTCCGAACAAAAAACCTACTTTTCATATGGGAATTCCAAATTAGATCTTTGAGTCGAAATAGAAAAATCACTTGGGTAGAACTTTTCAAAAAAAGCTCTTTTTGTTGAAATTTCGGAATTAGTTCTTTAGGTCGAAATGATCTTTAAGGCTTCTATAGACACTTGGGAATTTCGAGAATTCTCGAAAAAAAAATCTTTAAAGGTCGGAAGTTTCACTTTTTGAACTCATTTTCTACCTTCAAACCAAACTGAGGGATTCAAAGAAGAGTAATGATATCTTTAAAAAGAAAAGAAAATTTCCCTCGACTTCTAAAAAAATCTCTTAAAAATAAGTTATAAGCGGTACTGACTAGGAATAGTGAAAAGATCTTCTTGAAGCTTATTATATTTGAAGATCACCTCTATGTATAAGGTCTGAAAATCAGATAAAACAGGTCTTTTTGTATCGAAACGATATGTTTTACTGATAATTCCAACAGTTTTAGATTCAAAGAAACTCTTCCCCTTTTCAAACTTGAATTTTTGGAAGCCTCATGAAAGTAGAAAAAATGAAAACCTCACCTTGCGACACTACTTGACTCACGAAAAACACTGAAAAGGTGGTGAAAATCCACAGAATAACCATTCATATGGGAAAACCAAGCAAAATCCAGAGAATTACTGTAGTTTCGGCCAAAAAAAAAAAAGCAAAAATGGGGGTGAAAAATGTCCAACATACCAAATATTTGACGTCGATATGTTGCTCATTTTATTACTTTGCAAACAAATACCCGTGTGCTGCAATCTTTTTGATTTTCTTCGGCACAAGTTCGACAATCAAAAATGTTTATTTTTAGGCTCCAAATATGAAAATATCAGAAAAATAATAATTAAAGCTCGTGGAAGGTACTTGTACTTTTGTTATGGGGATTTGATTCGAGAGTTCATTTTTTAAATGAAGATTGAAGCTTAGATTGGGATCCCTGGTCGCATGTAGAATGGCTTGTCGCGATGCGGTTAGAATAAAAATCTATGAATTAGCTTTTTGATGCCACTTAGCGAAAGTCGCTTTTTGGTCGGGCGGACCTTGTTCGTACCACAACGCGTTGAGCCATTCTCGTGGAAACTATTCACATATCTGATTGGAAAATAACGTATTTGAAGAGATATTGTTGAATAAATTAGTGACGAAAATATTTACAACTGCTTCAGAGATGAACACAATTTTGAAGACCGACGGTTAATAAGAGTAAGGTGGTAAATCAAGAAACCACGGAAGTTAAGATATTTCAGACCTCGATCAAAATATTTTGTAGGAGGCTACATAGAGATCTGGCGATTTCAAATCGCGGCTAAATAGGACCAATTTTCTCAGGAACTTTTCTCAGTAATAAGTTTTGTAACGGGAGTTGGGCGGAGTCGTCGGGAAGGGAATCTCTTCCTGTGGTCGAATCTGAAGCTCGTCGGCTTGAGCGGCCGCGGCCTGACGTCGGTGTCGGATCACGGCGAACAGGTAGAACAAGCCGGCGATGAACAGCAAGATGAGCAAGGACAACACGCACAGAAGTACGATTATCGATGTTGGCAGGCCGCTGGATTTACTTGGAGTCTTGGTGGGGGTGGTGGTTGACGTCGTATTCGTGGTAGAAGACTTTGATGTGAGAGCTGGAAAAAATTAAAGTTTCATCAAAAGTTGTGAAAAAGAAAACCTGCACGCGCGGTGGTGGAGCACATTTTTCCATTTTTACATGGAGTGGGTGGCTCGGTAGTAATTGGGCTTGTTAAAGGCGATGCTGATGAACTACTGACAGCTTCAGAAGTGCTTCTGACAGTTTCAGAAGTCGTGGCCGGCTGGGTTGTAGCTTTGGTAGTGGGTTCTGGAGTCGTTGGCAGGCCAGTGGTTGTTGGGATACTTGCGGGCACGGTGATGGCTGAACTTTCAGAAGAAAATCAATAAGAGTAGGTTTATTCACTGCTTATTGTATAAGAAATATCCAGGCAAAAATTTTCAGCTTTTGCGTTATTTTTCTTTCAAAATTGTGTCCGTCAAAGAGTTATCAAGATTATTTCGCTTATAATTTTTGATTTTGAAATGACTTTTCGAAACTGGATTTTCAACCTTTTTTCGCAGAAAGTTTGACTTTCAGTTTTTTTTCTTGGAGACTTACAAGTCGAGAGTTTCAGGCTCTTTATATGGAACATCTAAGAACTTTAACTTTAAAAAGCAAATCGATTTTTCTGTAAGAAAGTTTTTTCAGATCCAACCGGTGCAGTAGATGACGTCGCCGTCGTTGAGCCCCTTTGGAGGTTGAATAGTCCATTTGTCGGAGTCCGTGCACGTCAAGTCACAGGTAACTGTTTGATAGTCCGTTGGACCATCTTTGACTAGTGGAGGGCACTGAATTTCAAAAAAATTAACCTTTTTGTGTTCTATTGGTTGGCTTCGCGTCTTCTGACTGACCAAAATACCAACTGAGATTCTATATGCACGAATTTTACGACTCCAGTCCGAGTAGAATTTCAAAGAGGTATTCAGAAATGTTTGAACTGGCACTAAAATGCACTTTTTTGTACTATGAAAGGAAAGGTGACGTGATAAAATACGAAAAAAATTTTGAATGTATAAAGTTCTGAAGTAAGAACTTTTTGGTCTTAATGAAGTCGAAATACTTTTCTAGGAAACGATAAAGTTAAAAAAATTTTTGAAAACGCCCAGTTAACGAATCAGTTGATAATTTTCTTAAATCAAACTAAAGTCTAGTTGAAACGTAACTGAACTGGGTAGAAATACTTCAGTGAAATCTAAATCTTTTGGTTTTCTCATTTTTTGAAAATCTAGTTTGATATTGTGTCAAGCCAGCAGTGAAGAAAATATAATTTAATTTATTTTTTTCGGGCTCCTCACGAAGAGCTCTCAAGTTCAAGTTTGAAGGCTCTCACGTATCATTTTTTTTTTTTGACCAATAACTTTTAGAGTCAAACCAAAGTTCAGTGGGAACTTTATTCCTTCTTCCTTTAGATTGGCTAAAAAAAACATCAAAGACCTATTATCCTCACTGTCTTACCTAAATTGTCAAAAGTAAGTTTTACATTGGTTTAGCGCTAAAAAGTGAACATTCCCATTTCTTCTACTCACAGTAATTAGTCCCAAGTCCAAACTTGGATAGGAGATCTGAGTTTCGCCTTCGCCGATGCAAGTCACCGTGACCTTGCCGACGACGCTGTAGTCGTAGAACACCCAAGGAGAATTGTACCCGTCCATTCCGGCCATTGGCTCCGTCTTCAGCTTGTTGCACACTGCTGAAAAAGTTCTGGCTCATTTACAGTTTTCAGATTGAATCATAGGATTATTGAAGAGTTGTTTGTGTTGTCCGCGAAACTGTAGTTGATCAGGAACGGCGCGTGGAGAAATTTTTTCAAAGGTTTAGAAAAAAATCCCCCAAAGTCGCTACCTGCGCAAACTCATAGCTTTCGAGATAGAAAAATTTTTTATCTATTGTGCGCTCCAATGAACTACACATTTCATTAAACTTTGACTGCTGAATGAGATGAACGATGGCATACGACGGTATCTAGAAAAAATCCCGATTTTTTTTAACTAGTTTGATGAGAAGCGGAGATTTTTGTTGAAAAAATTATTGCTCACCAGAAACGACTGAAACTTCAGCAGCCAAGAAGAGAAAGGCCAATAGTTTTGGGTCCATCCTGAAAAGGTTTAAATTTGAAAATCAAGTACTTTTTCGAGATAAATGTCCATTTTAGATCGAAAAAAATAAAGTAAAAAGAGAAATGTATTGCTTAGAACGGAAAAGGGTCCTAAAAGAAAGTTGTTTTGAAAATGTAAAAAAAAGGATTTTTTTAGGGTTTTGCAGAGCCCAAGTAGGTATTGGAACGGATTTTTCATTTTTTCGGTGAGTGTTCTTCCGAAAAAGTTTTTTTTTTGTTGAAACAGAATGTCAAAGAAACATTATTCCAAGGTTTTTGAAAAAAAGCTGTTATCGAAGAAAATGACATTTCAGAAGAAAAAAGGTGAGAAAAACATCTGCTGACTAACCTCCAATCAAAGTTTCTTCCTATTAATTACCTCTATCCTTTTATCATTCCCAGAAAATTGCAGTACAAAAGGCAGTCTTTAACCTTTCCTGTTATTCTTCTTTGAATTGAGAATGGCGAGAAATTCCGGTTTTAGAGCCCTTATCAATATTTCCGGGCGTTCAGCCCGGTGACGACAATTTTATCGCCTTTTTTGCTCGAAATATCAGAACTTTGCAAGGAAATTTGGAAGAATTCGAAGCTTTGAAGTTGGTGAAAATTAGTGGGCTCTTAGAGATATGTAGGAATGTGATAAAATCCAGGTTTAATTGAGGAAAAAAAATGAAGAAAAACAGAGGTTTCACCTGTCCAAATCACCTGAAAAAAGTGACATTTCTTGAAAATTATCCATACGTAGGCTTTGACACTCTCTTATCATCATAATCTATTTGTCACAGAAAAAATGTTTGAATTGAGTCAGAATCTGGTTCCAAAAATGGGGACATTTTCCCAGTTTGTTTTCGTTTTCGAACCTAATTCCCATCTGCAAGCTCATAATTAAATTATGCTTGAAAAGTGAACAAAAGTCTTGTTTTGAAGCCAAAAAAGGGAAATGAAGGAACTCGGAGAAGGGAGTTTAATCACACGGAACATGAGAACTTTCGGCTCCGCCCAATTTCTCAGGTGACTGTTTGCTTTCTCAAGTTTTTATGACACCCTCATTTCTTCCAAAATTGCCGGTTGCAGCAAATAACTCTTTAGATGAATGATTCATCAAATTTGGGAGAATAAACTTTCTCTTCAACAACATGAAATGAATAATTTTTTTTTCACTTGATGATTTTTTGAATCAAGTTTTACTGATTTTTTCGATGCTATGAAAATAAGACCAGCGAAAAAAAATTCAAACGGCGACTTTTCCGATTTTTTCATATCGCTAGGAAACTTTCCGACGGCCACCTTTCCGACGAATCTTTTTCCGACTTTTTTTCCCTTATATTTTTTTCGGTTTATAAGACATCTATTAACCTTTTTTTCTTATCTTTTTAATCATGAACCAGTTACCTACTTTATATAGGAAGATTTAAAAACGAAGATTTTATCGAGAAAAAAAGTCGGAAAGAGATTCGTCGGAAAAGTGGCCGTCGGAAAGTTCCCTAGCGATATGAAAAAAATCGGAAAAAGTCGCCATTTGAATTTTCGCTGGTATTTTTTTCATACCACCATTTTTTTCGGTTTTGAATAACTAATCCGAAATTTTATAATTTGAGGATATCCTTGGCATTTAGCCATCCCGAAAGGTCAGATAGTTTCAATTTTTTTCACCTGTTTAAAAAAACTCAGGTAAATATTTTTTTACTTTGAGGAATTTTTTTCACCTTCATACCCACGTATACGTTGGCATTCATAAATTTCTTATCAAAAAAATTGAGGTTGAGTCAAAAAGTGTTCCAAAAAAGTGTGGGACAATATATGAGTCAAGTCGTTGAGATAAAAATTTCATAACATATCACAAAAAGTGGAAAAAAAATTTATTGAGATAAGGATGAGTTATAGTTGAATCATAGCTGATTTAAAAAAATATTTTTGTGCAGTATAGAGCGAAATCGTGTTGGATTCAGTTTAATTTCGTTTTTTTGCTCCAAATGTTGCTGTAAATCGACGAGGAGCTGTAGTCGGCGTTGTAGGAGGACCAATGGGGATCTGTACAGCTGAAGATTGAAGAATTTCTGTTGTCAGTAAATTTATTAATCGTTGGAATTTTTTTTTTAAATAACTATGAAATGAAAAAACAAACTAGAACAGTAGATGGTGTCGTTGTCGATGTAGCCAAGTGGCAACTTTGGGGACCATTTTCGAGCACCTGGATCGCAGGACAAAGTGCAAACGGAAGTTAGGTAGTCGCCAGGACCGCTGGTTCTGGTACAGTTACACTGAAAATAATTGAAAAATTGAAAAATTCAATAAATAATTCACGAAAACTTTCTAAATAATATGAATTTTTCATCAAAGTACTAAACAATGTTGTCCTTAAAAAAGAAGGTTTAGGAAGAAAATCTTGAAAAAGCCTCAAAAAACGTTCATAAGCTGACCATATTGATCAAATAAAAAGAACCGGGATTCGAAATAGCCGATTTGAAGAAGGGTCACTTTTTTTTTGGGAAAAGTTGCCTTTTTGGACCCCAATTAACCTGATAAATTGGAGGAGTGAACAATTTTTTTAAAGTTAAGTTCAAAAATATTAACATTCGAGACGAATTTCTGGGCGCATATTCAAATATTTCATCAAAAAGAAGTTTTCAGAGCGGATAATTTGGATAAACTGCAAAAAAAAATTGAACTAGGAAAAAAAGTGTAACAGATTCACGTCAACGTTTCATTTTATTTTTTATTTTATTTTTTTGAAATATTTTCTTTCTTGATAACTTTAACATTCATGTTTCTAGGGATTCGCTGTCTTTCGGGCTCTTTCGAAGTTTGAATAGCTCGGAAAAAAACGAAAAAACAATTTTTTCAAGCTCGAAGAAAAATTTCTCACAAAACTCTTTTTTTATAATACATGGAAAAAAGGTAAAAGCTTCAGAATAAATTTACGAATCAAATAAAGAATATATTCGAAAAAAATTACATTATCCTCGATCCCGCCGCTTTTTGAATGTGATCATGGAGTCGTACAAGCCGATGCAGGTGATTTTCACCTGATTCAGGACGGCGTAGTCGAAATAAACGAATGGGCTCGTGGGAAATGAGTTTGACGTTCCATTGACAACTCTATTGCAGACAGCTTCAATTTTTATAACTTAATATTATTTTGAAGTTTATTCAAACTGTTGAATGGAGCAGCCGTTGATTGGCGTCCTAAGGAGATGGAAAAAACTAAAAAAAGTTTTTTTTTGTCAATCTTCTTTCCTTTTTTACAAACCTGCAACACTTGAAGTTAGAAGAAATAAGGATTCTCTTAGCCAAAACATTTCAAGTTAGACACGAAATGATCAAGAATCTGTGCGTCAAATGAACTGATTTGGCTTGATAAGCTGTCGAGAACTGATAAAATGTTTTTTTTTTTGCTTTTTGGCTGGTTAACCTCAGAAATTGTACCACACAGATAACTGAAAGTAAAATCTATTTTTTTCGCAAGTAGAATAGCTAAAAGTTGTCAGGTTTCAAGTTAAGAGTTTGCGCCTCAAGTAAAGAAGTCAGATCGAGCGAAAGTCGTTTTTTTGGTCGGCTGCAGCTTTTTCAGTCACGTCTTATACATTCCCATGTACCTTTTTTGAACCGAATCATCAGAAAAAGTTTATTATTTACATACAAAGGATTTCGATAAGAAAAAATAAAATAAATTAAATTTTTATTTGTTGAAATGCTTGGAGCGGTTTATCCGGAATTTGGACGGCTGAAATTCAAATTATTGTTCATTTCAATGTCACAGAGGCGAGTTTCAAGTCAGGGATTGAAGAAAAAGGCTTTCTAATTTTTTCCTTATGAATTCTGATCATTTAAAGCCAAAAAAAAAGAAAGAAAGGAATTTTTTGATGGCCAGTTCTGTAGTTCAGACTTTTAAATAATCACGAAAAAACCTTTTTTTTCAAAGTTTGAATCTCACTTGAACAGTATATTGTGTCATCGTCGATATGGCCATGTAAAGAGTTGGGAGACCATTTATCGACTTCAGGATCACAGAATAAGGTACAAATTGTGGTCATATATCGGTCAGGACCTCGTTGTCGTGCTGAATCGCACTGAAATAAAAATTAATTGATTTGTGAACTTTTGAAAAATCAAATATTTTTTACAAAGAAAAATTCCAAAAAAGAGGTATAAGAAGCCGGTGGAGTCTGATGAGCTTATAACAGACTTCTTTCCACTTTTTAAGCTTCTCAAAAAGATTTTGGTATTTTTAAGGTCCCAAAAGGTCCGTCAGACTTTGCCCGTGAATTTTTATATATATTTTCTTTTTCCTCTCAAATTTTCATGTCGAGATAAAAACTTACAGTTCGTTCAACACCACCGCTCCTGAACGAGATGATGGAGTCGTACAGCCCAATGCAGGTCACCTGTACCTGATTGAACACGGAATAGTTAAAATCGACGAAAGGACTCGTTGGAAATGTGTCCGATGTGCCGTTGATCACCCGCTTGCACACCGCTGTAAGTTATGGTCTTCTAACCAAAAGATCTTTTTTTCAAGCCTTCGAAAGTTAGAGAGTGTTCAAAGTAAAGAGAGTGCGCGTCTTTTTTTTTTCTCAGAGCGTCCTCTTGCTAACCAGTGCTCTCTAGCTTCGTAATTCCGAACGTGGACTCATTTTTTTTGTAAAAATTCTTGGGCAAAGTCGGAATGGTGGATAATGACCGCTAAGTGGGAGATGCTGAAAAAAGGCCGCAAAAAGGCAGCAAAAAAGTCCCTTTATTGAGCCTTCCATTTTTTTTTCTGGGATTTTAAAGGCTCAAGAAGTAGCGGAAAAAGGGAGAAACAGCTTGACATTTTTTTTTAGGTTGAGGTCTTTTTTTCTAGCTTAGATTGAGCTTTTTCAAAGAAAAGCCGCTTTTAAGGCTTATATTTTTTTTTGGGTCTCACGAATTTCGTAATTTTTCAAAAATAAAATAGATAAATTTAACGAACTGCGAGAGAAAAGACGAAGCTTTTTCATAAGTTTTCATTTGAATTTTTTGTTTTTAAAGAATTTTATAAAACTCACAATTTATTGGTTCCGAAGTGGTGGTTAGCACTGGCACGTCGACAGCTGTAAAGCCAAATTTGGTCATTTAAACGAGTTTTTTTTAGGTTCATCCAGTTTTTTTCTCCCATTCTTGGAAAAAGTCAAAACAACTTTCCCTAGTGTCGAGTCGAAATAAATCCGCTATTCTATAAAAATTTGAAAAAGATCGTTTTTTTTTCAAGAAACATCCAAATTATGTTTCACTATTGCCCATTTTGATACAATTTGAAGATGGCTGAATGCTCTACGCTCTCTTATTCCTCACTTGACGCTTAGGTGATATTTTCACGTTTCTATAAACTTGCTGCTGAGGGAACAGAGACGCAGACAGGTCAGAGCGTTTCAAAGCATGGTGAATGGAATATGAGACTTTCAAATATTTTTAAAATATTTCCAAGTTTTCCGTAAAAATATCTAAAAAAACTTGCGTACTTTCACAGTAGATCGTGTTGTTGTCCACGGGAAGCATCGGCGGTCCCGGGGACCATTCTCCATTCTCCGGAATACATGTCATATTGCATTTAACGATTTGTAAGCCTTCCGGACCGTGTTCCACAACGGGAGGACACTGAAATTCGCTTTCTGACAAGAAAAGTCATTTTAATTCGCAGTTGAGATTTTCCTAAAATTCGCTAGATGAAGATCTTGAAAGTCTCAACCTGCACAAATTTCTAGTTTTCGAGAACGAACATTTAAAAAAAAACCTCAAAATCCGTTAAAATCGGTTATTCCGGGGCTTTGAGCATTGTTTCTCGAAAACTAGGAATTTTTGCAGGTTTGAGATATTCAGAATATTCTTCTGGTAAACCCAGGAGTGTCCTAACCGATTTTCAGAGAATTCGGAAGTGAAATGAATTCCTTGGGGAGATTGAAATTTATCTCTGAATTTCCTCCGTCAATCCTTACTCCTGAACCTAGCTGCCCTCATATGGCTAGAACTAACAATTTTATGAGCTCCAGAAGAATAAAATGAGATGAAAGTTGAATGGATTCCGACGCAGGAAATGACGACTTTTCCAGGCTGGGTGTAGTCGAAACGGACGTGAGGACTCGTCGTACTGCTCGGAAGGGAGCCCTTGACCAAGTTTGGACATGCTTCGAGAGCTGTAAGTTTCGCATAATGGAAAAAGTTTTCAGTTTTTGCCATTTAGGTGTAGAGTTCAGGATTGTCTAAAAACTGGCTCAAAAAAGTTCCAAAAGTTCAAAGTTTTCTAAATGATTTCTTAATAGTATCCCGGTGCTAAGTTAAGAGCGAGTTTTCCATTTGCGAGGAGTACTGTATGCGGATATGCGCATTGCGTGCGTACACTTTGCGTATTTATACTTTCGTTACGTGACGTCACCGGGTTTTTGTTTCCGAGTTTTTTTTTTCGAATATTTTGCAATGTTTTTTGCTTTTTTTCAAAATTTGCATTTTTCTCGATTATATTTGCACGACAAAATAACAGTATCAAAACAAAATTGAAAAAAATGTGAAAAAAAAAAACTCGGAAACAAAAAACCCCGTGACGTCACGCAACGAAAGTGTAAACACGCAAAGTGTATGCACGCAATCCGCATACAGTACTCCTGGCAAATGGAATACTCCCTCTTGTCGTAGCACCAGTATCCCCGCTCAAATTTCTAGTTTTTGATGTATATTTGAATCAACAAATATGTTTAAGGTCTGATTCTGTGCAAAATTTTATTTTTTAGAAACTAAGTTGCACTGAAATCTTCATCTAGACCTTCAAAATATTTTCGAACAACTCTTTAAAACCGCCCCTATTAGCCATTTTCAAGCAAAAACAAGAAAACCTCTCCCGTCAACTTGGAGAGAAGCGTAGAAAAGGAGCAAAGACCGCAGCAACATGATGAAAGTGATTAACGAAATGTAAATTACTATCTCAATTGTTAACTGATAAGCAAACGGCATCACATGCGTCTCCATTGTGAGGAAATGGTCACTATTTCCGGTCTTTCAGATCTTTGGGAAACTTTTTCCCCACTTAAAATTGAGACAAGGAATTAATTTTTCGTAGAAAAAAAAGTTGGGCAAATTTTTTTTCTCTTTCGCTGTGCTGGAACAGTTGCCGCCTGGTCGATGATTGGTTCGGTTGTCGGTTGATGGAACGGCTGTAGCCTGGCCAAGTAAATAGGAACTCGGAACTAATCGATAAACGTACTATCATCTGCCACATGTGGAATTGCTTGCGTAGCGGCTGCGAAGCGGTTTTTGTGATAAGGATGTGCGTCCGACTTGAAACTACTTCTGCGCGTCGGATTTGAAATACTGTAGTTTGAAGACCTTTCCATTAAAATTTTCTTGAAGTGTATATCGTTTTTGGGCGGGACTTCTCTGCGCTCTCCTTATCTCTCGACGTCTCTCTCATGTTTACGTGCTGTTTCCATGTTTCTCTGACCTCGCCGGTGAGGGAACAGAGAGTCGCAGACACGCGAAAACTGTCAAGTCGCGTCGTATAGTTCATGGAAATCTATGTAAATTTGAAGTTGCCACTCTAGGGCAAAAGAGACAACTTGAAGAAAAAAAAAGCACCTTTCGTAATCCTTGTCAGTAGAGTTCTCAAAACCAAACGTTCGAACGAACGTTCGACCAAACATTTTCGAACAAATGTTGAAACCAAACTTTTGGTTAAAGTTTGCTTTTGAACGTTCAACCAAAATGAACGTTGATTTTCCGTTCGTAAAAAAGTTCGTTCAAAAAATGAACGTTCATTTTTCATTTTCAAAAAGTTCGTTCAAAAAATGAACGTCCGTTTTCCATTTCAAAAAAGTTCGTTCAAAAAACGAACGTCCGTTTTTTTATGTGAAAAGCAAACGTTCATTATTATAAGAAAACGATTTTCGAACTTTTTGGTTGAACGTTTGAAAATGATATATCCTAAACTATCGAAAAATGAAAAAGTTCATTTTTTTCAAACGGTCATTTTTTGAACGTTCGGTTTTGAGAACTCTACTTGTCAGTCCATTTCCGATTGATATTTCCGACAAAAATTTCAAAAGAGATCTCCTGAGAGTCCACTGAAGAGATCTCTTAGAATTTATTCCTCATATGGCACCTATAATATCAAAAACTGTTTTTTGAAGAGGCTCCATTTATTTTTTTGGGGGGTTCGACCCAAGCATTTTTTATAGAATTAAAAAATTGGCATATTACAATTCTCTGGATTTTTCTAAAGACTTATAATTTCTTGAGCAAACAGGTTCCTTTTCCGTAAAAAAAAAGAAGTAATCTAATTTCAAGGACCAGATACGTTTCGAGAAATGAATAAGTTCGTGGTGCCGAAAAGTTTTTGATTCTTGGTGATCAAAGAGGCTGACGTGTGTTTTTTTCCTATATTTCAGCATCCTTTTTTGCCTCACCCTCTATTTTTTATGTAATTGATCATTTTCTGACGTTTATGAGAGAGAAGAAAGTGTAGACAGGTTAGACTGCTTTTAAGTCGTGCCAAAAAGGCATTTTCAATTAAGTTCGAGGTGTTTTTTTGGAGTTGCCTTCTCAAACTGCTTTTCTATAGATCTTTAAAAATTAAACTAAAAATTCAAAAATTATCACTGGAACTAGAGTCTCATTAGATTTTCAACCTCTTGGTATTCATTTTAACAACGAATCGACAAAAATCAAAGTATTTCCGTCCCAAAAATATAATTCCTTCACCTCCTTCTCCTCCCACAACCGCAGTTGCACTATTTCCAGCCAGAAAGAGAAGGAGAAGAAAAAAAAAGAACTGAAGAGCATTCGAGAAACGTTTTTATAGAGATATTTTCCACACCGCCGAAGTTCTGTTCAAGGCGTCATGTGTTGCCGTCGGCACCGGCCGCGGATTGTTTGCCACGGGGCAAAACTCGGTTTTCCGCTTACTTTCCATGTTTTTTCCTGACCTCTCTTCATTGATTTCTCATCAATTTTAATTTTAGTTAAAAACCGTATTTGAAGAGGCACCTGAAAAGGAGTCAAAAAGAGATGCTTTATATGGATTTTTCAAATTTTTTTCGAATTAGATGAATTTTAAAAATTACGGCTTGTATTGAAAAATGTTTCCTGGCCAAGTTAGGGGCCTTGAAATTAGCTTTTTCAAAGCGCGAAGCTCGTTTTAAGATCGGAAAAAGTCTTCACAGTAACCGCCCCGCCGCCGCAACGCGCTCAGTCACTCCCCATGCGGCCTGAAATTTTGAAGCGAAAGTGTTTTGTGACGTCATTTTTATGCAGTTTCTCCCTCGGAATTTCATCAAAAAAACATATTTTTTTAAAATTGAAACTGAATCCTTTTTGAAAAAAAGCAGTAATCTAATTTCAAGGACCAGATACGTTTCAAGAAACAAATAAGTTTGTGAGGCCGAAAAGTTTTTCGATTCTTGGTGATCAAAGAGGCAATTTTTATTAGCGAACCCGAGAAATTTCGGCTGTTTCTTTTCCGAATTCCATACCTGATAGTGATCAGAAAGCCTGTTTAAAAAGAAGGTTAAAACTTTTTTTGATTCTGAAGAAATATTATGCGTATTACTGTAGAGACTATTAACAATATGCGAACGAGAGAGACGTAAAATTTGCTTTCCGAGCCCCCCAAAAAAAAAATACTTCGCGTTCCACGACTCAAAATCTCAGTTTCGCTCATCTCTGATTCGAACCCCCTCCATGAGCAAAAAGAAAAAAAGGCTGAAAAAAAAACCCGCCGCCTCATAACCATTTTGAACCTCTCCCGCAGCATGGCATTTCGCGCTTGAAGCACCCATCAAAAACACGTGTACCCGTCGGCTTTCGGGTTTCGTGTTATTCCAAGTTTCTTGATGCAGCGACATCGGTACAGGATGACGTACGAGACCATCTCCGTGCGGATGAACCGCAGCGACACGACCATCCGCTGGGGATTCACCATCCGGGCCCAGGGAGATCAGCTTATCATCGATCGGGTGAGCTTTTTTTTATCAGAAAAACGTGCTGTTTGAACCAGATTTTTCAATCTTTTTCTTAAATAAGAGTGAAAATTGGTTACTATAGGAGGAAAATTAAGGTGGTCTCCATGGGGGTTTAACGTTAAGAACTTAGGAATTCCAGAGTGGTCCTTCTAGGGATTCACGAGTAAAACAGCCCCAGTAGGAGCCGAAAAAAAAATTAAAGTGGTCTCTATGGGGGTTTAGCGTCTGACCTCTTAGCCCCTAAAGCCTAAGTGGCCCCTATAAGAGTTTTTCAGTTTCATTCAAAAAAAGCTTAATTATTTAGTTTTTCGCATGGAAATGCTTCTTCACTTAGATTTCATAAAAATCATCTGATAACATGTCCCCTATAGGGACCATTTTCAAGCTTTAATGACCCCTATAGGGATTGGTAAAAAGGTCTCTAGAAGGACCCCTATAGGGACAACTCTGGAATTCAGAAAAATGAATATATAAAAGGTAAGAATCACTATATGCCCTCGAATCAACAAAAATTAGAGTGTCTCAAACTTTTATTTTTTCCAGACAAAGTTAAGATTTAATAGTAAAGCTGTAGAAGCTTCCCACTTCATATAATTGAGTCAGTAAAGGTCTCTGAATATTTGAAAAAAATAAATCAAAAAAAGTAAAAAACCACGAAATACGAGGTGAGAAGACCTATATTACACTCTTCGAGTGGTCGTTTACATTATATGATGAAATTCTTGTTGATCCTTTTAGCTTATTCACAATACCATGGTAGCATAAAGATGCACGAAAAAAATTTTTCAAATCGAAATTGAAAAAAAAAGACTATTCAATGCATAAGTTAGAATTTCTGGTTTTTCGATTTTTTCTAATTTTTTTTAAACTTTTCGTTCATAATTTTCGTTCATAGACTTCATTTCACAGAAGAAACGTTTTAAAAAGTTCTCAAAAAAATTTATAAAAAAATTTATTAGCAATAGAGCGCACTTCAAATATGCAGTAAAAAAAATTGGTAAAATCTTTTTATGCACTTTTTTTCTTTTTAAATCACGATTTTTTTGAAGATTTTGTTCCGTGTTAGTAATTCTGCCTAGTTCGAATTAGCCTTCCAAGAGTCAAAAAAATATAACTAAATTATGAAGAGCTGAAGATTTCTTTTGAATTTCAAGAAAACTACTTCAAACACGGCATAAATTTTTCATTAAAGAGGGTTTGAATTAATTTCGATATATTCGCAAATTTTAACAATAAATAATTTCGAAACTTGAGAAAAATCTGATTCGTTCAACTTTTCTCTTTCCAATTTTTTTTTGGTTTCCTTGAAGTTTAAATTTTTTCTCGAAAGTTATTTTGCAAAAGAAAAATCATTTTGGCGTTTATTCTTCATTTTTTTTTGTCCACAACTGTACAAGTTTCAGGTCGAGGCCGAATCTCTCTCCGACAAAGCTGGTGTGAAAGAAGGCGACCGTGTTGAATCCGTACGTTCTGATTTTCTTTGGGATGTTTGTGAAACAGTATTTTGCAGATCAACGGCCGTCCATCAAGGGGAGTCGACGCCCACACGGCCAACCGTCTCGTCAACGACGCCTACAACGAAGTTCGCCTCTCTTTGCAAAGGTATTTTCTTGATATAATTATAAATCTTCAAGCGAAAAGATGTTAAAACCCAAAGAAAATCCTTTCATTTATCTCGGGTTGCTTTTTTACGCGTTTTCGCAGCTGTGCTCAAACAGCAAAAGAGATGAAGGCGAAAAAAAAAAACAAGGCGTTTTACACAAAACGCGGCATTTTTCCATGCGACAAGCCTCAAGTGTCCGAGTTCCAAGTTTTTTTGATTTGAGGGATTTTTTTAGAGGTTTTCACACAAATTGTCAAAAATTAATTTTGGTACAGAAGTAACGAATGGAAAGGCGTAATATTTTTGGTTCGAAATTTTCTTTTCCATTTAAAAAGGAAAGTTCATAAATAAGAGAAGTTATTGAACATCAAAAAAAGCAACGATATTAGAAATTCGATTGAAAAATTTTTTTGTTTGAGGTAATTTTTAGAGATTTTTATATGAATTAAAATAATGGAATTTACGATCTTGAAAGGAGGAGTTGGAAAGTTTTTTGGTACAAAATTCGCCCTTCTATTAAAAAATGAAATTTCATTATTAAGAGAAGGTATTTCACACCAAAAAAGCAAGGTTATTAGAAATTTCGATTTAAAAAAATTTCTTTGAACAATTTTAATTCAGGTTTTTCAAGGGTTTGAAACTCTAGTCAAATAATTAGAGAATAATAAGATTTTCTACTGTTCTTAGAACTTCGCTTGAGAACTTCACATTTACCAAAAACTTGTTAAAAATTCTATTATTTGGCCAACCTTATAGGGGGAGGGGATGCACATGAGAAAAATCGCAACTTTATTGAAAAATTCGATTCGAAACGATGAAAAAAATCCATAAAAAAATTTTTCACTCTTAGGATTTTTTTATTTTGTTGAAAAATGTGGATGAATATTTTTAAATAATGAAGTTATTTTTTTAGATACGTTGCCTCGCACACTTGCCTCCCATGGACCCTGAGCGAAAAAGATAACAAAATGGTGGTGGAAGAGGCCCGACCGGGCTTCGGCAGCGGATTCGGCCATGGAACCACCAACTTTTCTTCGACCAACACCTTTAATGTCAGTGTCTGGGCGGAAAATGAAAGTGACGCGAAATTACAATTTATTTCAAACTTGGTCAGAAATGGTCTGTCGCGCCAGCTTGTTTCGTTTTTTTTTCGCGCGAAAAAGACCAAATTTGATCGGACTTTAACAAAAACAACTTGAAAAATTGAACAACAGAAAAAATTTAAACTTGAAAGAAATGAAGTAAAAAAGCGAAAATCCAAAAATGGCGAAGCGTGTTATCCATAGAGCAACTTTACTGCAAGATGCCCATTTGGCGGGTACTCAAACTTTTCTTTTCCCGAAATTGAATTATTTTTTTCCAATTTCAAGACTTTTGTTTTTTGTTATACCTTTTGCGAGTTAAAAGTGAGGGTGAAAGCTGGGTTTACGGTAGTTGTAGAAAAAAATAATCTCTTACATGAAATTTACAATTTTATCGGTCCATTGAGCTCAACTTTTATAACTTAATCTGGTCTATTGAAAACACAGCTGAACTAAAAAGTTCTTGATTGAAAACAATATCAATCGATTGTTCTGTAGGAGAATCCGAGTGAAGAAGAAAAGTTCTAGTAGTTCCAAGACAACTTTCCTTGCATCTAAAGACTTTATGAATCAATCAAAATCCATATTTAGTTTCGAAACTTTCCAGAACTCGTCGAGCAACAACTTCTCTAGCCAAAACCAGTACTCGAGCATCGGCGGCGGCAACTACGGAAACACGGGCGGTTCATTCCCCGGCTTTGGCGGCAATTCAAACGCGTCGCGCTCCTCGCACCACCAGTCCCAGAGGTGGGAGGACGTCATCGGCTTTCCTTGACCTTTCGCTTCTTTTTCTCTCACGAAACAAGCTAGGCATCGAAAGTTGTGTTAAAGTAGTGGGAAATGGGTGTCGGATCACTTTTCGAAATTGTACAGTTTTGAACTGGTTAGAATAAATGTTTTTCTTTGATTAGGAGTTTGCAGTTGAAATGAAGAAGTGAACGAATTCTTTTCAGCGTATACAATTCCTCGTCGGCGCCGGTCGTCATCCCGACCAACGTCGTCAATAATTCTTCCCAGAGATACAACTCCAACTTCAACTCGGTTGGTTTTCGCGAGATGCTGAGGTTCTCGAGCAAGTAGACACCTTAGTGATCTCTCCATCCACTTTAGGAGTTGACAACTTTGACTATTTTAAAGTTCTAAAAAATTCCAAAGTTGTCATTATTTATCGAGAACATTGTTTTGAAGATTCAGAAGTTTGAAATCGGACGAGATTTTCCAGATGAAAAAAACAGCAATCGGCGTTAACATCAAAAACCCACAAGAAAATCGTACTTTCAGAAAAAAAAAGACCCGATTTCCAAACATATTCGAATCGTAGAATTTTCATACGGCCTCATAAAAACCTGTCTCTATCACATGTATTCTCAAGACGTCAGATTTTAAAAAAAAATTTGGGTTTTTCGTGCAAATCAAAGCTTCGTCTGGTATTTATGAAATAAAAGATAAACAAGATTCAGATCTTTTTCTCAGAATCCTCCAGAACTTCCAGGGAAGCCGAGCTCCATTCACAACCAACTCATCGAACAACTACACGACCTCGACCTCCAACTCCATCAATCAGGCGACCAACTACAACAGCATCCCAACCGGCTTCACCAAGTCCAACGACGCCCCATCGTCCTACGGCTCCGGCGCTGGTGCCAATAACTACGCCAATACTAATACTGGAAGCGCTGCTCCGCCAGCTTCCTTCTATGGGTTAGAAAATAGGGTCAAAAAAAGAAAAAGAAAAGATAGAAAGATGGCTAATTTTTTGTTTCGCGCCAAAAACCGCGACGCGTACGCAACGCGTCAACCTTGCCAATCTTCCCATCTCGCCTCTCAAGTCGGGAAAGTGTGTAGAAATAATTAGATCACGTGGAATATTAGACCACTATATAAAGGTCTGTTTTGACGGTTCCGCCTTGATTCCTGCATTCGACAACCCACTACAGACAGTCGAAGTAGCGAGGGGGGTTGTCAAATGCAAAGTTTTACCAAACTTGGGTAGAAAGATGTAGTCGTATCTGGTAGTCGCAGTAGAAGACGGTGGGTTGTTGCATGCAGGAGTCGTAGTAGAAGAGAAGGAGTTGTCGAATCAAAGTTTTACCTAACTTGGATAGAAAGATGTAGTGGGCGGTGGCTAGTCGTCGCTGGCTAAGGGATTTTGTATACGTCGCTGGTTGTGACTCGTTAGCCGTAACTCCTGCCTGCAACAAACCATCGTCGCTACTACGATTACCTAACTTGGGTAGAAAGATGTAGTGGGCGGTGGTGTCGCTGGTAGTCGAAGGAGACGACGCTGGGTTGTTGCATGCAGGAGTCGTAGTAGACGAGAATGAGCTGTCGAATGCAGGAGTCGAGGCGGGAGCGATGTTGATGATGATAGACGGTGAAAACAGACCTTTATATAGTGGTCTAATCTTCCACGTGATCTATTCATTTCTACATACATTTCTACAAAACTTGTTCTAGAATCATTTGAAAAATTGAACAGAGATAATTTTGTGACTTTAGCTACAACGGTGGCGCTCCATCGGACGGCTACGGCAAAGGCGCCGGCGGCGTTCCTCTGAACCAATTCACCTATGTTCAGACGAACAATCTCCCTGCCAGCCATGATAATGGTGGCTTGTCGCCAGGTAAAATCTCATCGAAAACGATTTTTTTTAGGTGTGAAGAAGAAAAGATTGTATACGATAACTATTGTTTTCGTTTTGGGACCTATTTTGAAAACTTCTTGAAGATTTCAAAAAAAAAATCAAGCTTTAGTGAGCTAACCAAGGAACGTTTTTTACCCCCCGGTTGAACTTTTACTGAAACTTTGCTGGAGTGTTCTTTAGGACCCCCCTGATTGCAGATCAAGAAAAAAATTTCTCGCACTAGTTTTTTTTTCAAGTTATGGAGCTTCAAAGTGTGCAAAACACGCAAATTTGGCCAAAAAAGCGGTATTTCGGTCTTTTGAAGTGTCCTAACTCGAAAACAAGATCTATTGCGAGAAATTTTTTTTCTGTTCTGGAATCAGGAGGTCCTGAAGTACACTTCAGCAAAGTTTCAGCAAAAAGTTCAACCGGGGGGTAAAAAAAGTTTCCTAGTAGACTAAAAGAACGGAAGGCTTCCAAAAAACAAAACGCCAATAAAAGCCAAAAAAAATTTGATGGTTTGACTGAGTATCACACGATATCCTTTCTTTTCGCTTTAGGACCTCTTTTGGAAACGTTGAAAGATTCGGAAAATTCCATGACGCTTAGGCTTCCTGAGAAAGATTAACAGAACTGAAAGCCATGGAATTTCCAGGAAAAATGTACTACCATTCGCCGAGCTCGCGCTCCAAGAGGGATCTCTCACCCGGCGCTTCGATTCAGGTTAAAGTTTGAACTTTAATGATACAATTTTCTTTGGAAAAATTCAATCTCGTCTCTCTTTCCCTACCCTTACGCTCCAAGGATAATTTCATCTTTCATCGATAGAGCGCGATATTTTTTATTCCAGCACCTCCAATACAACTCCCCAATGAACCTTTACTCTTCGGAAACGGCCGCCGATCAATACTTCCAACAGACTGGAGTCCATCCGGAGTTTGACTGGATTTATACCTTTTTTTCAAAAAGATAATTCAGAAACCCGCCGCCACGTGATAGCAAGACGCCAGCTTATTTGACCTCCGAAACAAAGAAGGTAAGTTTTCTTTAGAAAATCAACTTCAGATTCCTTCAAAATTTCATTAGAGGTCTACTTGAGTTCCTTCGCGAGTTAGAAAGAAAAATCATCGATGAAGTGAGAAAAGATTTTTATGGGAATGTTTCAGTTCTCCACGACTACTTAGAAATTTTAGAGTGATCCCTATAGGGGTTTAGGAGACGTCCAAGGTAACCTAAGGCTGCCCTCATAGGGGTCACTTTGGAACTCCTAAGAATAGTTATGAATCTATAGGGCTCTTTCAATTTAAAAAAAGGTTATTTTTTTAGTTTTTTTCGCATGGAAATGCTTCTCCGCATAGAGTACATAAAAAAATTATCGACTAGCATGTCCCCTATAGGGGCCTCTAACAAACCCCTGTTTCATGAGGGATAAACTTCAAGGTTGTAGCTCGGAAGTCGCTCTGAATGCTTTATAGAAAAAGAAGAATTTTTCAATAAGAAAGGATTTCCCGAAGAATATAATTTTCCAGTTGATCGAAGAAGAAGCCCGGGGGCGTTCGAGCCGCGGAAGATCGCCGTCCAGCCAGAGCTCCTGCTTCAAGCGCATTTCTCATGCCGTTGGGGCCGACCTTTGAATTTTAAACTGAACGAATTCAAGAAGAAAAAAAATCAAGCTTCTTTTTGGTACAAAGTAACGCGCTTCAAAATATAAACTCGCTTCTAACAAAATTTTTTCTCTATTCTAACAGAAATTCTAAATCGCTAACTTCTCAAGTTTTTATGTCGTTTTTGAGTTCTAATAAAGATTTTTCTCATGCAAAAGAGAAATGTCGTGAAATTTTTTTTCTTCAATTCCGAGCACAAGATCATTGGTATGTTTTCACCTGCTTCCGAAAAATTTGGTTGAGTGACAAGTTTGCCGTTTTCAAAGAACTTTTCTTTTTTTTGTCGAGTTTCAATAATAGAATTGACTTTTTCCAGAAAAAATGTCTTTAAAATGCTCCGTTGCTAATTTTAAGTTCTCGAAATCTCCTTAAATAATAATTCTTTCATTTCACCTGCTTTAAAAGTAGAAAATAGTACTGGCCTTCAAAATCAATTTGATAACAGACCTTCCTGCAAAAGTTATTGCAAACAACAAGCTTCTCATTACTGATAACTGAAATTGATACAGTTTTCAGTAGTAATTAGTTTTCCCACGTTTCGAAACGATCTTTGCGAAAAGACATCAACGATGGCCTTGTGATTTTTTTTTCCTGGCGATAAGCTGTTATTCGAGGCGTTTCGTCATTATGATTTATCATCGAAATGAAAAACTCACTTGTTTTCCGGTTACTGGTTCATTTCTGCATAAGCAGATCAGTTCGGCACGTGGTTTATAATCAAATTTTTTTAATCTTAATAATAGAAAAAAACGATTTTTTTGCCTTTTTAGAATCGTTTCTGAGGTGTTTTTGCATGATTTAAAGTATAATTTTTCGCGGTATCCTTTTTGTAAAAATTAATCCAGAAAAAGTTGAAAAAAATTGAAAAATGATGAAAAAAATAATTAATTTTTCACAAGCTGTCGTAAGTTTAGATGTTTCTGTGCATGCACTTCAACGCGTAAATGCATGCTCTCGTTTTTTTCCCAATCATTTTTCTTTAACTTTTTGCAGAGTTTTAATGCTTTAGAAAAATTTATGACTTGAATAAATCACTGTAAAAATCGATAATTACAAATTTGTGCATGAAGCTTAATTTTTCGCTTTGCAAGACCTCGTAGTTTTCGACTTCCAAAGTTCACATGCTCGTCGGGAAAATAGGAAATCGACACACGTGCAAATTGAATTGATAAGAAACGTGATGTCCGATAAAACGGTTCAAAAAGAGGCTGATAATTTTGAAACTTTCTCTTTTTTCATTGACAACGATCAGCTGGGGCTGATAAAATAGTTTTGAAGGGAATTTCGGTCATTGATAACATAGATAATGATGAAAAGTCACAAAGTTTCTTCTTTGAAAGTTAAAGTTTAGTTTATCAGTGATACGTTTTCCAAATGCCAATTCAAATTTCCAAACAAGTTTTTCAAGGTCGCAGTTGGAATGACCTGATGCGTTGCGGTTGGAAAAAAAAAACCGGGAGAAATTAAAATTTTCCATCTAAAAGAGGAGCTCAATTAAAATAAATTTTTGCAGTCGCCTACGCTCCAATTAGCCGTTAGTTTCAAAACAATTTTAATCACGTTTCCATTTTTTTTTTTCTTGACATTGGTTCTCTGAATTTTGGAATTTTTGGCTTGAGTTACATCAGCTGATGTATTTTCATTATTTCCTCGAAAATTATCTTATTCTCAAAAGTTAATTGATGTTTGCTCGATGGAGAGAAGTTTCTTCTCAATTTTTCAATGTGATCTATATTTTGTTCGAATGACATCATTTTTAGTATTTTTGAGAGTTCGTCCCTGAACTTTTCTCAGAAAAAAGGTCAAAAAAGTTTTCAAGAACTTTTTCAGAAACGTTTTCATCCAAGTATAAATAGGGGGAGGGGCCTGGATGACGTGAAGCTCCGCCTACGGCTCCAGGCAATTTCTATTCGAATTCCACCTGTTTTAACTGTGTCTCCTCAATTTTTCAAGATTTTCCCCCGTTTCGAATTTTTTTTTTTCAGTCGATTTCAAAACTCTGCCACTAATAACTATTTCAGAGATCCTAAGAATCATTTGAGAAGATTATTGGATTTTGTTCTAGGATGAAAAAAAAGCTTTTTGACTTATTCTATGAAGTTAGACCCGTTTGAAGCATGTACGTCAAAATTTTCCTGGGAAAGTATTATTTTTATTATACTTAACGTAAAGCTTTCTGACCGCATTTGGAATGGCTCAACGCGGCGCGGTCGCGCTGTTGTTCGAGTTTTAACTTCAGTTTTTTTTTACATTCTGTCATGCTCCATTTCTCAGCTTCATCAGAACTATTCTGTCTACCCTTCGTTCAATGAGCCATTTTGAGAATACCTCTACCTTTCCAGATAAGTCCTTTGATGCCCTCTTCAGTCGTTGGATGGAGCTTCCTGGCGGTGCTGGTTGGCGCCTCGGCGGTGCCGATCCGCGACACAGCCGCCAATATTGACGTCATCATCCAGTGCTATCGCCATTTTCAAGAATTGTTCGTTTTTTGTCGATATGTCTGTTTGAAAAAGTTTATTTGGACCTTACATAAACTATTTCAATTCTTGAAAAAAAAAGATAAAAATTGATATAAAAGAGCTCGATCTGGGAGAGTTCAAGCTATTCTCAATTTTTGAACGTAAACTATAAAGAAAATCATTGATTATATTTTTTCCAGAGGCAAAAAAGTCTACGCCGGGTACATTGGCAGCAGTATGATCCTCTACGACGAGGATGGTCAGTTTTTTTTTTCGAATTTTCTTCTTTTCTGCATCCCAAAAGCATTCCGGAAGCTCAAATTACTCACTAATTCCTCTACAATTTCTAAGTGTTTTTGTCGGGGTATCCAATTACGTAAACCTGAAATGAGTATATGATTCAAAATTTTCTTTTTATTGTTCTTTTTTCTCGGCTTAAAACATCGGGGTGCAGAATCATCGCGTAGATGTATTTTTGTGTAGAAATTATCCTCTTAATTATACTAATAAACATGACAAGCAAAGGTTTTTCTGGAAATTTATTGACTTTTTTAACGGGAAACGTAAGAAAAGATCAGAAATTCGCAAATAGCTAAAAAAAAATACTTGGCGCTTGAGCTGACGCCCCTCAAGGGATCGCTAGAAATGCGAACGCCTCTCAAGGGATCACTAGAAATGCTAACGCCCCTTAAGGGGTCACTAGAAATACTAAAGCCCCTTAAGGGTTCACTGGAAATGTTAACGCTCCTCAAGGGATCACTAGAAATGCTAACGCCCCTTAAGGGATCACTAGAATTCTCTAAACGTCCGGTTTGCTTCACAGAGTCCTGAGAACTCATTTTCTTCAAGAAAGTTGACAGTCTTTGATAATTTTCGTTTGAAAATTAGCTTTCAAGCTCAATGAGCTGATAGCGATTCACACAAATTATCGATTGATCGATTGATAGTTAATCTACAGGAAGCGAGGTGAGCTGCAACAAGTGGGAGCAGCAGAAGCTGCGGAGCAAGTACAACCGCCGATGTATCTTCTCGCCGATCCACTGCATGTTCAGTCGGCGTCTGAAGGCGGCCATCCAGAGGGCCACCGACGCCAGCGAACTCGACGCCGTCAAGCTGCCCTTCCTCTACGTCCATCATCGTCAGAATCGGCCAACCGATAAAGAATAACTGGTTTTTCTTTTTTTCTCTGCTCTAACCTCCATTCTTCATAACTTGAAACAGTATCTGCTCTCTCGACTCTCGTGCTATTTCCATGGCTTTAAGAGAAAAGAGACGCAGACAGGTCAGACTGTAAATGAGCTGTACGTATCTATATATTCCGTTGTACAGGTATTGTGGGAAAGTGCGAAGGCTCGTACGAAATGCGCTTCGAAACCCTTTTTGACCCTAGGCCTATGCGCCTTTGAAAATTGGGAGTTTTGAAGGTACTGTTGTAAAAAATTCCAAATTTTTCATTTTATCCATGGAGCGCAAAGTGCAATAATTACGCGGCTGTTTTCCCCAACTTTTCTGAAAATTTTGGAGCGAAGAAGGGACAGGGAAGATAAGATTAAAAAACTCTCACACCTTCCTAACACTATTCCACCTCACCATATTTCTCAACTTTCGATGTAAATTTTGAACGATGCCAAAGACTAAACTTGATCTCAATATTTTGATGAATTTTGTCGTTTATTCGCATTTTATCTATTTTTTGTGATGTAAATGTGCCTTCAAGGTTTCCTCTACAGTGAAGAAATGAATGTTGATAAAAAAAAGGACAGTGAAAAAAAATCAAGCCCCTTTTTTGTTGTTTTTGCCGCTTCAAATTTCAAAATTTTCAATTTCTTGAAATATGAGAACACTTAAAAGTTTTGGGCCTTGGAGAAGTGGTCGCAATAAAAGTGCACCCGACCTCAAAACGACTTGCGCGTCAGCGACCAAAATCACGAAATTGAAGAAATCGAAATATTCGCCTGCTATTTTTCCTTCGAAAAGCCCTACACAATATCGTGAAAGGCCCTGGGAGCCGCAGGAACAAAGAAAAAACAAGAAAAGACAGACACTCGACGGCGTTCGAGCACGGCTTAAACGATTAGTAGGACGACATTCGCTTCTCTTTTACGCGTTTCGCGACGATACTCTCAGCTACCGTAATCCATTGTGCGACAAGTGGCGTATTGTCATGGCGGACAACCTGATTGTGCTGCGCAATGTGTGCGTTGCGTGCAACCGCCGCTTCCAGCCACCCACTTGACCCTTACGTCGGCAGCTTTTTTCATCTTTTTCACGCCTTTTTTAGCTGGAGTTTGTCCTGCTTCTTTCAAAACACTGTAGTTGCACGTGTGATAGCTAGAAGGGCTACGGTCATCGCGCAAGTCGTTTCAAGTCGGCTGAAGCGTTCACTCGCTGAGCCATTGAAAGAGAAAATAGACTATATACCGTATTTACTGTAGATTAAATTATGATAGAAAGTTTATTTACGACTTTTCTTCTCCAGACTATCCTGAAGAACTTTTTTCATAAGAGAGCTTTAAACCAAAAATTTTTTGAACGCAATAAATATATACAAATTCATTCATATGGCTTGAAAATCGTGTACTTTTTGGGAATCGTTGGCGTCGTTGACAATTCATCGGACTCTGATCTTAAAAAGACATGTTTTGGGTTTCTAAATCTGCCCTTGAAAATAGCATTCTCTGAAAAAGAGCCAACCTCTCCAGCTTCCTGCACTCTGACGACGTCGCTTGGAGCATCGTATCGGGGAATGACGTCGCGGCGCGGACGTCGTCGTCCTTCTCGCTGGCCGACTGCGCCGCCGATTCCTGCTGGGCACGTCGCCATTTCGCGCGTCGGTTCGAGAACCACACCTGCGCTCCTCGGTTGAAGGCGTCGCCATGCCGTGGACACACCTGTATGCGCGCTTCGGGGAGAGCCGTTCTTTTCGTGAGTTCGGCTCGGTCGACGCCACTTGGGTAGGGATCCTTGCTGAACGCCGCCTCGAGCACAGCCAGTTGTTCTGAAAATGAGGATATATAGCCCATTACCAAAAGCGCTTCACCATCAAAAAATGCGGGGAAAAAATTGTGAGCCAACTTAGAAACTAATCATTACGAGATTTGGAAAAGGCAGCACTTTTCGGAAATTCTTTCTTAACCCTATGACCTTCGGAAAAGAAAGGAGGAAAATATGGAACAAAACAGAAGTTTCATTTCAGAAGCGATATGAAAGAGCCAAAAAAGAAGTGAAATGACCGAACCTGCAGTGAAGGTGCTCCTGGAGCAACGACGGATTCCCGGGTCTTCTTCGCTCATCGGAATCGTCTCCGTCGGCGAGGCCGCCGGCTGCGGATTCGCCGTCAGAACAGAAAGAAGCGGGTGGAGTTGCATGGGCAAGGAAGTGGTCGTCGTCGTGGCCGGGTTCAGGAGGAATCCTAGACGTTCCCTCATTTTTCTTCCGAAAATGGTTTCGAAAAAACCTGGCCAAATGGTCGGCTGAAAAGGGAACGACAGTTGCTGCATGCCGCTCATGGACGGGATCAAATTGCGCGGCGAGATTCTTTGCCTTCAAAAAACTCTTCTTTTGACTGAGCTTTTTCCATCTGAAGGTACCTGGCCATGTGTTGAGCATTGATGATCATACTGAGTTCTTCGGCGGCCCTCTCAGCTGCCCTGGTTCTCAGAATCCTGTTGATTGAGGAAACTGAAGGCGGCGTTGAGCAGACGGCTGAAATCCACTTTTATTTTCGATTTTTTACTTGGTTTTTTTTTTCGAAATTCAGAAAATTCTCACTTTTTTTTCCTTATAAGCCTCGGATCTGGGTAACGCGAACTGGACGCGGAATTTGTCGGGGCATTTCTAGTGACCACTAAAGTAGTGTCAGCACTCTTAAGTGATCCCTAGAGATGCTCAATAGAGTGCGGTTCACGTTACCAAGGTTCAAGCTTCTTTTTTAATTACGGAAAAAAACCGGTCAGTCTGTGACTCGAAAAAGAGGGTGTATGCACCAAAAACGCCACATCTGACGACTTTTTCGGTTTTCAGATAAGTTCTACTTTTAGAACGGCAGTCACTTAATGTAAGTCTAGCCTTGAAAACAAAAGGATTTAGTGATTTTAAGAAAAGGCCCTAGCACGACGAGCAGTACGGTAGGTCTTTTCTAACCAAGCCTTTCTTAAAATTCATTAAAGAAGCTTTCGAAAATTTCTTGTTTGGATAGGTTTCCCTAGAATTCTCCTACTTTTTTTCACCCCTCTTCGAGATCGCTGAAAGCTCGCTCTATTGACCAACTTTCTTTCAACCATTCCGATAGAAGCTCCCCTCGAATTAGAACTGAACAAGGTGCGGCGGAATGGATGTCACTCGACACATCGTATCGATGACAACAAGGCGCAAAAGCGCGCGTCTCTTTTGAAACCCGATATACGGTATTCATTAAAGAGATGTCGTACTGTAGGTATTTGCCTGGACGGCCATGTTTGCACACCGAATGGTGTCACAATTCGCACTCGGCTGCTACAATGCCTGCGGGAGACGATTCGGCGACGATTTCGAGTGCCTTTTTGGATTTCCAGAGCAGATGAGAAGCTTTTTTCAGGGCTTCGAAATGAAAATATCAGAGCGAATGAATTTAGTTTTTTTTTCCAGCCTCTAACAAAAACAAAGGCACGTATTTGCTATACCGGTCATGTTTGTTGTGTAAGCCACTCAAGTGGCCCCTCTGAGCGTGATACAGCTCGCCGACAGTTGAGTGGGTGCCAATGTCCGCCTTTGTTCTTGGGTTTCAAATCTTTTTTTTTGTTTTCGAAAAGCTTCAACTTATTGTTTTTTGATATAGGAAGGGTGTGACATTTATGAGACTTAATTTTTGTCAAAAATCGAAAACTTTTCGATAATTTTCGAGAAAAAAAAACGTAAAGAAGCCTCTTTTTTCGAATTTTCTTTGAAGACTCCCATACACCATTCACACACAGCTTTAGAGAAGAAACACTTTATACGTCTAAAACTCCAGTTTTGGCACACTGCCTCGCTAATTTCTCGAATAAGTTAAGACTTCACTTATTATCCGCTTGTCTCTTGAAGAATGTTTAGGTTACTGTATGAACCTCTTCTTTTTAAAAACTATATCGAGAATCTCTAGCTTTGATATTTTTATTGTGGTTTAGCTCAAGCCAGTCAAAAAATGTCCAGTCTAACAAAAAAAAAAACCTTCATTGATGAGCTTCTCGCGAATTTCCCAGGCGAAAATGGTCGGATTGTCGCGCTTGTACTGCTCGATCTTGGCGACGACTTGAGGCGTTGCAACCTGCAAGATAGAAAAATACACACTTTAAAGAAATCTACAGTAACCAACCTTGGGCTTCGTGCCAGCGCCCGTTTTCGTGTTATTTGCCGCCTCGACGCTGCGACGGCTCATTTTGCCCATTGTACGTGTTCCTAGATAGGTTTTTAAAGTTAAAGGAGGTGGGAACTGAATTTGAAAAATGGTTAGAGAATGAAGAATAAAAAAAAACTTTTTGAAGCTGTTCAAAAGAAATCAACCAAATTCAGCATCGAGTCATTCTGCATGCAACCAGATCGCGGGAAATTGTGAGTTTTCAAGGATTTTCAATAAAATTTAGTCAACAGTAACTCCAATAATTTCAAAACTATATGAAATAAAGCCGATCAAACCAACCCCAAAGGTGTAAAAGCTGCTCTTGGGACAAGCTTCCCGGCGAAATCGTCGGGGCGGTCATTTTTGAAAAGATATTAATAGTGATAGAAAACTAGAGAAATAGGCTGACGGTAGTGAATTATAGCACCTTTGTGCGGTCAGGAGGGTCAAAACGCCCGCCAAAAAGCCACGCCTATTTGAGGGAGTACGCTCAGCCGCGCTACCGTAACCTGTCTTCTTGCTCTTACCTCTTGAGTTCTAACAAAAAGGAGAGTTTGAGGGAAAAGATCAGGAAAAAAATCATAGAGCTTTCCATAGGGATTCTGAGATGTACAGGTTTTTTTTAACTTTTTAATTTTTGTTTGTTTTTTTTTTTATCAATGACAAGTTTATAATCAGGAATACGTTGCCCAAAAAAGTCTCTAGAAGAGACGGTAGGTTTTCAGTTTCAGACACTTTTCCAAAAAGTTCACGGTTCCTTGAAATTTTGTGACAAGATAACTGGAACTGAGTTCTACTCAAAGTTACATAAGTTCTAGTTCCTGTCAACTACAAAACCGAAACCTCCCCAATTCTTAGAATTCTCGACTTTTCTCAAACTACAATACAGAAGTTTCAGCTGAATACAAAAAACTGCAATAAGGAGGTCAATTTTCTGGAACGATGAACGATGATTGAATATTTTAATGATGAGCTCTTTTTTTTTTCAATCGTGAAAATAAAATCAGAGACTTTTCTTTCGTAAAAAAGGGGATATTTTTGCTATTTTAACGGTATAATAAAATTCTTAGCCATGAAAATAAAATTTTTACCACGAATCGAGAAACTGAAAGCAAAACCTGACCGCAACTGTACAGCGACGTTGGGGTGAAAAAGCCAGATAAAAATCAGAAACTTGTCGCAAATGTTTTGCTAATGGAAAAGACAACCTGCGCAACATTTTCTCGCAAAGTTGGTCGGAATCTATTTTTGAAAGGTTGGGAGAGAAATGACAAGCGTACAGTCAGAACCTAACCTAGAAAATTCTACAGGGTTCACTCTATAGACATTGAAAAAAATTTCATTATATATTTTTTCTTCTAAAGTTTATGCTGAGGAAGTATAGCACGCAACAAAAACAGTTTTTTTGTCGGAAGTTTTATATGCTCTTCTAAAGTTTTTTTAAAAAAAGAACTTTAAAAAAATCCAGAATAATATGTACCTGTTCGAAGCAGTAGTAGCTCTTGATTAGGATAGGCGTGTCTTCTGTGTCAAGTGGAGTTCGGCCCGTGTTTGGTTGCCCAACCATTCCTTTGCATGTTCCAGCCACCACCTTTGTCATCAAGTAGCCGCTTCTCTTTGCAAGCGAGCCTCTCGAGATAATCTTCCCGTACAAATCTTGATACCATTAAACACTGAATGAAAACAGGAACAATTAAAAAAAAAATGTTTAAAATTGAGATCACGTGGTTACGCGTCGAAGTGTAGGTATGAAAGCGTTTTATTCTACGACAGTTTGGAAAATTCGACAAATTTTTATCCATTTTTGTTCTTTATTCCGTTTCTTTCCTAATTCTTGTGTTCAATCTATCTATGGGAATAGTTCTACGCATGCTCCTGTTGTCGCTAAGAAAAAAAGGTAATTTGAAATAAAGTTTTTTTGATCAAAATAATAATAAAAAAAGAAATTTTCAAATATACGAAAGTCAACTTCATAAATATTACTTGGTGCGAAAAACTAAAATTTTGAATTGAACTAAATTTTTTTCAAAAAGAGTATTTTTTATTACGCTCACTTTGTATTTAAAATTTTAGAAAGAACATGAAGACTTGACTCAAAAACTGTTTGATTTATTTGGCCAAGGTACTTGATAACGCAACTTGCAGACGGAGCTCTTTCATTTTTAATGAAAGGATCTTTACAGTTCGAACTTTTTGCTCAGTGTCCTTACAAAAAAGTTCGAGAGAATGATTCCGTGGTTAGTAAGCGCATAATCATCTTTTTTCCGAGTTATTTCTTGAGTTTGCATAAACTTTGAATATAGTGATTGATTTCTTTGTTCTTGTCAGACAACGAAAAAAGAGCGATGAGTAGCTTCATTTTGACCAAAGTTATTGGGGCGCGTTGGTCGATGACAGGCGATGACGTCACGCGTCCTTGTACTTTCTTGTACTTTTCGTACTTTTTTGGCTCTTGCTACGGGCTCGAATGTAAACGTCGCGATTGAGTGGCGCCAAAATTTCGAATCTAATCTCCTGAAATTATCAGCCTTGAAAAATCCCTAAAAGGGTCACTTACCAAGCTCTCGTTGACAATCATCACTCCGGCGCTGTTATCAAACTCCCCACAGTACCTGAATCATCGTTTTTTCAAAATGTCATAATTTGTTGGTTATATTAGTGTGAAAAGTATTGTATCACCAAAACACAGGAAACGGCTCACTCTTTTTTCATTCATGTTCAGGTTTTGAAGTATTGGAAAGTGACCAAAAATCCTCGAAAATTCGAATCTTGGTAGCTCAAGACACTAAGTGATCACTTGAGTGCTTGAAAACGTCAAAGTGATCACTTAAAGATTTTTAGAGATTTCGCGTTATCGCTCGGACCTCGGTAAAGCTAACCGGACGCAACCCGGCATTTCAAGTGATCCCTTGAGAGGGATGACGCCGCTAAAGGGGTCACAGGGCGCGTCCTCGCATGCTGAGCAGGGTAACCCCGCCGTGCTAACACGGGGTCTCCGCGGGTGCCCCCGTATTAAACCCGTATAAGCCCAGCTGATAGAACTTTTGGCACTTTTTAGCCCAACTGAGACCCCGCTTTAGCCCAGCTGGGTTACCTATTTTTCTTACACCCGTTGTTCCCCCGTTTTAGCCCAACTGAGACTAAAATAACCTCAGAAACACGGGTTTAATACGGGTACACCCGTTGAGACACCTGCTCAGCATGCGAGTCTGGTCTGCGTTTCCGAGATCCTCGCCTTCGATAGATCAAATTTGAACTTTTTTTTCACAGTCTCTCAATCCCCCATTCAGAATGTTCACTTCGGCGCCGAGAAAATGGTGACGAGCCGCCGGTTGCAGAAGAACTCGTAGCCGTCCTGGACGACCTGATGCCCGCGGGCGATCAGATCAATGTTCATCTTCTGGCAAAAGTCCCGGACGACGTCTGCGCCGAAGACGTAGGACACGCCGCGCGAATTCTTGCTCCAGCCCGTCACGGCGGAATCCGGATCCGACCACAGTAGATCCTGAGAGAGAAAGAATCTTTTTCCAGGTATAGAATATGTTTCAAATTTTTTACGCGGTCTTTTTTCAAAAATCCTCGAATAAAGCGGGTGAAAAGGGCCTGAAGCTTCATTCGGTTAAAGTCTTTTCGGCGAACTTTTTTTTTCGGGTGAACCCGCTGGACAAAAACGGGCACCCTTCGAACAACCTCCGCCCCCTTAGAAAACTAGCTAATCCGAATCGAATATGAAACCATGGCGATGCAACGGTTTGGCGGGTCGAACGGCCGCTTGATCGCGTAGAGCTGGTCCCAGGTGTCGATATGCGGAGAAAGGCCACCGTGCATGCAGAAAATTCCGGCCAGACACCAAGGCGCACAAGGGCAAAGCGTTGAAGATCTCCTGGAAAATTTATTTTGAAAGAAAAATTTGAAAAGCTGTCATATAAAAAGCTTCAAAATACGCTTCGTGAAATCTCCCATTTCATTAAAATCTTGCTATAGTCGATGTGCCACAAGTTGAAATTTCATGGAACAACACTCCGCTGTTTCGATTTTGTGCGGTAGCGCGCATCTTGCGAATTTGCCAACTTCGGCCACGCTAATTTTTTTTTGGTTTTCATTCTAATTTCGATCGTTTTTTTATTGTTTTATTTCTTTAAAATGTAATATTATCGTTGAAAAGGATTGCGTTGTACAAATGTAAAAGAAAGAACACAGTAAATTTCATGATGTTTCTCGAAAAAAGCGATTTAAAAAAAGTTTGAAAAACTTCATGTATTCTTCAATCGCTTTAATATTGTTTTTCTCGTTTCTCAAAAAAAGTTTTCAAAGACTTACCAAAGGATTTGCGGGTGAAATAGGCCGTAAACGCCACAATATTCTACAATAGTTTCTGTGTTTTTTTAAAGCCATGTTTTAATGTTTTCATCGTTTTTTTTTTCTGTTTGCAGTCGTTAATTGTTTTTTTCAGAAAGTGAGCGCCTTATAAAAACGAAGATGCGTACTTCCATGAGCACATGCACCATAATTTGAAGAAAGGTTTTTCGTTCCTTTTTTTAAATGGAGCTTTAGATAAATCGTATTGCTGAACTATGCGTCAGAAATGGGGCGTGAACAGGGAGCACTTGGAACAGTGGAAACGATGTGCTGAACGAAATGTCCAGCAAACTAATAATTTTTCCTTTGAACTTATGTATCTGTTTTTTTTTAATAAAAATTCGTCAATGTAGAAACATTCAATTTTTTTTAATCATTCACTGTGTATTTTATTTCTGATTGGGATATTTTTTACATGATTTGAAATGAAAAAAGAAATGTCGATAAAGGCTCAATGGAGGTAAAATAACGGAATATATTGAACAAAAACCAAAGACCATCTCATGAAAAAAACTTTCAAATATTATAAACGCATTTTTTTCGCTTAAAAATTCGCAAATTACTCTACTTTATTTTTTTATCAATGAAACAGTCTATCCACTAGAAAAAGATAATTATGAGTTTGGTACGAAGAAAACTATTAAAACATGATTAAAATAATGAAAATTTCGAATAAAAAAAAAAATGGAAAGCGCGACCGAAATTCGCAAAGGCAAGGTGCTTTCACGGCCACGGACACCCAACGGAGTGTCGTTCCATGAAATTTCAAGTCGTGGCACATCGACTATACGACGCTCCAAGAAACGCTTCATAGACGGTTTTTTTTAATAATGCGAATCAAGAAAAAGGCGGCTGACATTGGAAAATTCAACATTTCGTTCAAGAAAACGGTTAGTTCCATATTTTTAAATTATTTTGATACGATGCTTCAAAGAACGATTTTTTGAGTTTGTCAATTTATTTCAGTTCTTTAATTTTCTTTTAAGAGTAACAAGCCCCAGTCCGAAATAATTCCAATTTTTGGAGAAAAAGAAAATTCAGTGATACGACACTCCAAATAACTCTATAAAAACATTTTCGCGAATATACGACGCTCCTAATTACGGCTAGCAGTATAAACAAGTTTTCTATTTTCTTAAGGACACGAGGCTCCAGATGACGCTGTCAAACTTCTTTTCCCAAAAAAATTTTTTTGTAAAAAAACCTGGAAAGAGTTGTACAATGACACCGAGTACCGCCGCTTACATTCGTCGTAGAACCCATAGGTCTGAAATAATCGATTCCATTGATTTTTCCGATAGTTTTTCGACCTTATTGATGGAAGCGCATTCGTGGTTGCCGCGAAGGATGAAAAACAAGCCCTTGTAGTGAATTTTGTAAGCCATTAGCAAACAAATCACCTCCAATTGCTGTCGTCCACTGGAAAAGTTCTATTCACGGTTCTTTAAGAACAGTCTGACTTGTCTGCGCTCTATTTCTCTCTCAATGGCTTGCTCGTGAGAGAAAAAGAGAGCGCAGACAGGCAGAAATTCGGCTCAGTTCTTTTAATAATTCGTCCTGAACTTTCTCGCATCTCTGCTCCTTCCTACTCTCACACGTACTCTCCTGTGAGAGAAAAATAAAGTGCAGACAGGCAGAAATTTTGATTCAGTTTCTTTAATAGATTCATGCAAACTTTCTAGCATCTCTAGACCCTCCTAATATCTCAATTTTTCGCTAGGGAAAAAGAGAGCGCAAAAAGTCATAAATTGAATTTTATCTCTTTATCAGGGCCCCGTGAACTTTCTAGCTTGTCTGCACTCTCCTAATCTCACACTCACTTTTCCGCTGGGGAAAAGAGAGCCCAGATAGGCTGAAATTCCCTTTTTCCCTTCTATAGCGTCATGAGCTTTCTAACATCTCTACGCTCTCCTTATCTCTCGCTTACTCTTTCGTAAAGATAGAAGAGAGCGCAGACGGGCAGAAGTTTGGTTTGATACTTTTGAAACCGTCATGAAAGTCTCTGCGCCCTCCTAATCTCTCATTTATTATCTTGAAAGCAGGCGAGAGAAAAAAGAAAGCGCACACATACATAAAATCCACGTTTTGAAACTTACCGATCAACATAGTCGCCGAGGAAAAGGTAGTTCCGTTCCGGAGGAAAATCACAGCGATTGAAAATGCGCAATAAGTCGACGTACTGACCGTGAATGTCGCCGCAGATCTGCAAAATGTGGACGATGAAAAAAGGATGCATGACCCTAACGAAGTTGTGACTTTGCGCTACGAAGCTCCAATTGACACTTTCTAAATTTTTTAAAAATCTGTTACTCAAACGACGGAGCTCCAAATCGCGCTGACAATTTTGCAGTTTCTTCTCTAAGCACGAAGACACGAGCTTTCTGCGCCCTCTTCATCTCTCAGTGCGGCTCTCTGCTGCTGCAAAGAGAAAGAGAAAAGAGAGCGCAGACCGGTCAGACTGTTTCAAACCGTCGCAAATGAAGTATTTTATAAGAATTTTCTCACGGCAAGCGGAGCATCGATCTCAAGGATCGATGGCTGCTCCAAAATGATAGCCGTGCACTGCTGGATGACGTCATCGATCTCGGACTCGCGGATGGAATGCGTCAGGGAGGGATTCGCCGTGTCGTTGACTCAAATAGAATTAAATCAAATCAAAAACAAGGATTCAATCTGTAGTGTCTGCGCTCTCTTTCCCTCTCGTTGGCTCTATTAGTGTGTTAAAAGATGGCGTAGACAGGTTAGGCTTATAAAAATCATACCTGAGAGAAGACGATCGATGAATTGAGGTATATAAGTTTGGGCCATTTGGAATGGCTCGAGAAGAGCGAGCCACGAGGGTCAGTAGAAATGAGCTGCGTGGCTTGTCAAGCGTTTATTTTTTATATTTTTTCCCCAGGGTTGAACTTGATTCGTTTCTAGCTATTTGGTTCTAGCATGGCGTAAACCGTTTTTCGGTCGGGTGCACTTTTATAAGGGTTTCTGCTCGTTTAGCCACTCCTCTCTTGCGACCAACAAAAAATTTTGTTCTATCCTAACCAATATCGACTATCTGGATAGTGTTCGACAGAGCACAATTTCCCGATCGACTTTTTTCAAATTGAGCTCTTTTAGAAAAAGCCTTGAGCTGTGACCTTTCGCAAAATTTGTAGTTTCAAGCAAAAACACTATTTTTTTATATTTATTATCAGGGAACGTACTAGCCCAAACAAGGATAAATCGAAAAACCTTCCTGATAAAAAAGAACAAAAAAAAAAATCAAAAAGTTTACTAACAGCCCAACTAAAAAAAATGAGAAAACAAAAAAAGGGGGCTTCAGAGCTGACGCTCGATGTAGACGAGATGATGATTGGGTTTATCGGCGGCGGCGGGCTGACCCCGGGCGACGTGGTGCAAAATAGCCGCGGCTTGTTCGCCGGTCAATGGAGCGCGGACCGGCCTCGGCACGGGAGCTTCTGCGTTCCCCGGCGTCGCTTTCTTTTTTTCTGTCGGCTCGGCCGGCTTCGTTGCGAAGGGCGATGGCACTGCGAAAAAATTCAGTTAGGTCATACAATTTATGGAGTATTTTTCACAAAGGAATTTGAGCACAATCTGTTTATTTATTGAGTTTTTTTTGTTACTTTTTTTTAAAGATGAGCACCGAAAATTTTCGAAATTCTAAGGAAACGTCCCAAAAAACGCCCTACAACTTAGGTCTTCATAAAAACTGCAGAAGAAATATAGCCCGTCCGGCGCGACTTGACCGTTTTTGAGTGTCTACGTCTCTCTGTTCCCTCACCGGCGAGGTCACAGAAACCCGAAAATAGCGTTTAAAGAAGAGAGGGTCGTCGAGAGACGAGGAGGGCGCAGAGAAGTCCCGTCCTTTCAAAGTCGCGAAAAACGGACTATATATATAACGTCACTTTTTGAACGTGTCAAGAGCCATTTTCTCCATTCTTCTAATTCTTTCTTTGCGGGACTTTTTTCCTAGCCGTTTTTTTAGCCTTGGCGTCCTCAGAGCCTCTATTTTTGCGAAAAAAAAAAATGGACTACAGTACCGCTCAAAAGTCTATTAAGTTTTGGTTTTTTGGGGATAAATTTTTTTTGAAATGCGATATCGATTCAAATTTTTTTCATAATTTTCTGAGAGAGACATACGTGTTCTGGCAAAAATTTCAAGTTGCTAGCTCAAAGGATAATAATTTTTTTCGAGAAAAAAACGAATTTTCGAAAAAAATCGAATTTTTTTGCTATTTTTCAATTAAAAAAATCATAGCTCAACAAAAAAATTTTTTTATCAACACAAAACATTGTTAAAAACAATATTCGGGACCTAGTACTTGGTTGCGAAGCCCCTGGCGTCAATCACTGCCTGGCATCTTCTCTGCATAGAATTGAGCAAAGTGTCGATGGTAGACATGGGGATCTGATTCCATTCAGACAGCAGTTGAGCAAACTTCTCGTTGCAATTCTTGGCTCTTTTGTTGGCACAACGTCGCTCCAACTCTTCCCAGAGATGTTCGATCGGGTTCAGGTCCGGAGATTGACTTGGCCACCCCATGACATTGACCCGACGGCTCTTGAACCAGTCCTGAGTTTCAAAACCATACGAATTACTTGTCAATTTTCTCACCTTGACGAACAATGAAGTGTGCTTGGGATCGTTATCCTGTTGATAAACACTCCCACGGCCCATGGCTCTCAAGTGCGGCAACATCTGGTTCTGGAGAATGTCTTTGTAGACGTGCTTGTCCATGATGCCGTTCACGCGATGAAGCGGTCCGATGCCACTTCCAGAGAAGGCGCCCCACACCATGCAAGAACCTCCACCATGTTTCACGGTGGGTAATTGGTATTTCGGATGATATCTGGACCCAATTGGTCTACGAACCCACTGAATTCCGTCACTCCCGAAGAGGAGGAACTTGCTTTCGTCGGACCACAGAATCTTGTTCCAGTCTTGACGGGTCCAGTTGAGATGCTCCTTCGCCCACTTCACCCTGGCGGCTCGATTCTTTTCAGAAATCAGCGGTTTCTTCACTGGACGTCTTCCCATGATTTCAGCAGCATTCAGACGTCGTTTCACGGTCGAGACGGATGGCGGAGATGGCGAATTCAAGAAAACTTCCCGTCTGATCGCAGGGGCGGTGAGTCTTGGATTGGTTCTAGACGTCTTCAAAAATGTTCCTATCGTCATTACGATCAGTGACACGTGGTCTTCCAGTGCGTTGGCTGTTAGTAGAGCCATCTTGAGCTTTCTGACGCTTTAGGAACTGAGAAATGCCCGCCTCTGTCACGCCGAACATTCCTGCCAACGTCATCATGGTCAGTCCATTTTGACGACCCACAACGATGGCTCTTTTGTCGTTATCAGTCAAATTCTTATTTCCAAAAGGTTCTTCCCATGTCTGAAAAACATGAAAAAAATCATATGGCAACATTATTAATTTTAAAAAAATTTAATAAAAAAATAAATAAAAAAATAAAAGCATAAAAAAACAAAAATGGAATTCAATAAAAAAATGCCTAAAACGCGTCACAGTCATTGCGGACATGTCTTTGTATACCGTATATGTTTCAAAGTATATTTTACATTATCCCTGAAAGTAATATATAAATCGGATAAGTACTCGCTGAGATATCCCCAAAAAAACCAAAAACTTAATAGACTTTTTGAGCGGTACTGTATATTTTAATCGATCTTCAAAATAAATCTCAGAAATTCTTGACATACAGTTTTTCTTTTGATTTAGTTTTCGAAATGAATGAGCAATTTTTCAAACTTCAATAGTTCTTTTAATTAATATTTTCCGGTTTTCGGTCAGGAAAATTAAATTTCAAATGCCGATTATCAATTTTTGCATTTTCAACTCACTCTGCGCATCGAGTCGATAACGAGCGCGTAGATCTTCAAGCATTTGCTCCGTTTTTGCTTTGTAATGGATGCGAAGGCAACACTGCAATTATCCATGTACCTTTTCGTTTGAAAAAGATATCCGTACCTGAACTCCTATGAAAATAATTATCATTACGGCGATGAAAAACATAATCAAGTTGACGATGAATCGCACTTCGTTCGTTTGGAGATCTTTGCAAGTTTTTTTTTTTCGAGTTTGACTTTACACTTTGGTCGCATGTGGAATGGCTCTTCTGCGGGATCTGACCGAAAAGCGCATTTTTTTAAAAACGCAGCGCGACCGCACGCGTCGAGCCATTCTACCTGCGTCCAGAGGGTTTCAAGTTGGGGAAAATGATAACAAGAAAAAGAAAAAACTTACAATCTCCATCGAGAAAAGTCTCATTCGCCGCTGTAATCATCTTCATTAGAATATTGAATTTATTTCAAATGATATTGAAATTTTTTTTGTTTGAATCCGCTTTATCCGTTAAAAATTATGAATACATATTTTATGCAATTTTTCGATACAAAAAAACTTGGAGCCGCTTTAAAAAGAAGTTCCATTTTTTTTAAAAATTAGATCTCTAGAATTTTTTTCAAGGAGTGATGGATCAATTAATCAATCAAAACCGCCAGGAGCCATTATTTTTTTGATATTTATATTCTAACTGATTTTTAGTACTTTAATCGAGCAGTTCCAATCGATACGGACGTTTTTTTAAAAATCAGCCTCTTGTCAAATTTCCTTTCCAAAAACTCACGAAAGGATCGCGAAGCGTTGAACATTGCGAGAAACGAGGAGAATAGAAAATGAAAATGTTCATTCAATCCTTCATTTTATTTATTTACATTATCGATAAACGGACAATTTGTACAGAAATCCAAATGAAAAAAAAATACACGTAGAGGTATATAAGTAATGAGCAATGAACTGGTGGAAATAAAATGGTTCCCTGACTTCGAAATTTACAGTGAAAAAAAGGAAAACAGGTTACATGGGACTCAAAAAAAATAAGAAAATATTTTCTTTTCTCGTAATTTGATTCTAAAAACAAATCTGAGCCCAGAAGCTTAGAAATTGAGCTTGCAAAACAAATACAAGTGCGCTCCATGGACAAAGATCAAAATTTATAATTACTCGGACCTTCGGAATGGAAACCGGACACGCTCTACACTTGTTGGAGCCTTTATAGGTACCACTTCAGTAGTGTCAGCGCTCTTAAGTGATCCCCAGAGTCGTTCAGGAACGTCCGGAGCGCTTCCGGACGTTCCTGAGGCATTTTTTGAAAATTCGGGCGTTTTGTCCACGGAGCGCACATTCATGAAATTATGTAGCTCTAAATTCCGAACTCATTTCTACTACGCTTTTTTCCCTAATCGAAAAACCGACGTTCAAGCTAACTTTTTGAAACTTCCGAATCGTTAAACAATCTGCTTTTCGGGTAAAGGCGGCGCCTGCAGGACAACCTTGTCCAAACTCGAACAATTCCTCGGGAAACTTCGGATTCCCAGGGTGACACGAGTTTTGGGAAACTCGTAGTAGGAAACTGCGTAGAAAAGCGAGTTGCAGCCGACCTCGATGAGCTCCGCCAGCGAGAACAGGTTGTAGGCTGCAAATCGGTCTGAATAAGGACGGATACTGAATTTGCTTTTTACCACTGTAGTGGTTCCAGTTGATTAGTTTACTTGATTCAAAAAAAATATTAAAAAATATTTGCAATTCCGAATATTTAACTTTTTTTTGATTTTATCTCGGGCGAACTTTCTTCAGACCAACAAAGCTTGGAAAAAATCCCAAAGAAGCGGAAATAATCAAAGTTATCACTGGAGCGCAGATTGTGTAAAAAGAACAGCTGGAGATTTTATTTTAGTTTCTCAAAAACTATTTTTCATTTTCTTGTAGATTTTTACATATGAAAAGGCAGGTGTTCCAGCGGATCATCGTACAAAAAAAAAATCTTATTTCTCTCAATTGTTCTAGGTTTGCTTCCCATTCCCTTTTTTTCCAACGGCATTTGAACTTCTCTAGAATATCTTTGAAAATTCGAAACTGACCCATTCCAGAACAATAAATGGAGAAAACAGGGAAGGAAACGGCCGTAGAGAGGGCGCACACCAGGCCAATCAGAAATATGACCAATTTTATTCGCCACGTCGTTTCCATCTTCAAACTTTTGTTTTTCAAGGCGTCAAGTTGATTATTATTTTAAATGTGGCTTTTAGACTTTTGGAACAGGAAAAAAAATGGAGAAATGTTCGAATTTTTGTCAAAAACTCTTCGAAGCTTTGCTTATTGCGGCGGTTATTCTTACTGAATTTTACAAAGTTATAATTTTTAAATTTTAGTTTATTAATTTAAAGTCTTACCGTGCAATGAGTATCCCGGATACCAGCAAAATGATGCAATAATATATTGAAAAGCATGTTGAAATTGAAAGAAACGATCCAGATTACGTAGCCGAGAGCGTGGATCACTGAAAATAGGTCCTAGATGCTTGCAATTTTGCCTTGTGATGAAAAATATTTTTTTCCTCAAATCTCTGTCATCAATGTCTATAGTAGAATCGTCCGAAAAGGCATGTGAAACAAATAAAAGCGTCGCGGTTGCGAAGCGAATAAATGCGCCCGACTTAAAACTTTTTTCGCGCGCTTCTAACCATGGTAAGTATCACTTCGGACCTGCTCTTAACCGCAACGCAAAGAAATTTCAAGTTAGATTACAAAATTTGAATTTACACAGTAATTTACATAGTATCCAAGTAGTATTTCACTCACTGAAAGCTCCTTTGATGTCGACGACGGACACCAAAATGAGCCCAAATGGTTCCAGCCACATTGTGTTCAAAAAGAAGCACGTTGACCACCGATAAAGTACTGATTTTGGAGCGGAGTTGATGAACAGCCGTCGATAAAGCTTTAAAAGGTAATAAGGCGGAAACTAGCTTAAAAAATAGAGGAAACATCAGCAGCAGCTTGAAGAGACGGCAGAGAAGAAAGCGTTTTTTTCTCTGCCGTCTCTAAGGCCACTATTGATCTCTCGCTTGAGCTTCTAAACAGTTTCGAAAAAAACTTCAGAACATGTTCATTTTGAAAAATCGATTCCAAAAGTTTCTTCTCTTTAAATTTTGAAAGACTTTCTAAAAAAATATTCGTTGAGCTTTGAAATCTAAATAATTTGACGTTCACAGCGTGAAATACGTTTTAACTTCATTATATTTGAATGAAAAAAATGCAGAATTTTAATCTCCTCCTCGTGTGACAAATATTTCCTATCAATTTTTTTGCAACCACTATTTTTTTATAAAGATTAACCAAAAAAAGCAAAAAAATATTGCTTTTTCACCTTTTTCTCATTTTTTTCAACATACTTTCTTTTTTTAACCGTTAATTTTATAAGCTTATCTTAAACTGACCATAGTAAAGAAAAGTCTAGGAGGAAGGTGAGCGAACATGACAAGAAGCCAAATATATCGTTGAGGCTCCCAAACGCCAATCGAATAAGAAACGGGCGGTAGGAATCTGAGATTCTAGGTTATTCCCAAAAAATGTGTTTTTTTCGGACATATGAAGGTCAGGACACTGCTCCTGTTCCGTGAAGTTGTAGACTCTTTCGAATTGGAATAAGTAGGTGTAGCCGACGACGAAATAACAGCCAATTCCGGGCAAAAGCGCTCCCAGAATCACCACCCATCGGACTGAAAAGGCTTTTTTTTAAAGAAAAATCAAGTCTGAAACATTTCTGAATGAATCTGCGCTACTTTTGTATTTATTCCGAGTTGAAATAATCAAATACACAGACTCTGGAATACAGATTAGTGAAAAAGAAAAAAAAACTTTTTGCTATTCAAACATCAGATATAAATCTTAATTCAACCATTTTTTCAAAATAAAATAAAAGAAAGTGTCGATTTATGATAGTTCGAAAATCTTCAATTTAATTAATCTGTGTGAGTGAAGAATTTTTTGAAAAAAAAAAAGAAGCCGCCTTTTTGAGTTCACCTTTGCACTTTCCATTTAAAAAAAAAAGAAAAAAATATATGTCTAAAAAGGATAAAGGACCTCTCTTTTCGCCGAACTCAAAAAAAAAAAACTAACTTCTCAACATTCTTTCAACGGTGTCTTCGATAGGCGGGTTCATCGGCGACGTCATTTTACCTGGAAACTTTGATTTTTTTTTTCGTCGTTTTCAAAAGTGTACAGATTTTATATAAGAAAAAGGAGGAAATAACGAGGTCCGTTAGTATATTTTAAATAAAAAAATTTGAGCGAATCGAAAGCATACATTAAAGAGCTTTATGAGAAGGGGGGAGGGTTGAACTACAAAAAAATTGGAAAGTTAGGTATAAAAAAATATGTTTAAATTCCAGGGAGGTTGTATTGGCAGGATATAAGTTTTAACAGCAGGGGCTTGTACTGACTTCAATTTAAAAATACTCAGGCAAGGGGGGTTGGCGGCCCCAAAAAATGGAATTTGCTAGAAATCATTAATTCCAGCTCAAAATTCACGCCTCTTTTCAGTTTTTTCGACATTTATGCACTTGATAAAGAGGCGGCAACTTTCTCGCCCTGAGAACAAACGACGTAAACTCTAAACAAGAAAAATTTGTTCTCTCTGCGATAATGAACGTTGTTTTTCGTTTTTCCGCGCACCTTTGTCTAGGTTTTCTTGATGATTAATGATCATCAAAGTAGTCGGCTGATGAGATGAGGATCTTTCAAAAGTGCAAAATTGTCACAGAATCGTAAAATCAAAGCTTCAAGTTTTTATGTGAACCATACGTTGGCTGGAACCCATCCCGGGGCGAGCGACTTGCGGCTTACCCCCCGCCCCTTCCAAAAAAATTTTTTTGCACTAAAAAGCTGGGGTGGGAATGGTAAATGGGTAACTTTTTTTCTATTGAAAAACTTCCAACTTTAATTAACACTTTTCAAGCTTTTTTTCAACTTTTTACTAAAAATCAATCCGATTTTTTTCCAAAAATAAAAAAATTTACATAAGCTAGTTCCTACAGTAAGCACGTGGACACTATAGGGAAAGAGAGGAGAAGAAAAAGGAAGAGAAAAACAGTTTGAAACGGGGCGGGAATCTCGGCCACGCCGTCGCTGACGTCACAGAATCACCTTTTTCTTTTCCCCCATTGAGAAACGACTTAAATGAGAGTAGTTACGAACTGAAACGATGCGAAAATGGGACGAGTATAATTTCAACGAAAAACGGAACCCTAAAACTTGCAACTTTTCATGAGAAAAAAAAACGCCATGCAATTATAAGCAAGTGGGACCTTCAAATGGATCGAAAACAGAACCATTACTGTTCGAAAAAGTTTCAGCCTCCCACTAAATAGCAAGGTTCAAGAAAACAGCCCCTCTAATGAAGTGCGGAAGTCGGCGGCGGAAAGATGAGACCATTTATGCTTTATGGCGAGTCGAGTTCATGACACTTCAGATACGTTTCGAAGTAATTCGTGGTACATCAAGGTCGTTTGAAAGGAATTGAAACCCAGAAAAAAATTGGATGAGTTGGGGATTGATAGGTGTAAAAAACTGAATCCGCGCTTCAGAAAATGCCTTATATTTAATCTTTCATCGATCTAGTTGTTTTTTGAAAGTTATTGAGGTGTAAAATTCGGTAGCGATTTTTTTGAAAAAAAAGTAGCTTTGAAATTGTTCGAAATTCCGCTAGAAGGATTAGCATTGGCGCTATCATTCTCTGAACTTGATTTTTTTTTTTCGTTTTGAACCTTTTTTGCTACGAATAGCTCTGAGCCAAATACGCTCCAGCTTGTCAAGATTTTCCCGTCCTCAGAGCTACAGAACCCTTTTTTGAACATACCGGTAATTTTTGGCTAATTTAAAGCATGTACAGAGACAAGCCGTGCGTATCGGAGAAAATGATTCTTTCTTTTCACGATTTTTCCTTCCTCCGCTACAGAATCCTTCACTTCGAAGCTCGCGACCTGTTTCTGGTCATGCGCCTTTAAAAAACGTTCTGTAGTTCGTAGGAAGAAAAGGTTGCGAAAAGTTGGCGAAAAATGAGTTTTTATTTTAGGAGTGTCATTATGAGCTTACTCAGTGTTGCAAGAAAATTTTTTATTAAAGAAGTCTGAAATAATTTATTCTGCAAACGGAACTTCTTTCATCTCTTTGTCTCCTTTATTTTAAAGTTTTATATATTTGCAGAAAAGACCCTATGGGACCGTCAATCCTCTACTAAACAGTCGTTTTTTCGAGCTCCAAACAGGTTTTAATGAAGTAGTTCTTCAATTCTCAAAAATATTTTCAGACGGTTTCAATCGCCTCATGTCTTCTATTTGGTCTTCTCTAGCAGTTTCTTGATAAAAGTTAGTTCTCAGATGTTTCGAATTTTCGAAAACGAAGAACAAAAAACGTTGATCAAAGTCTGAAGATAACCCATCAATAAATCTCAATTAAAGTGTAGAATATCACGTGACGACCCTGAAATTCAGATCTCCCTGTTTTTTCTTGATAAAACCAGATTTTCTCCCCAAAGTCTGATAAAAGACAGATAACACGTGGTTGGAGAAGATCAGTCTAGTTGGTCTCGTGTTGGAAAGAAGGGTCAAGTTGTTTTGCGCGAACACCTCGTCGCGTACCCGCTGTTTAAATGATTAAATGACGGGGTGTTGTCTGGAATTTTTTTTTCGTTTGATGAATTCAATCCGTTTGACTTACTTGTTTTGGTTATGGTTTTCGAATTTCGGAACGAAAATCTGTTTTTGAAATGGTCAAACACTTCTAAACGTTCTTGAACTATTCGAAAACAGCTATTTTCAAAAAGGAAGTTCTCTTGAAACATCTCACGGATCTTATAACGTAAAATTTCTGCATAATAGTTTCCGAAAACTCTTGAAAAGATGAATCAGAGCAGCTTTTTTGAATCTCCAATCATCGGTTTTCGAAATTATGAAAACATAAAGTTTCTCGAGACTTGAGGAACTAAAAACCGAAAAAGGCTGTTTTGAAATCTTTTTTGATGATATATAGTGATTGATTAACAATAGCTCACTAGGAACTTAGAAAGACTCAGAAACCTAGTGATTAGTTTTTTTTTAACGAACGTTTTCTTTTCGCATTTGAGAATTTTCAAAGAATAAAAAATGCTTGACATTTCGATCATGGCTTCATAGGAAAATGAACAGAATCGAATCGAAACTTTTCTGTGGATCTGAGTAGTCCTAAAGTGTCTTTATGAAGCTTGAAAGTTGTGAACCTGAGAAATCTCGTAAAAGAAGATCATTGAAACGAAATGATAAGAGAAAACGAAAAGACAATACCTTGTCACGAATTCAGCAGAAACTCGAAAGGCGACAAGATTTTCTCGCAGTAAAAACGTATCGGAAAGCCGCGCGACCTTATAAGCTTCTCGTAAACAAGCGTTCGAGAAACCGACCGGTTTTTTTTTCTTGTCAAACTCTGCTTCTCACGTTTTTCAGTGTGTAAACCGTCTCGAGGAGGGTTTTCCTCTCCAAAAACAAAGTAATAAGAAGTTCTAGAGATCAAACTTTCACGAGATTTTGATGATTAGCTGAATTATTTCTTTTTCTTGCTGGGAGCGCCAAAAATTTGTTTTTGAGTTAGGAGGATAATTCTAAACAAAGCAATTAGTTAGAGGTTCATCCTTGAAAAGAAAAATTGAAAATATTTTTGAAGTTTTACCAAAAATATTCTGGTCCCCCGGACATTTATCAACTAATCTATAATAGGCTCAGCTATCCACAAAACTTTTTTGAAGAAGAAGCGAATGTAGATTTTTTTATAGAGAGCGAAATTTTTTTGACTCAGCGGCTGTGTTCAACTTCCCAGTTATCCCATTCAATTAATATTTTTAAAAAAATTGGGTTTTCCGTAAGTAGATATAAAATCAATGATTTCTCTGAGATGTTGGTTTTTTTTTTGTAGTTGAGATAGGAGTTTTTGAGAAATTTAAGAAGCATAAAAAGTTTTAAAAGCCTAATAATTTAGTTTTTGATCAAATAATTAGCCCTTGAGCGCACATTCTCTAACAAATAGAGCTGATTTTTTTTATCGGAAAAAAACTTTCTTTCCAGAATGAAGCCAATATTCAGCATCCAGCCGGCTATGCCCCTTTTTGAACTTACACCTGATATTTTTTGGAAAGCAAAAGTTTTTAAATTAAAAAATGGCGACTTTTAAAGGCTAGTTGCTGTGAGATCTCTTGATTTTTCCGAACCTGAATTTTCAGACTTACTAGATATAATTGGAACTACTGATTGAAGAGAAAATATGGACTTTACCAAAAATACAAGAGCAAATGCAAACTAAAAAATGAGGGCAAAAAAGGGAAAAGCAAAGACATCATACAAAAAACCATGACTAACAAGAGACATGAGGGAAAACGGGAAACGAAACGAGAAATGGGCGGCTTTTGCCTGCGCGAAACCGCTTTTCCTGCTTTTTGGCCTTCATGGCGACCCCCGAGAAAGGACAATCGAAACGTATCGAAAATATACTCTTTGTATAGATTGTTTTCCTTTTTTTGTGGCTTTTCCTTTTGTTCTATGGCTAGTGAGACTGTTTACAGGGTCAGAAGCGTTTTTAAAGGCATTGCTTAGGAACTCCAGTGATCCTTAAAGGGGCTACTCCAGAGTAGTCTCTATAGGGGACATGCTTGTCGATGATTTTTATGAAATCTAAACGAGGAAGCATTTTCATGAGAAAAACTGAATTAATAAGCATTTTATGAATGAAATTGAAAACCCCTAAAGGGCACACTTGATCTTCAGAGGCTAAGGGGTCAGAACCTAAAACCCTATAGGGAACACCTTAATTTCACCCCTATAGGGACCACTTTTCCGGTCTTCATAGGGGTTTTTTTTCTCCCCTAACCCCTATAGAGACCACTCTATGATTTCTAAGAGCCTAAAATTTAAGCTTTTTTTTTTCTTAAGAAAGCTTTTCTTACAAAATGTTTTGAAAATTATACAAAATACTCCTGAATCTTCCAAAAATTATATTCCTTTCCTAGGATCATGGTTTTTTGGGAAACGGTCCAGGACTATTAAATTTTTTTTCAGCGCTGTTTTGGCCTTCCTTCCAAAAAAAGAGGTCTCCGAAAATTGGATCTTCGGTAATTGGCCCCAATTTTCAACAAAAAAAATCTCTCTCACCGCGAAATTAGGCGTGTAACTTCTTTGCCAGAAAAGATTTCAAAATATTTATTTACACATTCTGAACTATTTCAGTCGAGCGTCTTGAAAACTTCTTTTCCGGTGCACTTGTAGATGTACTGTTGCTCGACAAAGTGTGTTCCGTGGGTGTTGGTGGCCACGACCTTGTAGATACCCTGGTCGGCTTGGGTCGGGTTCTTAAATGGGAATGATTAAGGTAGCGGACTTTTCAATAAAAAAATCATGGAAACAGGTAGAAAAATGTTGAAAAAAATATCATTTTCAGGAATAAAATGCATAAAAAAAGTGGGAACTGTGAAAAAAAGTTTATGTTTTTTTCGGGAATAACGTCATATAAAAAATAAAAAAACTGTAGAAAGCATCAAGATTTCGAAATTACTGCATGAATCTTTTTCAGTTGAGAAGTCTTGAATTTCAAAAAAATTATGTTTTTTTAGTTTAAAAAAATTCATTTGAAAGATCTGTAAAGTTTCAAAAAAATATATAACAGCACAGTTTAAAAGAATTTTGTTGGAAAAAATTGGTTTCATAGTTTTCTGTGGTTTTTCTTAAGCAGGTGGTGTTGAACAACTCGATTTCCGCTAGAAAATGATCCTAGACAAATTCGTTTATAGTTTTCAAAATAAAGCCTAACGCCTGCAAAAATCTTCAGTTTGAGACATTTCTTGATACTTTTTTAATTCCTAGATAAAGCAAAAACAGCAGTCGATTATAAAAGGAAATTTGCGCTTAATAGGTGATTTTCAGAGGTATTTTAAAATTGCTAGCCTTTTTGCGTAGTTTTTTTTATACACTCAAGAAAACAAAGGAGACCAAAAATTTGAAATTTTTCGTGTCAAGACCCTAATTTACTATTCGAAAGCCTCATCAATCAGTTTTCGGACCAAACCTTCATGTGAAGCGTGACGGTGTACTTGCCGACCATTTTTCTTAATTTTTTTGAACGTACCGATCGCCGGTCAACTCCTTGTCCTTCAGGAACCTGAAAAATTATATCAATTTATATTTTTCAAGATGGAAAAAAAGAACCATTTGATAGTGGGTTGAGGGTTGGCGTTGCAAATACACTCGAAAAGAACCGAACCATCAGGCGCGATGATCAAAGAAGGAGCCTTTTCGAAGAACGGTGCCAACATTTTTGTTTTGTCTGGAACTTCTCTTCTGTTAAAAAAAAGATTCATTTTTCAATGATACGGGTGCTGTAGCGGTAGATAGAGACAGTCAGAAGCTCATTTCAACAAAAGGAATTTTATTGTTTTGAAAGTTTTTAATTAGGTTTCACAAGTATCGGACGAAATTTTAAAGATTTATAAAATTTGAAAGTTTGAGATTTATCAAAAGAAAAGTAAGAAAGCAGCTTCATTTTTTATAGAGATCGTCCGTCTTTTAAAACACGGAAAACCGCTGTTCTGTGATGCGTTTGCTGTGTGGGGGATGCATTACAGCGCGTCTCTCGACATATGAAAAATGGACTTTTTTTGTAAATGGACAACTAAGAGCCGATTTTCTACGAAAAACTTGAAGAAAAAAACAAGCTCAAGGTCTTGAGACATGATTGTCTATTCTAATAATCAGTTGTAACATGAAAAAAAAACAAAAAAAAAATCGAAATTTGAAAAGAGGTATTGGTTCGATTTTCCGTTTGAACGAAGCGTTTCCAAAGAAAAAGTTAACAAAAAAAAGGACAGCTTATTCCTTTGTGAAGGCTTCAGAAAATGTAATCATAAAAACCCAACGGTTTTCACTTTTCATGATTCCAAAAGCCGAGAATAAAATGGCAAAGTACAGTTTAAGAGCAAAACATGACACGAAACGAAACGAAGAAGCAAAGATGAAGGGCGTGGGTTTTTCCCTGCCACGACATGTGCTCGGCGAGCCCGCAAAACATATAGCGTCGTCTGTCGATTATTCGCGAAACATTAAAAAAAATTATTTGAACAACGGATTGAACTCAGCTTGTAGCGGCCATCCGAGAAAAGGTAAAATCGCAAAAAATGTACTCAAAAAAAAAATAGGATACTTTAAAATTTCATGTTTTTCATGGAAAATTGAACCTCTTTCGATTCTTCTCAATGAAGAAACAACACAAAAAAAGAAGCAAAAACTTTCAAAAAATTTATTTTTTCTTGAGGAAAATCAATCTGGACGTCTTGATCTGCAAAAAAAAACGTTTCTTTAGATTTTGAGGAAGAGCGATGTTTTAGAAGCATTCTAGAAGCTTTAGATAGTTCAAAAAGAGCCAAAAAGCAACTAATTTCGAAACTTTTTTTAACGATAGTTTTCTTGAAAACCTTATCAATTGAGCAACTATCCGTTCAGCGGGATGAAAATGATTGGAACTGAAATTTGTGTCATGGAACTGAAAGTGTAAGCTTTGGGTTTGTGTCGATGATTGGAACAAACCTTGAGAATACTTTGGTTATTTTAACTTTGATTGCATTGTATTCAAGACGGTATTCGCGGAGACTGGATTCATGGCCGTGTTAGCCATAGTAGTCGCCGTAGCCTCACTTTTCGCGCCGTAGGTCTCTCTCAGGCCCTTGAATGAGGCATTTTTGGTTGCGAACTAGTAGGACCGGGCAAGTCCGGGAGGTTTTGGGAGGGTAAATGGTAGGAGGTTGGAAGGTGAATGGAAGTTTGAGTCTTCAGAAGCCACCTGGAAGGTATTTTGAAGGTGAAAATGGTGAATACCTGCCAGAAGCCTCGAATGCTTTTGGAAGGCTTTTTTAAGGAGCAAGTGTTAGGAAGCTATATGTAAGGCGTTTGACTACTTGCTGGAAGGCTTCCAAACCTCTTCCGAGGAAGCGAAAGCAGAAGCTTCCCAACTTTTGCCGATAAGATGGAAGGTAAAAAATGAAAAATTCTGCCTCCTGGAAGGCTTCTAGCGGATAAGTAAAAAATGGTGAAGCTGTATGGAACGCTTCTAGCCACGTGGTGGAAACTTTCCAAGCTACTTCTTCAGGTAAAAATTGAGAAGCTCCTGCTCTCGGTTCCTCGAAAGGCGTTTGAAAGCTTTCCAGCAGCTGGTCAAAAGCCTTCCACACAGCTTCCCAACACCTCTAGTTATCTTCCAAAAGCCTGCTGGAAGGCTTCTGGCAGGCGTTTCCAATTCTTACCTTCCAAAATCTTCCAACTACCTTCTGAATACCTTTCCAAGGTCTTCTCAAAACCTTCTAGCTTTCATTCACCTTTGAGCCTCCTACTGGTCAAACTCCCCACGATTTGATTGAGAGGAAACGTTTTTTGGAACTTTAAAAGATTGTAGAGCCTTTTTCATTAGTAATTTCAGACAAACATGGCTTTTTCCGTCTTGAAAACTGTTCTAAAATTACTGATTATGTGCCCGAGTTCGAAAAATCAAGTCACCACTTAAAAAAGGAAGTATTTGGAAACAGTTATTTTTGGGAGATAGAGGACTACTTTTTTTTTGATTCGAATTTTCGATAAAACCTATTTTTAGAGCTTTTTTTTATTTTCGTTCTCGATTTTAAATGTAAGAACAAACTGTTTTTCAAAAGGAAACAAGGTTTAATAAAAACAAACATAAAGACCAACCTCATTTTTGGCTGCTTTTGGTTTTGGTCCGGTAATATCAATACTTATTTTTTTCTTTTCCTGCTCCTTTTTGTTACCCTCGCTCGCAGGTTTTGTCAAATCGAATTGCTGTAAAATTTTTCGATCGCATCTTTTTTTTTTGCTTTAGTACGAACATAAACCGAATTTCCATTTCGCTTCTCATCGGGTCTGAGCAGAGCCGTGTTGGCTCCTGTTCTGATCTGAAATTCGTAAATTTTCAGGGTTATTATTATTTCAAGAGGAAAAGGAATATAATGAGTTGTGAGTCATTTTCAAAATTTCTTAAGTCAAAATTATTTTTTGAGTCTTTTTAGATTTTTATAAAGGCTAATTAGAAGCCAAAATGCCACTCATTTTGAAAAAAAAGTGCGATTCCAAATTTGAATCTTTAACTGACCACTTTGTTTGGTTTTGGCCGGCGGAGGCCTTCTGAAACCGAAATTATTTTTTTTATTTTTTTAAATTCAAAAAAACCGACTTTTTTTGCTAACGGATTCTCGTCATCATCATCATCATCCATAAACGACTGAAATCCATTTAGTTACTAGGGAATTCAAAATCTCTCGACATTGTCCTTATTCTCCTTCAACTTGAAGTCTTTCCAAGGATCAGCTCCACCTGTAACCTTTGGCGACTTTCCGGTGGGCGTTCGCGATTTCGGCGATTGCCCTGTTTTTCCCGAAACGCCGCCTCAAAATGAAAAAAAGTGTTCTGTGGGAATTAGAGCGCTCAAAAAACTTGAGACAGAAAATAATGCAGATATTACTTTTATGTATTGATTGTCACTAAATGATGAATTCCTTCTAATTTTCTATCTATAATGAACTTCAGAGAACCCGGAAACATTCCAATTTTGAATCAATGGAATGATTTTTGTGCACTCGGACTTTGGAATAACGCAAACTGGACGCGCTCCGGACGTTTCGGAGCATTCCAAGTAACCACTTAAGTAAGATGACGTCGCTAAAAAGATCCCTAAAGTTGCTCAGAAAATCCAAAAAGCGTCCGTTTTCCGTTATCGAGGTCCGAGTAGTCCATTCGGCTTTTTTATTTCATTTTAACACGTCTCCATTTCTTTCCATTCCCCGGCGCGATCAGAATACATGGAGACGAAATTCAGATGAATGATTTTATGACTTCTCTGACAAAACTCACGTTTCGAAGCACTTTTTGAATCATCTACGGATATTTGTCTTTGTTTCCTTTTTTGCTGAACTTGAAATTTTTGAAAAAAAATTATATTTCACATTTATTTTACGCAAAAGATGCAGACGAACGAAATTAGCGTCACGAGCAACGGCCAGTACATTTAAAGCGCGTGCAGCTTTCGCCACTCGGAAGATACGAAATGAGCTTCAAAGGATTTAGAATGAACTTTTTATCTTGAAGAATCAATGATTATTAAAATGGCGAATCTTTGAAATTTCGGCTGTATTTCGATTGGTTCGACGCGCCCTGACTCGTTCATTGTTGAGAATATTGTGGTCGACAAGAAGACATGACCTCGCGGACGCCTTATAACAGTCTCTATGAGAAACTCAAGGTTTACTTGGTTAGAAAAGGCAAAATTTATCAATTTATTTCTCAATTACCTTGCCTTTATCGATTTCAATGGGTCCGCGGATGGAAAAGCTAAAACTGAATTTATTCAGTCTTGTATTTTTTGAAGAATGTATGAAGCCTTCTACGACTCCATGATTTTTGAATATTTTGTGATTTTGAAAACTTCAGTTCTTTTCTTCTCGCGTTTTTTTTTTTGAAAAGTTCAAATTTTGTACCGGAAAGCGTGCTGCCGCATGTTCGCTCCATGGCTAACTTTTTAAATTTTCTTCATTTTTTCGTAGTTAGAGCCTGGAGATCATCTTCTAGGTGGAAGTCTCGAAATGAGAGCGACCACTTCGAATGAAGACTTTATACAGATTGTTTCTAGATTTCAAGATATTTTTTTTAAGAAAGTCGAGCAAGAGAATGTGTGTTGTGTGCATGGGACGCCGTGCGAACTTGGCAAAACGGCGGAAAACGACGAACAGTACGTGAATCTCGGCGCGAGTCAGCAGGATGACCTCATGTCCACCCTCGCCAAGCGTCTTGGGTCAGGTTTTCGACTTGGTGACAGAAAGATCATTGAGAGAAAGAGCTCCGTCAAAAGAGCTTCAAAAAAGGTTTTCCTAGAAAGTTCTTCAGCTTCGAACGTCTTTTTGATCAATTAGCCAATCTGGTTATATGCCGACTGTTCGATTTCTGAACTTCTCGGTAAAGTTGAGAGTCTCAATTTTCAGAAGCGCTTCCAAGATACAGAGCTCTGAAAGTATTCTAATAAGTTTTCTAGTTTTTCAGAACTTTGGCCGTCGATGAGGAAAAGAAGGCAAAAAATAAACCGGAAGTTGAGAGGTGAGAAACTTGAATTTTTCTCCTTTCTACTAAAAGTCATCACTTTGATTTGTTGATTTCTTTAAGTTTCCTTAGAGGCATTTTGTTAAAAATTTGAAAGAAGTGCACAAGAGAAAGGAATCGCAAAAAAAAAGAAATAAATACTCAATATATTTTTGCAGCATTCAAGCGCTGCAGGGAGGGAACGAAGAATCGGCCAAAAAGAAGAAACGAACCTGCTCTGAACGGGAATCGAGCATCCGGACCAGCGACCTCAACGACAATCGCTCCTTTGTCGTTCTCGGACGCCAAACTCTGCCCGATGTCAATTATTACGACACAAAGTAAGCATTCTTCTCCAAGAGAAGATCAGTTCAAAAGGGTATATGAAAAGGTAGCTGCGAAAAACGAGCCAGCGGAAAAAGTGCCAAAGAAAAGCGGGTTGCGAGAATTTTTTCCCGAGCTTGACGCCCAAAGAGGCGCCGCTATGGTCTGTCCAATTTTGGATGTCAAGTCGTCACTCAAGCTCCGCCCCCTAAAGGCACGATAAACCAATCAGAGAGCGAGACATCTACAGAGCGTTTTCGAATGACGTCATTGTACTTGTCATCCAAAAACTGAAAGACTGTGTTTTTGTTTCGCCCAAAGTCTGCCGAAAAATTTGTCTAACCCATGATATTCCTTCAATCTCTTACCGAAGATTTTTTATGTACTCCTCCAACCTGTCTTTCAGTTTCAGAGCGCCTCCGGCCGCCGGCCCTAGAGGGCTGAAGAACACGCTCGCCTCAGATGTGCCAGCTCCTCTGGGCGATGCTATGTAATTTACCTACGATTTTCTGTCACTATTTCTACTCTAGGTCGATTTATCTTGGTGTGATGAACTACGCGGACGCCGAGAGCAGCGTCGGTCGACGTTCCGATTTCCGTCTTTACCATCAGGTTAATAATAATAGCAATTTTCCGATGGAATTTGGCTGAGACGTACTTATTAGCAATAAGAAAGTTCGAATGAATAAGAAAAGTTTCTTCAAGCTTTCGAGCCGCGCCGAGCTCGACGACCTTCATGAGCAGTTGCCGCTGATGATTGTTTACAAAACGGCCAACGGTTCTTATCGGTTCGGCCTTTTCTCCCGATATTAATACCCCTTTTCCCTTTCTAGACACTATCCGATCCGATCGGAACTTGACTCTGACGGATCACCACAGTATTCGGTTGATTACGGTAATTTGGCCGCACGCAGACATTCTTCCCTCAACCAATTAGTCAAATATTATCAGGTGTAACATTTCCTAACATTTTATAATTGACGAGCTTCTAGATCTACGTGTTCCACCATCCGAAATATTCCGCGTACGCCGATCCGTTCCCCTGGTGGCTCAACTGAAACGAAAAGAAATGCGCGAAAGAATCCCAACAACACATTTTTTTGGCTCCTCCCTTTTTCTTCGTTTCCATTCTCATAAACTTTATTTTGCGCAGCTTATTTTTTGAAAGACTAGTGAGATACACATTTCTTCTCTTGAATTATCTGCACGAATCGCCTTCTGATTTCTTTTTATTAATCAAAAACAGCAAACTTTGGGCGGACTCAGACTTGGAAAATGTATTTCGGCTTTCTAACATTTTCTTAATTATATTCAAATGAAACAAAAATGAATTCACGAAATGAGGGTGATAAAAATTTGTTTTGCAAAAAAAAAAATTTTCGGAGTATGCGATTTTTGCGTCGCGGGGTGTAGACCGCAGGCATTTTATGAGACGACAAACCTCGATAATTTTTTTTTTCATTTTTTTAAACTTTTTGTCGTTTTACATAATTTTTCTAACAAATTATTTCTATTTATCATGTCCATAGACACGAGTCCTATGATGGCGGGTTAAAAATATTCTATTTTTTTAGATTTGTCTTAAAAATTCAAAATAACACATCTTGATCAGTTTCGTGGTCCTGCGTTCCTTTTTCCACCGACTTGAGTCGTTTGAGCGTTCTCTGTGCGTTCTCCGGTCGCTTCTCCGCCAGCGATCACCTTGTTTAAAGACGTTGTGATCCGCCCCTTGTTGCCGTCTTTATACAGTGGCTTCACTAAAATTCAACCATTGGAGAAGCTTCCCTGGATTTATGTTTGATTTTTCGAACGTAAACTGTCCTTCCAATCAATAACCTTGCACATGTTTGTTCATTTTTTCAAACACTCAATTTAATCTTTGGTTTTTTCGAAGTCGCGTGGGTTTGGGAGTTCTTTTTTTTTTTTTGAAAATTTCCGTTTTTGGAAATTTCGGGAAGCTTTTTTGTCATTACCGACTTTTTTCTCTGCTCTAGAACGTCTCATTCTGGTTTTTAAATGAAACATTTTTTTAAGTTTCAAAAAAATAAACTTTTTTTGGTGAAAAAAATAACCTACTGGTATGATTATCAAATAATTATTTCCTAATTTTTTTTTTTCTTAAACTACCGTAGTTTATCACCCCCTGTCAGTTCCTTATCAATATATTACCTTCTTTGTCTCAAAAGAACGTTCTTTGGAGTTTTATCTTTTGTTCTATTCATACTTTCTTTTTTTTGCTATGGTGTGTTCACGGTAAATTTCTGTATCTCCAACAAAAACTTTTTGCAGTGTTTAAAGGCGCAAGTCATGTCTGCTATGAACCATCGCTTCGAGGCCCTTTTTTTCAAATCTTAATAATTCATGGCGCATTCACGATAAAATCTCTCATTGGATATTTTTCGAACTGCGAAAATAATTTTAACAAGATCAAGTTGTTTCAAGAGGGGGACAAAGATGAAGGGGTCGGCGTCGACGGCGCGGATGCTTCTGCAGAAGTTGGGCGGCTCGGGATGTCCCCATCACGCCCACACCGATGGCCCAATCAAAGCGGCCAACCTCCACGCAAATAATAGTTGGTACCTTTACAGAGGAATGTTTCATAAAAATCGGGACTTTTTAGAATCGTGCGATTATGCGTTCGAAATGATATTTTCGACGCTTCGTTTCGGTACCGGCGTCACTTTGGAAGTCAATTTTATTTATTTTCAAAATAAAATGAATTTTTCAAGGTTGGGCACGACATTCGCTCCTACGGCGCCAAGAACACTTTGATAGTGACGGACAAAAACGTTCAGAATACGATTGCCTTTAAGTAATCGATAAGTGAAAAAAGAAAAAAAAAAGAATGAAACTCTCAGGAACACTGAGAAAGCCCTGAAAGACGCGGGGATTCAGTTCAAAGTCTTCGACGACGTCCTGATCGAACCGACTGATACGAGTTTGAAAATGAGTCATGCAAAAGTTGAATTCTGGAAATCTAGGCATGAAAAAGGCCATCGATTTCGCGAAATCGCATCGATTTGACAGTTTCGTGGCGGTCGGTGGGGGCTCTGTTATCGACACTACAAAGGTTCCATTTTTGAAGAAATAATGAGCGTTTCTAAACAGGGACACATAAATGGCTTAAAAAGGAAGTTAGGATGTATTTTCGGAAAAGCACTTTTATGAAAAACTCCGCTCGTATAGTCAATCCATCCCTACTTGAAATCCTTGGCACGAGTCCAATTCACCGAATATTTAAAAAGCTCGGTTACCGCTCTTTTGTGATCCATTTCACTGCTTTTAAGGCGAAAATGAAAAAATCAATAAAGAATAAAGAAAAGGTGCGATAAAACAGCTCTTCAAATAGTCGCTGGCGGTTGAATTGATGTGCCAAGTATGCCAAGAACCGCGTACGCACACGCCACGCGAAGCATGAATTGGTTTTTAAAAAAAAGTCAAGACTTCTAAAATAGACTAACCGACGAAAAAATAAAGCTTTCGCCAGGCGGCTGCCCTGTACACGTCCAATCCGGAAGCGGATTTTCTTGATTTCGTCGGCCCGCCTTTCGGAAAATCCTTGGTCCCAAAAAATCCAATGTTGCCCTTGGTTGCGATTCCGACGACCGCTGGAACTGGCAGCGAAACTACCGGTTCGTTTCAAAAAGAAAGTAAGAAAACAAATCTAGAAGTCGCTAGTTTGAGTAAATGCTAAGAAATACACCTTTGTTGATGTTTTGTATTGCGCGTGAGACTGTCTCGTTTTAAGAAACTCTGAAAAAAGACTACCGTAAGCGCAGCTTTTTTGCGCTTTCGCTTCGAGACGCTTCATAAAATACTGCAAAAACAGGTCTCGAAGCGAAAAAAAGAGAGTTGAAAGAGAATAAAAAATAGGCTAAGAAGCGTTTTTTAGTTGATATTTTGTATTGCATACGAGACGGCCACTTTTTAAACTTCGGTGAATAAAGCTACCGTAAACAAAGCTTTTTTTGAGCTTTCCAGAAAAGGCTGCAAAAAAGAGACGCTACAGAAAAGACTGCAAAAAACAGGTCTCAAAGCGAGAAAAAAAATTCAGGCCTTTTACCATGAAAATTCGAATTTTTAGGTGTTTCAATAATGGACCTGCCGGAGCACAAGTGCAAAACCGGGATCCGAATGAGAAGTATCAAACCACGGCTTGCACTTATCGACCCTCTGAATGTTATGAGGTTTTGGAACTTTTAAGGAAAAATTTTTTCAAAAAGCCTTCCACAGCTCGTAAAATTTCATACTTATTTCCTTAGCTCGGATTTTCTTTGAATTAAAAAAATTGACATTTGAAAAGAAAAATTTTTTTTCCGAAGATTTAGGAGTTTATATTTACTAGACAACGAGTACATCCCATTAGAGAAAAACTTGAAAGAGCGTATTTGAAAAATGCTAGTGTAGCGTACATTTCACGGGGTTAGAATCATATATTATTCAAATCAGAGGCGTCATTTACATTAATTTTTCATTTAATCTAAATCCATTTTTTTTTAATTAATTTTCTTGAATTTTCGGTGGTTATGATGTCCAGTTAAATTTCCTATGTAGAGTATGGTTCTATTTTTTCTTTTTTTAGGCGAAAAGTTTCAGATTTTCAGATTTATGGTAGCTACTTCTCCACCTCTGATTTAAATGATGAACTAAGGAAAGTTTAAGAGGTTTAAGGGAAGCTCTGAAATTTTCCCTCTCCGGGTGTCCCTATTTTACCCCCTATCAGGGGCCCCGAAATGGCCAAATCCCTATAGGGACCCCCTAAACTTTTCTTAGAAACTAAAAACTAAAAAATTTCGGAAAAACGCTTTTTGAAGTTTCGGAAGTTGATTTTTAGTAGGACTGTTTTAGAACAAGAAGTACATCACATCAGAAAACACATAAAAGAGGCCATTTAAAAGTTGCTAGTGAAACGTACATTTCACGGGCTGAGAATTAAGGTATTTTCAAATTGATTGACTTCATTTATATGGAGTTGACGTGAAAAGCAAAGTGTGAAAAAAGAAATAAAATTGAGATTGCATTCAGTATGCCTCGAAACGTGACGATTTATTCGGGTTTCGACGTTTTGTGCCACGCTTTGGAGAGTTTCACCGCTTTGCCTTATGATCAAGTGAGGTTTCCGGAATAATTGGATTAGGAAAGTAAATTATTTTTTTTTTCTTGACAAGTTTTGAAAGTTCTAAAGATGTTTTAATCAAAGGTTCAGATGAAAATTTAGAAAGAAAAAAGAAAGTTTTGATAAATGATGAGAAGAGTAGGCCCTCATAGGGTCTAGAAATAAAAAAAAAGCTAGCAAAAAATATTTTCGGGACTTCTTGGAGGTAAGTTTCGGGCTTTTATACGGGCAAAGTCCAAGGACTTTCCAATTTCCTTAGAAAAATAATAATAGCTTATTTTGAAGTTCCTAGATAAGTGAAGAAAAAAAATTTTAAGCTTCTCTTTCTTTTAGCGGTTCAAAAACCTTTTCAAAAATTTTTTTTGAAAAAAGACCTTCCCATCGGCTTTTTATTCCTTCTTTTCTGGAACTTCGTACGAATTTCTTTTCAGCACCTTTTTTATCTTCTTGAAGGGAACTTTCCAGTGAAAAATCACAAAAAGGCGCTAGGAGGGTTTTTTGAGGACCCTTTTAGGTAATTTTGGACTTTGTCCATGTACCTCATTCGACAAAAAAAAATCCTCAAATTAAACTTTCAAGAGACCACCAAGGCCAGAACGCCCAGAACTCCGACCGGTCTACCAAGGGTCAAATCCGATCAGTGACGTTTGGAGCAAAGAAGCTCTTCGGGTAAATAATTGAATTATTTATTTATTTTTTTGAGCTTTTAGAGATTTTTTTATATAACAGCTTACATCAAAGTATCAATAGAAAATCAGATTTTTTGAAGAAAATTAGACCCATAAAAAACTCACGATGAGCTCTTTGAAAAGAGTCATTAGAAATAGACCTCTTTCATGAATATTTTGTCCGAAGCTCCGAAGCTTTTTTTTATCATTTCTTTGAATTTCACCGTGTTAGGCATCACATGACCTTTTTAGCGATCTAATTTCAATCCAATTTGATCTCAACCTTTTTCTAATTGTACTCCTAATCAATGGTACAAGAAAGTTTATTCAAAGAAATCTTCAGATAATCGGAAAATATTTCCGACGGGCGGTCAACGACCCATCGGACGAAGAAGCTCGACGGCACATGCTCATGGCCAGTTCCTTTGCTGGAATCGGCTTCGGAAACGCCGGAGTTCACATTTGCCACGGATTGTCGTATCCTATCAGGTTAGAGAAAAACATTTTAGGGTTCATTTTTTGGGATATTAAAACAGAAAGGCGGTCAAAAATAATTCAACTGGAAATGGTTTTTAATAGTGAAAAAGGTAAAGGAGAACTGCAATACCAGATTTTACACTGCGAAATGAAAAAAAAGTTTTTTTAAGGCCTATAGTAAAAGACGAAATAGTTCAAGAACAGACTCAGGCTAAATTGAAAAAAAGGAGCAAAATAGCTCCAAGGATATTTCGACCGCCCGTCGGAATCCGATTAACTGAACTGTTTTTCTCATATAGAATCTATTGTTAGAAATAACTAATTGGATATTGAAATCGATAAAGTCTAGAATTATTTTTTAATCAGCTGAAGGAGCAAATTTTCAGCCTTTTGTTCGGCGAATCGGAATAGTTTCAGTTCTCCCTTAAGAGGTCACTTCACTTTTACCTAAATTTCATTAATAGAAGAGCAAATTATTGGTGAAGTGCTCTGATGATCCCTTTAATCAAATATTTAACCCAGTTTTTTCCGCCCCTAAAAAAAATCAAATCTTCAGAACCTAATAAAAACTGTTAAAAAAATGATTTCCCTTACAGTTCTCAAGGCAAGAAGTACGCGGATACGGACTATCCAAAAGATAAGAAACTGATTCCGCACGGCCTATCAGTGATGACAACGGCCGTCGCCGACTTTGAGTTCACCACTGCCGCCTGTCCCGACCGCCACGCGACCGCAGCGCGAGCTCTCGGTGCTGATCTCAAGGTTCTGTTCCAAGAGTTGAAACATTGACAAGAGAAAGATTTCCAGCCTAACGCAAGCAACGAGTACATTGCCAAAACGTTATGCGACGAGCTGCGCGGCTTCATGCGCGATTTCGGCGTTCCCAACGGCCTGAAAGGCATGGGCTTCGAGTATTCGGATATTGGTGAGATTTATCATCTGAAAAAGTTTGAGCTTTCGGATTCAAGAGAAAAAATTTTTCATTTCACTACCTTAAAAAAGGCTCGAATCAACCAAAAAAATTACAGACGATTCTAAAAAAACTTTCTGAGGCTACAAAAAAGGAGCTCAAAAGCTTTTTACCATTATTTTTTGGAGCATTTAGAGGAACCTTTCCGCTCCTTCCGAGGGTCCTCAAAAAACTTTTCGCGTTTTACTTATGAACAGAAGACATAGATCGAAAAGATGTTTTCAGGAGCCCTAACAGAAGCCGCTGTTCATTCGGTCCCCAATATAGTCATTTCCCCGGCGCCTACCGACTTCGAAATCATCAACAAACTCTACGAAAAGTCCCTCACTGTTTATTGAAAATAAAATTGAAAGTCTTCTAAAATTGCTGATCTTTTTATGGGACCGTCTCATGGAGCATTTGAGGTTCGGGAATACATTTATAAATCCGGAAAGTTCCTAATTTTCGAGGTGAGATTTTTTTGCTTCTAATTTCTATTCCAAGCCTAAATTTGGAGGCTTTAAGATTATTTATTAGCCTGAAAGTCTGAAATGCGTTTTACAAGTCCAACCTTCCGTTATTAATTCTAAAAAAAGGTAAGGTTAATCCGATATTATAGGAATAAAACTCTTCCTTTTTCGAAAATTTCAGGAAATTCCGAGTAATGGCCAAGTTTAACGAGTTTTAGCGCGAAAAATTGCCCTTTTTTCGTCTTTTTCACGTTTCCCTACATCGATTTTCAAGTTTTCGAAAAATTCGAAGATCCCAAATACAGGGTGGCTCAAAATTACCCGCACAAGCTATAAATGCTGTTTAAGAAAAAGTAAAAGTCAGAAATCCATGGGAATCAACAAAAAGTTTATTCATGATCATAACAACAATTATAAGCTAATCCTGTTCCATTTGACTTCCTCTCTTTCCGATGACAGCGCGAAGACGTCGAGGGTACGCGACGATGGTTGCACGCAGGTAATCTGGCGACAAAGCCTCCTATTTCTTGACTAGGGTCTCCTTCAGGGCCTCGATACTTGAGGGGGGTTTGGCGTTGACCTTGTACTGCAAAACCCCAGAAGGAGTAGTCCAAAGGTTTGAGGTCTGGTGAAAACGGTGGCCGTTAGTCCTTCGAGATGAACGCAGGCAAATGGGTCTCGGATCACTGTTGTGACAACTTGGCTGTGTGTGCTGGAGCTCCGTCTTGTTGGAGTACCCAGTGACGTCCATCGAGTGCTTATGAGCCCAGCAAAGAAGTGTCTTTTCCAAAATCTCTGAAATGTAGACTTTCTTGCTGGTTTTGACTCCTTGATCGACGAATACCAATGGTTTTTTGCCATCAGAAGACACTGCTCCGAAAACCATCACACTAGCGGGGTGAGGGGCTTGATGAATGGTTCTTCCGTTGCCAAAAGCTTCGTCAGACGTCTTAGCAAGTACTTGATGACTTTGAGGGTTGAATTCGGCCTGTACCGTGAACAGCTTCTCGCCAGAGAACGCTGTAACCAAGTGTTCACCAGTGCGCGTGCGCTGAAGGAGCTCCCTTGATCTTTCGAGCCTTTTCTTGGTTGTAGCTACCGAAAGAATAGCTGCTTTTCTTACATGGTAACAGGTGAGCTTCAGCTTGTCTTTGAGGATCCTTTCCATCAAACGTTGACTAATTTTCATATCTTTCGCCATCTTTCTGATGCTCCGAAGTGAATTTCTTCTGGTTCTCTCTTTCACAGCTTTGATCCGATCTGGAGTGACGACTGTTGCTTTTCTTGCTCTCCCACATCTATCCAAGAACGTGCCGAGCTTTTTGAAACGATAAATCGAGTCATAGACGGTTCTACTTGAGACTGCGAGCCATTTAATGATGTCAACCGGAGCGACTTCTTCTTTGAAAAGGTGCAGAATGTAAGAGCGATGTGGATTCGGTGGTGCCATTTACCGAAAACAAAACCGATTGATCTGAATTCTGGCAAAATGGTAAAAAACATCCAATCAATCAAAATTTTTTGTATTACGAGCATCAGAATTGCGTTTTCGCCTTGCCGTGTGGCGTCAAACTTTTGTGCGGGTAATTTTGAGCAACCCTGTAATCCCTTCTAGTCTTGATTATTGATCACAAAGTTTGAAAATTTCGATAAAATCCGCTCAATCTGACTTTTATAGGGAGTGACCCCTTGTTTCTGTCCGAGTTTGTAGACAACACCAAAGTTTAAACTAGGGGAAGAGAAAATTTGAATTTCCGCGTCCTCAGAGAGGAAAAAATGGCAAACTGACGAGTGGAAAAACGCCAAGACAATGGACAGCAGCGCGACGGAGTCTGAATGAAGCGCGGATCGTCTTTTTCAAGTCGCGTGCCAGCCAAAGAATCCCCAACTTTTTCAGCGCCAACTTTCCACCTAAAATTTGAATGGATCCTCTTGTTTGTTTACGAAGAAGTTACGGAGACAACGGCTGAGCGAGTTCTTTTTCAAGTCTTCTTTGAGCCTTCCAAATTTTGAAGAAATGTTATAGATCTAAGGAGCTAAATTGATTGTCCTTTTATTTTACATTGTAGACTTTAGAACCTTTCTCTCAAGGTAACAAGGTAAGTAACGTCTCAAAAAGAGCAAATTTTTCCATTTTGTAACGGAAAAAATTTCCTAAACTACCTTAATACGATTGCCTGCCTTGAACAGGCGTTGAACATTATAATACATGTCAAGGAAAGGTTTCTGAGCATCTCTAGTGATCCCTTAAGTGGCATCAATGCTTTTGAGTGTTATGAGGTCAGAGTATTTCATTCACCGGAGAACATTTTAGTTTCAAAAAAATTATTTTTTTAAATCAGGGTTTTTCAAAACAGGTGGGTCAAAACTACAGGTTTTTCCTTCAATCATCGAAAATCTAAGAAAAACCGCTACTTGAAAAAAATCTTCGAGAAATGAAAAAAATCTTTGAAAAAAATCTCGGTTTTTTTCAAGGTTAAAAAAATTCTTGCTTTAAGACAAGATAACAAAAAGGGAAAAAAATATAGTTCTCAAACATTTAAAAAAATATTTGTTGAATGATTAGGAGTTCTCAAAAAAACTGCTCGAGTACCTCTAAACTTTAACTTTTCGAATTGAAACCATTAAAAACTAAATTTTTTTCGTCAAAAAAATGATAATCTGGAGGAAAAACCTCCGCTGAACTGTCACAGTTCCCTATTATCCCAAGAAATGAAGTAGTCGAAAAAAAAGAGGTCAATTCGAAAATAGCTCATTTCAGGTGTTCCGAAACGGTTTCCTTCAGTATTGGTTTATGACACGAAAAGACCGACTTCAGAAGAGTCCGAATTGCCATTTTGACCGTTTAGCCGGAAGAATCAACGTGACCGACCTCTTTTTCTGCCCCTTTTTGAAAGTCTGAACACCTGCCGAACATTCCGAAGCATGATCAGAAAGTAGCCTGGCCCCTTAGGAACGCCACAGTGAGCCCTAGAGGGGTTACGGCAAAAAAAGCCCATAAAGAACCAAATATTGCTCGCTTAAGGGGTAAAATTTAGGTGGTCCCTATAGGGGTTTTGAATCTGGCCCTTGATCTCATAAAGCTCAAGCGGTGCTACCCTAGAGTGGGCACTTTTGAAAGTTTAGTGCCCCTATAGAAGGAGGTGGGATGGTCCCTAGAGAGGAACCTTCAAGTGCCCTAAATTCGTCCCTCTAGGGACCACTCTGGATTTCCAAAAACCGTTGGTTTTTGATTCTGTTGGGTTTTTCAAAAATGGTTTTGAAAAAAGTTGATTTTCTCATATTTTTTGGTTGAAAAAACACAGTATGCCAAACTTAACCGACGAAAATTCGCTTCGAGACCTATTTTTGCATTTTTGAACAGCAAAACCACAAAAAAAGCTGTTTAAACGGTAGCTTTTTCTCTGCGGTGCTTTTGGAGCATTTTTCCGTTCCGCTCCAGGTTTGTTTTACAAAAAATACCGTACAACTGAATTCGCTTTGAGACCTTTCTTTCAGTGTTGTAGAGAAAAAAAAAGGGAAAAAGTTTTTTTTTCGGAATGTTTTATTAATTGGTTTTTTCTGTCAAAAAACCGAATACCGATTCGCTTCGAAACCCTTTTTTTTGCAGTTTCGTAGAGAAAAAGATATATTCAAGCCAGAAGCTCTTTACTGTACTTGAGATTGCTAACCTCTCACATTTTGAAACCAAAGTTGAGTAGCCACGCGAAAAGGCGACGATAAAACCCGCTCGTAAAGGAATATACGGTGTCGGAAAAAAGAAGCGGGTCGGCGAAAAAGTTAATTACATACATCGGGCTGGCTTTCTTGGGAGCCGACGATCATTGTGCAATTTTCAGGACACGCCTTAATGACAAAGTAATTGGCCTCAAGAAAGTCAATCAAAATGTTGAAACCTCGAATTTTTTTGAAGAAGAGTGAATGGAAAATAACAGTTTTTTTTCTCGAAAAATTTATGAGATCGAAATTTTCAAAAGAATTTACAATTCACTTTTACGAATGAAAACGGAGTGAACATGAAAAATAACAGTTTTTCTCAGAAATACATGAAATCGCCGATTTGAAAATGTTAAAATTCTTTTATGGACACCTAAAAGCGCAGAAGGAAACTTAAACGGCTCCTGGCTTCGAGACCTTATGAAATTTCGTCTATGCTCCTTTAAACGCAGAGTCAGGGATTCCAAACAATCAAAAGATGCAACTGAGCGGAAAAAAATAAAAAGAATAAAAAAACAAATTATCTACTCGTGAAGATTTCAAATCCGCTCCATTTAAGTTTTCTCTCTAACCAAAAAAACAAAATATAGATTGACTTTTTGTTTATTTGACAACTCTCAAAAATTCTCTCGTTATCCTTTTTGAAAAATGCTGCGTTCTGAGAATTCAATAAAATAGACGAATTATCAAGAAATTTCACGATTTTCTTCATTTTCTCAAATCATTTTTTTTATCAAAGCTCCACCAAGCCCGGACTTATGCCGATATTTCAATTTCACGTAAGAAAAGCCAAGAAGTTTGCTGGGAGTTTTATTCACGATTTTCTCAAAAAACAAGAAAGCTTTCAAAATGGGTTCAAGAGTACCTGTACACGGAAAACGTTTCATCAGCAGAGAAGTGAACTCAACATTATCATTATTAAAGAGTGGAAACGAGACAAATAATCTAGGAACAATCAATAATAACGTACAAAATAAAACATACACAAGAATAGCAATGAATAAATGAGAAAAGAAAAAATTTTGACTAATCACAGACCGCTCGCCGATTGTAATTGCGCTGCCAGTTTGAAAATTAGGAAAAAAAAAAATGACCAGGCCATTTTTTGAAATTTTTCCAAAGTTCCTGAGGCTCGCAAACAACCAGCGACTCGGGAAAAAGCAAGGGAAACGGAGAAAAAGGAGAATATATATTTTTGGGGCTTCTATCCGATATCATTTCATAGTTATTATATCGAATCGATTGCTGTATTTTGCAGGAAAGCATTATTAAATGTAATTCAATCACACCGGTTATTAAAAATCATCTCTATTGGTCATGGGAAAATTCGAAAACGAAGCGAGGAAAGTATTGCCTAATAAGGAAGCCAAAGCATCATCAGATCAATTGATGGCGAATAAAGCTGTGAAACAAGCTGAATAAATGCATAGGAATTGCAAAAAAAAAAGCGACGTATGGATTTTGGTTGGAATTGATTAGAATTGCGGCAAAATGCGAGAAATAAGTTAGAAAAGAGTAACACATGATAAAAAGTGTTAAACGAAGCAATTAAGTTAGAATCGATCAATGTGGCTAAATGAATTGTGGACTAATAAGGTGTGGAAATCAACCCAAACGAATGAGTTTTGGGGGGATGACGTCATCTTCAGCCGACCTGACGTAGGATCGGCGGCAGTTGGTCATGAGGAAAGGGCAGTCGGCGATGGATTCCGGGGAGCCAGAGTCCGAGTTGAAGCCGGAGTCGAGAAGAGGCGTCGTCGGCGTGGCTGGCGACGTCGCCTCGAGAAGCACGTCGCTGACCTCGTCCTTCAGAATCTTCTCGAGGTCATTGGTCGGCTCCGGCTGCACACCGTCGAGGTCGGTCATGTCAAAGTCGGCGAAAAAGGTGTTGAAGGCGTCGACGTCAAGGAGCTCGTCCTGCTGCGTCGACAGGACTTCCGAAGGTTTCGGCTCGACGACGACGGTCGGCTGAGGTCGAGGAGCGCGACTTCGAGGCACGGCCAATTTGCGAGGCCGTGGAGCTGGCGGAGGGGCTTTCAGCTCGACTGGCTGAGCCGTCTCCAGAATGAGCGGACCAGACTTTTCAATTTCATGAAATGGAAGAGGGGCTGGCGGCTGGACAGGGGTCGGCGCCGCGTAGAGCTGCTTCTGGGTCAGGCAACGCTCCACCAAGGGGAAGAAGGTCCACAGGAGTTGCTGCAAATCAGTTCGATTAGTCCATTTCTCAGCAAAAGAAATCGAAAAACTCAATTCAATGATAATAGTTTTTAAAACTCACCACTTCATAACCGTACGTCTCGGAGACATATTTCTGAGCGGCCTGGGCGAAAAGTTTGCTTCCAGAGAACTGCTCGACAGTGTAGAGCATCGAGATGCAGAACTGCATCGAGGGGAACAACGACGCCAGCTTGTGCACTGAAAATCACGTTTCTTTGCTTAATTGCTCCAAGTTTTCAAAAGTGTACTACGGTAAATTTCCACCACCCCAAGGCCGGTGTCCTGTCCAATCACAAAGTGAAAGGTGTGAAAAAATGCGCCGCTCACACGGAAAGCGTTGAAAGTTTTTACGCGCATTTCTGATGCTTATCTGATGTTGGTTCGAGGTGAAGTGAGAGAGGGAGACCAGTTCGAGGTGGGCTTTTCAAGACCCTTTTTGGCGCGCTTTCACTCAAAAATCTCCCGAGTCGGTGTCATTAATTTCGCTTGTCGGGCCTTGAAAAAGAAGAAAAACGATGGCAGAGTTCAGTTACAGTAACTTATTGGATTTGATTGTCTGAGAGACGGTTTTAAACTAAAGTTATATATTTTGCCTTAATTTTCTAGCTAGCTTGAAAGTTTCGTTCGAAATGAGTTTTGGGTAAAAAGCTTTGACTTCCCTTTTTCGTTTCCAAGAAAAAAAAACCTTTCACACCTTTCTCAAGGTAGAGTTAAAAGAGAAAAAAACGTGTGTGCTGCGCGATTTCAATCAGAAAAACAGGCGACAACAGGTCTCAGTCCAAATAGATTTGCTGTCAATCAAACAAACCTCCTCCTCTACAGTATCGTTTGTTGGAACTACTACGACTAATACTACTGTACCCGAGGCCATTCTTTCATTTCCGTTGCGGGATTTGCGCCAAAACGAATCGGAAGAAGGACTTTGTTTGACTTTAATTTTGGAAGCAGAATAAGAAGATAACTTCGAAAAAAAAATTTCAAATTCTTCCAGGTGAATTTTCAGTCTAGGCGTGACCATTTTCCACAGGTTATGTAAATTTTTAACTTTTATATTTTTTTGTATGAAGCCTCACAGGGTGGTCACTCTAGTGTCAAATTTGATTTTTCTGTAGTTTCATTTTTTCAGAGAATTAAAATTTGAGCCTCGCACTCCATGAATCGGGCTGAAAACCCACAACTCAACCCCTCAAAGGCTAAAAGATACCTTCACCTAGACCTTTAAAAAAAACTCGTAGTAAGTTCCAGCCTAGGCTAGCAGGATAATCTACCATGTATCAACATTTCCGGTTGAATCTATCCGAAACCGACAATGACTGATGGATGGGCGCCATCAAAATCAGCCAGTGTGCTGCTTATTCCTTTTTGAATGCTCGGCCCCATTGTCTGTGGGGGCCAATCTCGCACATGCTGCATTAATTATGCAACACTCCTCAGGACTGGATTTGCCCGCATTGCGATGGTAACAGGTGGACGGCGGCGGACCATCGTCTTGCATTTTCAAACGTCTCTAGTCACAGCTAGTCGTTAAAAACGAGCACCGGTACAGTAAATCGTCCAACACCGTCGGCGGCCTCTTTTCTCTTTTCTTTTTCGCTATGATCCCGTTACACGGGGCTATTGGCACGCTCGTAATTAATAATTAAGAAGAAACAATGCGAAGACGTTTTCAAATCTTGGTTCTACTGCTTGGTCTTCAAAATGGATTAAGGAACTAGTTTCCTGAGCTTAAATGTGAAAAAAATTTGCTTAAAGCTCTCAAGACTTTTAAAAGCGTCTATAACTCCAAGAATGCCCTAAAACTTCTCAATTGAAATTCTCAACTTTCCAGAGATGGAATTACTCGCCGAAAAGTTTCCCAAATCTCTAAATTTTTCGTAAAAGAAAGAGAAAATGGAACAGTAGTACTATGAACTTGTCTCAGAGCAGACCAGCCCTGCCTAGATGCGTTCAAAAAAGGCCCATCCAAATTCAATTCCTCCCGGTCCAAACTCCTTCGATTATCCGATTACCGTCTGCCTAGCGCATGGCCCAAGCACTGACGTCACAGGTCAGCAGCGGCTCTTTGGATGCGACGCCAGACCTGCCTTCGACCTGGCCTGCCTGCCACGAAAAACAACGTCATCAAGTGTGTGAGGACACACACGCGTCTGCTCAGATAGCATTGTTTTACATTGACCTCAGGAACCAGCGGGATAGTGTGCCGCGCACACCCGCTGTTACGTAATCTCCGTTCACTTTTTTCTCGAGCCATGAGGACCAGAAGGAGAGCAACTCAATAATCTGTGGAGTCTTTTGAACAGTTTTCGAGCTTCATAATTTATGAAGGATAGTTTCAGTCAAAATTTTGAAGTGAAAAATCAATTATTGAAAAGGAGCTAAAAAAAGAGCATCTTCTCATTTTTATCCGTGGAGCACACTCGGCTCAAACTTTCTTTTCAATCCAAACAAACATTGACCAAAGTGGACGCTGCCTCTATTCGAATTCAAACTTCAACCTTTTTTTTCTTCTTTTGGTGCCTCCAAACAAGAAGACAATGCAGCTGGCAAAAGGCTGCGAAAAAAAAGCCACAACACTCACAGCGGCGCGCACTTTTTGCCTCAAATGCCATGGAACGCGGCCCAAATCTTCTATGTTTTTGAATGTAAGAGAAGAAAGTTGCAGCTGCCACGAGGGTTTGGTTTGAATTTTTGAGATTTTTGGACGCAGAAAAAAAAAAAAAAAGAGGCATGGGAATCTCTTGGTCGAGACCGACAAAAAAGCCAGGAGATTTTTTTCCTCTTCTCAACGAAAAAACTCCTTTTGCGGTCAGTGACCCACACACTTTTTTGTCATATTTTCTCCTCACCTAGGACGATGCGATTCATCTTTCAAACCGGTACAAGTTCTCTGCGGGGGCGCGTGCCCCCGGCTCAATCGTAGTGGAAAAAAAAAGTTTTTTGCGAACGACAAAGACAAATTTTTTCGTTTTTTATTTCAACTGGCTAGGTCTGGACCTCCTCAAAAAAACGGGGTCAATGTCCGGAAAACGGTCATTGTGGCGCGTGGCACCCATGTGGCTTCAGTGGGACTTTCAAATTTTACTCGCACTCACACATGTCCTACTGTATGTTATTTATCGAGTGGGGGGAGGCTTGCTGGTGTCGTGTCGGAAGGAAGAAACAAAGGCGGCGCCAATATCTCATACTTCATAACTTCGTGTCGTTGGCAGATGCCGCTAGAATATATATTTCGACGTCAGTTCTGAGTTTCTACTCGGGGAAAGACGGAGGAATTCAGCTTGAAGTTGAGAAGAAAATTCGAATTTTGAGCTTCGTTTTTTGAAATGAACACGTTTAACGTGACTTGAAAACTTTAAAAAAAATAATGAAGCTGGAGATATTTCTTCTCATTGTTCTTCATAATTATCTTCCAAGTTACGTGATTCCCTCTAATCCTCAAGATTCCGTACGCCTATCCTCCCAACCAGATGAAAAACTTCTTATCTGGCCTAGGAACTGAGGAGGCACGCGCCTCGCATTTTTATAACACTTGCGTGTCAGATCCACCGTCACAGATAACCAACGCTTTTCTTTGTCTGTCCTCACTCGAAGTGAGTCCGAGTCAGGGTCTCGAGTCCATTCTCAGACAAAGAAGTGCAGCCTTTCCGTGCGGTAAAAATGTTCAAGATTAGCCTCGAAAAACGGACAGACGGCCCGATGTTGAGGTTGAGGAAGGAGAGGGGAAGGAGAAGGAGAAAAAAACTCGATCGTCATCTGCCCTTAGTTGGAAACGTATTGTTCTTGGCGCCTGGCGCCGAGGCATATGGCGGCAGCTGGCGACAGCGCCATGGGGGTTCCGAATCTAAAGGCCGATGTCCCTGATTAAATATCGAATACCTACATCGTGTCAGCTGGCATCAAGAACGAAAACTAGGTAATGAGAACAGGAAAGTCGGAGACTTCATGATCTCCAGGACTTGAGAATAAGTCCACTAGTTTTGAAATTTTTTCTCCAAATTTGAATTTTTTTGGTTAGGGGGGTTTAGTTCTGATAAGGAGTTTTTATCCCCTTTTCTGTAAGCTATAATCACGGAAGAATGTGCCTAGAAGGCAATCAGATCGTTTATAACAGTTTGACAAGCCTTCAAATGTTCCATTCGTGAGATGCCATAACTGCCCAATTAACCTCGATCGATAAATAATCCGAGGCAGCTGGTCAGTCCATCACTATTTGCAGTGGATTTTCATCCATTCAAAAACACATCCATTAAGATGGTCCAGCTTAAACAAACGGGAACCATTAGCAATAACTTTTGCATGGAGAGGCAGAGTTGGGGGGCCATGTGCAAACATGGGTCCTAGAACCACCGAAAAAGAAACCCAATGCAAATATACAGAAATTGTGCACCCACGCAACACGACAACAAAAGGATTAGCCGCCGATCCGACGGCTTTTTGATCGATGACTGATCCCAACGACCCAATCAACACTCCTTTCTTCGAGAATCATTCAAATCTGGGTAAAGCTCCCTGGGATCCTCACTATCGGTTATATTTGTGCGGTAAACCAATCTCTCCGCTGATCCACTGCCCATAAACAATGAAGAGCAGGTGATGTACCGTAGAATGTGAGGTGAACGTCTCTTCCATTGTTTATGTCCGGCTTGGAAGCCCACCGGATACTTCTTCCTGATAAATGACACTTGCCAGGGAGGTCCAGAAGTTGTCAACAATCCGTTAGAGCGAAAAAAGCGAGAAACTCCCTCGATTTAGACACTGACACTAGAAGGTGAAAAACATCTTTTATTTAAATTTTGAACCTATTGATTCTTTGTTACCAAATTGAAAACCAAAAAAGCCGCGTTCAAATGAACAAATGTGCTCTAGAGATAAAAACTCAACGTATTTTTTGGCCTCTATAAGATTATGGATTTTTCTATCTTCACACTAAAATAGTCGCATTGAAATTGGAAAGTACGCTCCACGGCTAAAAATTAAATTTTCGTTTTCAAAAATGTTTTAGACTCATCTCTTGTTAAAAACTACGTACAAAAGTCTATAAACTTTCAAATTCACACCTTTGATCCGATCTTTCTCAAAGACGATCAAAAGAAGTCATAAAAGAAAACTTTGACGGCACCGAAGAATTCAAAAACTTTCAAAGTGTGCTCAAGGTTAGACCGTAAAACCCAAACGGAACACGGAAACTCTGAAACTCAAGATTGATGAGTTGGCAACATTCTCAGGTAAAACGTGAGGTGCGTGGAAGATTGACGACCGTTCCTTCGTTATCAATCGCCGATTCGGGCCGACGATAACTCACAAATATTTATGAAAAAGGAAAGTTTCTCATTTTTTCCCCTTCAAATCAAGGTCATAAAGCTTTCCGTTCCTCACAAATCCTGTAGGCGTTCAGCGGGACAAACTTGTCACAAACGGTTTTGCTTCCAAATCAAAAGGTGTTTGGCTGGCGGGGGGCTGCTGAAGATTATAAGGAAAGGAGAAGAAACGCGGCTGTCCACCCAAAATAATGGCCGTTGTTGTCGGAGAGGTTGAGAAGGTTTTTTCGAAAGGAGCGTACCGAAGACGCAACGTCTGGCAACAGATGCTCAAGAGCTCATTCCGGCGGATTCGAGTCCCCTCCGAAAAGGACCTCTAATCGGCCCTTGCCGGCTCTTTTATTCTTAGAAGACCAAAAAATTTTTTCTCAATGGATTTTGGGAAAAATTGAAATGTTGCTTTGTAGGGCTTGAATTTTTTATTAAGAATATCGTCAAAAACAATTTTTTTTCTTCAAAGTTTTTGAAACTCTCTACGGAGCGTAAGCTCTCTTTTTTAATGAAGCATCTTTTCTCGACTTTCCTAGTTAACTCCCAATTATCAAAATTAGCCGTAGAGCACTTATCGTCAAGCCCACGACGGCTATTTTCTGCCAAACTCTTCAAAATCGACATGGGTGGTCGATCCAATCGAAAAAAAAAATGAGAAGGCAAAACATTGAATACCGGTCGTTAAAGCGGTAGGGCCTTTCTCGATTGCAACATCGGCATAAATTGTATGACGGGTCGTTCTCGCGCACACGTCCAACTGAGGTTCTCTAAGCTCATTCTCACCCCAAGGACAAAGTTTTCGACCAGCAATTCTAATATACCGTAGCTGTCCGGTGCACTTCTTTGGGTCAGGTCGACCGTGTTAAATTTCAAACACGTCGGAAAAACTTCTTTGTTTATACACGGCGGCTTGAGTGTGTGTTCCTTTCTTGATTTATGCGCCGCAGCCAAAAGTTTATGCTAAAAGACCGACTTGAGATCACTATCAAATCCTTTGTATGGATTCCGATTTTTTCGTTCAAACTTTGAAATCATGGCGACGAGGTAAGAAGGAAGACCGGAGGCAAGAAAAAACGCCTCGAAATGCGCGAAATCCAAAGTGCAACAATATTTATGTGTGTTTCGTCTTTCTTTTTTTTTCGTCTTCTTTTTGCACTTGGTTCCAACGGGTGCCTTGCACACTTTGTCTTTGGCGGTGGGAACCAAGAACAACGAGAGGATGGCGCAAGAAAAAAAACAGGAAAGGAACATCAGGCCTTTTTTGAGACATTCAGAAGGTGCCGAAAAAATAACTCCATGCCTTGCTCTACAGTAGAAAAGACCGTAATTATAATGCGCTGCTGATTTACTTAAGCCATTCACAAATGTATCAATCAAGTGCGCGAAGAGAAAAACCAAGACACCCACTCGAAGGTCCCGAATCCGTCCCGCTAATGCGTTCGGAAGTGCGAAGACGAGTGGCGGCGAGCAGCACACAATGGAAAAAAGGCCGGCAGATGTTCTCAGATTCAGACGGTTATCTATCTCTTCGAGGTTAGGTCAGGCTCAAAGAACAGGAAAAGTTGAGCAAATGAGGTCAGGTCGAGCTGAAATATTCGAGGAACCAGAAGCTGATTGACTTTGGGAATTTCAGTTGAGCTTTCAAGATAAGCCAGTTTCAAGAAAAGGCACACTTTTTGAAAAAATTGATCAACTTCAGCGAGAGGTTGCAGAAGCAGATCATCCAGTAAGCAAGTCAAACCGAACTATTCTCGTAGTCTCTCTCCTCTGAGCATCATGCCAGACCAAGTCAGGCTACAAATCAAACAAAGAGCTGATCAACTTTCCAGCGCCAAGTCTAGCTCAAACTGTGGTTTTTGAAGGACAAAACCTTGATCAACTTCTACAAGATCGTTGACTCTGTTCAACGCCAAACTGGGCTTGAACAAGAAAATTGATTCTCCTGAGCGTCATGCCATGTCAAGTCGGGCTACAACTCAAACAAGAAGACGAGGAGAAGAAGTTGAATGCCACGGACGTCGTCACCGTCCTCCTCGTCCTCGTCGTCGAGAAAATCACCTTCTCATGAGTAATTGCATGGTGGCGCAACGGTATTCAAACGACAAGATGGCCCCACTAATGATGAGAAAATCAACAGAGCCACACGAATGAAACGGAAGAACGAGCAGGAAAAAAATTAAGTCGTCGTTAAATTTGGGAATCTGGACAGCTAAAGTTGCCTCTTCGTTCCGACATAAAATCGCTTCTGCTTCCCTGGTTTCCAGTTCCGATGCTTCGTGTGTGGTCCTCGCGTTCAAATGTAAATTCAAACTGCCGAGACACCAACGATCGGTTCAAGATGAAGCTGGCTATTCAAAGGCAATAGATGATTATACCATGTCACGAGACTGGATTCCGACGCGGTTGGGGGCCATGAATAATTTACAATACTGTCATTTCGCAACATTGTCAGGAAGAGCCATTAATTGAGATGATGCCTAATTAAATTAACGTAAAATTCAGAGCATGAGAATTCAAATTTTTGAGTGGTCTCAATTCAAAGTCAAGAAAGGTCTAGGAAACTTTTTAAATTTCCAAATTTAATGGCTTAACCAAAAAAAGTAACTGCCTCCGTTCTTCATTGTTGCTCTATTTTTAAAATGACTACTTTGAGCCAAAAAAAGCCGATCCAGCTATCTTCATTCTCGCTCTGCTGACGAATTCCGTCAAACTGAAACTCTTAGAAGAATCTCCGAAAGTCTCCTTGGAAAGTGCAACAAGACTGAAATTTTCCCGCATTTGCATAGAAAAAAGGAGACGTCAAATCTTCATGCGCTCGACTTAATTCCCTCCGAAAAAAAACAGTGTCAAGGCGTTCGGTAGGTCCCAAAAATTGGCGCGGTAAGCGCGTCGAGGCGTGAAAAGCCCCGTTCAATCAGGGCCTCCTCCTCAGAAAACCTCCCTAACAAAGACCGTATTCGTCGGTCGTTCTACAAGAAGAAGAGGAAAATCTGAATTTTTTCAAGGCAAAAACCGTGCCGGTCACCTCCTTCTACTTCTCCTTGTCCAAAACCGAAGGCAAATAACAGCCGACCTCCTAGCCATTGATAATGTTGCAAAACCTTGTCAAACTAACGACCCGTGTATTTTAATACAAACAAACTTAGAAAGACCTTTCTCCCACATTTCTTACGCTTTGTACTGCTGAAAAAAAAAATCTCCACGAGAAAAAAAAACCGCGTGACACACGGCGGGATCGTTAGAGGCTCAATTCAAACGAGAAGGCAAAAAGAAAGGCCGACAAGGGGAAAAAACGTGTTCAAAACTTGAGTCACTTCGTAAGAAAAAAGGTCCGATTTCCCTTTTTTGGACTTTTTGAGAGCCGTTAGGATTCAAATGGGAAAGTTGCGAAATTTTTCGCGCAGCTGTGACGTCACAACAGATGGTTTCTCGGCGAAACCCATCATTTTGGAACCATGCCAATGGCAACAACAACGTGCTAAATTGGTGCAAAACAAGGTTACTTCTTTGCCGAAAATTGACCGGCGTCGTCTTTAGCTCGAGTTATTATCTCCGATTTTAGCCGAAAAGCTAGATTTTGTTAATTTTTTCTATTTTTCACAATTTTTTTCCGATTTCGCTATGAAAAATTCTTGATTGTTCCGCATCCACTAGTCCAAAAACAGCGTGGGTGGCCAAAAAAAAACCCCCTCTCAATCCGAAAAAAGAACAAGTGTGTCAATCGCTTCGCAATACGGCCAAAAAAAAGGAAGAAAATGCAAATTTTTCTCTTTATTTTCCGGCCCACCCGCTGCTGACCTACCGCACAGCCGAAATGAAGAACACCCTCTAACAAAGCGTCGAAAAAAGTGCAGCAGCCATTTTTTCTTCCCTTCTCAATAGGCCACCCGTATTGAGAGAGGGAGCTTAAGCGATTAAGTTCGTTCTTCAGACAGTCATTTTTTCTCCCTTTTTTTTTTGTGGGCGGACAGGAACCGGGCCAAGTCAGAAAAAAAAACTAGAACTAACTCTTCTGGATCCGGTGGACGGTGTGGGTGAACTGCTCGCGGAGGTCGTTCAGCAACGGAAGCCTGGCGGCGGCTATGTCGAAAAAGTCCATGGCGGTGGGGGCGACGGTCTCGTAGTCGAGTTGGGTCACGACAAGGAGCTCCCAGCTCTGGAAGGATGGAATTCAGATTAGGATATCTAGAAGGTGTGACGGACCAGGACGTCGTCCACCTTGCAGCTGTCGTCCGAGTAGTAGGAGATCTTCCCGGCGTTCAGAGGTCGGGGCGCCTTCAGTTTGCTGGCCACGAAGAGGCAAACTCCAGCCAACATCTGAAAATTATGCTGAATCTTAATTTTTTAAAAGTTCTACTCGAACTTTTCTGAAGCTCAAAAAATCAAAACTCTATAATCTACTGAAAGAATTGAAAAATATTCCCTACCTGAATATCATGTTTGAAGATGTTCTGGATGGACAGGAAACGATCAATCAAGCCGACGGCCAAGGGGAAAACGTCGCCGTCGCAGTGTTCCTCCTGGAAGACGAAATGTGTCCTTTTACAGAAAAAATTGGCTCGAATTTCGGTGTGAGGAAGGAAAACGGCACCTTGGCAACATCATAGATCCATTCGACGGCCTGTTCCCGATGATAGGGAGTGACGTGGTCCTGGACGGCGGTGAAGTAGTGATAGTTTGAGGACAATTTCTCCTGATAAAGGGTGATATTCAAAGGGATTTTCGGGAAGAACTGTGGCACCTCTTGACGCATCAAGTTAGAGAGGACCCGAGGGTCGAGCTGAAGCTTCAAATCGCGACTATTGTAGACCTTGCTCCGTTGTGGGTTGTTGAGAGCATGGTCGGGCGTCGGCGGGCGCCGACGCCGTTCCTGCAGCTGGCTCACTGGGATTTGCTGAAAAAGTTTCGACTCAGAAAAGGGAGAAAAAAGAGCACGTGCGTCGGCTGGCAGATTGCTTTGAAATTACTAAAAAGATGTTTAAAACTTACTTTTCTCTGAGAAGTCAATTTTTAACAGAGTTTTTTGAGTTTTGTATGAGCAGTGAGATTTGCTGGAAATATTTTCGGCTCACAAAGAGAAGAAAAAAGAGCACGTGCGCTGGAAAAATAGGAGAAAACTAGCCAGTCGTCGTGGTCAACAAACAATGATTCTTCACAAAACAGAGGGAAATCGATGATTTTTCTGGTGTCAGAGAAAAGTTTTTCTTTTATATCAAGCTTTATTTTTTCAGTTTCGAAATCAGAAAAAAGTGAACTAGGCAACTGTAAAGGTCAGGAGAAAAATATCAAAGATTGGAGTGGAAAAAAAATAGAATTTCAAGACGAAGTTAACCTTTCGACGGTCAAAAAAGGATAAACTTTGCGCTTTTTTCTAGGAATCAATCAGTAATACTCGAAAGATAAACCAAAAAGTCAATAAAAAAATCCAAAAGGGCCTAAAATGCGTGTCGATCTGCTGTTATGTGTGTATGGGTGTGCGTTACACGTATTCAGATGGTTATCTGAAATCGCGGCCGTCTGTCCCAAAGGCCTAATTTCATTTCACTTGTGTTAACAATTAAATAAATTGAGAATTTTTCTCAATTCTTCTGGTAGCAGGGAGAATGGCTTGAGGCGTCGCGGCCGCGCTGCAGTTTCAAAACCAATTTGCAGCCGTTACGCTTTGAGCCATTCCAAACGCGCCCAACACACTTCAATTCATTTATTTGATGAATGAGAGAAGAAAAGTACGCTCTAGAGGATCCCTGCCTTACAGGAGGCGTTGCCAGCCAATCACAGACGTTGTTCGTTAGAGCAAAAGTGTGGATTTTGTCAAAAATATTTCAAAAATCTACTAATCGAGAAAGTTCGGCGGGTGCACAAGAAAGGGCGGCCAATCTTTTTGTTCTCCTCGGCGAATGATGTATCACGCATCGCGCCATGCAACAGTCATGTCCGTGAGAAAGCAAATAATATAACTTAAAAAAGAGAAAAAGGAACTTGAAAAAATATATCAAATTTTCGAGTAGAAAAATGAAGATAGTGGAAAAAATGTGAAGCGACAAGGTTTTTTGAGACAGAAACGGCTGGCGCCCCGCTGGGTCGAGAAAACGTTTCTTTTCCGTTTTTGAGGTGAACGAAAAATCAACAGTTGGTATAGAGTTATTCGACGGAGTTTGGATCCGGAAAAAAGGTGAATTGAATGAAAAAATTAAGAAATCCTTGAACCGAAGTATAAATTTTCGGAAAGGATGTACTGACGAAAGAGAAAGAGACCGTTATCAAATAGAAATGTCATGGCAGAAGTTTTAAAAGGAGATTGAAACGTATATAGACAAGGAAGAATTAAAAAAATTGTAGAAGTGTCTATTTTTTTATTCTCAACTAATCTCGTAAAATTCCAAAAAAATAATGATTTTTTTCAAGCTGAATGTCAAGTTATTCTACACCTTATCTATATTCTAGCCAACAAAATGTATACCTGCGAATTGGGAAGGGGCTGGAAAACGGTGCGACTCCGATGGAAGGTGAAGGCGGCGTGGATACGAGTCCGTGGCGGCGCCGTTGCTGAACTCGTGGCGAACGAGGTGCTCGGCGAGTCGGCCATCGTCTCCGTGCACCGGAGACGAGCGTGCATCGCGTCGATCACGTTCGGATTCACCCGTGGTCGGCCAAGAATGTTCATCGTCGGCGGCGACTGCTGCAAGTTCAGATATTTCATACTTTTAAGAAAATATGTCAAAGAAAGTCCAAGAAAAACGTTGTAAAAAAAAAGGTTCCTAATTTCTGTCAAGCTCCAACTTGTTTAAGCTCAAAAACGCAGAAATAGTTTTTTTTTTATGGTATTAAGAAGGATAAAAAGATCATTAGATTTTTCTTCCTTATGATCCAAAAAATATCCAAAATCAGTTTTCTAGTTAAGAGTGGAAAAGGTCGAGATCTAAATCTATTGAAACGGAAAATTTGAAATTCGCTAAGCTCAAAAAAATATTCAATAAGAACCTATCATAAGATCCATGAAACAAAGATAGGAAAAATAGTTCTTCCTCAGAAAAGAAGGAAAAAATGCGGTAAATGAAGGTAGGACTGGCAGGTGTGAAAGGCAAGAAGCCAGCCTGCGCAGGCCGAAACCGAGTCTGACCGGCCGAAATGGGCGGAGCCACCCCCTCGCGTCACTGTTCAGAGGCTGACTCCGCCCAATTTCCTCGAAACCCCTCCGATTTCTTGAGGGCAAATGAAACAAAAGGCCATTTCCTCTGCTAATGATGAACTTGAGTTGCAAAACGTGATCCGAGTTCTCTCTTTTTTGAGAAAGCGTATCGAAAAATTGAAAAATAACTTTGAGGACGGTAAAATCAGCTTGGAAAGCGTTTGAGAAAAGCTTGAATCGAAGAACTTCTTGGGGAAAAAAATCTGGAATGTCATGAAGATTCCAGAGAAGGAGTCGAATGAAAAATTGGAAATATCTCGATTTTACTAATTCTGAGATCTTCCAAGCTTTTTTTGAACCTGGGAAAATTTTTAGTGGCCACTATAGGGTTTTGACGTTTTAGTGGCCACTATAGTAGTCAAATTAGTGGCCACTTATAAGTGGTTAAAAATTAGTGGTCACTACAGAGGTCTCAGTAATACTACTAGACCATTAAAATTTTTAGTGGTCACTTTAGGGGCTAATGGATCAACATAACTGGTCCAGTAGGTTTTTTTTTAAATTAATGGAAGGAATACTGGATGAAAAACTACTGAAGTTGCCACTAAAAGAGAAAATAGTGACCACTATAGAGGTGGGATTAGTGGACACTTTAGTGTCCTCTCCAAGTAGTCCTTGGGGAGCCTCTATAGTGGCCACTAAAATTTTCCCAGTACAAAGCTTGACCTCAATCTCAAATTAAAAAAGGTGGATTAATATTATGACTAATTATAAAAATAAAGAATAATTTTATCTTCACGGTTAAAGGGCGGATCTCGCTTAATTTGGTGAAAAATAGCCTTTCATCATGTAAAGATACATCTCTTGAACAAACCCAGTTTAAAATCCAACTTTTCTTATTGGAATTAAATTTTAGATATTGATGAACCTCCACCAACGAGGAATCCAAACAAAAGACAGCCTTTTTTTCTTCGACTCGTGAAACCAAGAAGACCAGAACGGTGCCATTAAAAGTGCAAAACGGATGTGAGGCGTCATAAGAGCAGACGTTATACAGCCCCCAATACGCACATTTACCGCGCCAGCCAACTTTTTCGATTCATTCATTTTTTTTTTCCTTTCTTCAACGGATCATTGAGAGCAAAATCTCCTGAACGTCTAGGCGCGTCTTGCAGATTCCAGGAATAATTTTGAAAATCCAGAAATACAGAATTTCTTCTAGTACCTGAAAAAAAGCTTAAGGATAGACACTTTCATGCGGTAACTGCAGATATTTCGAATAAAACCGAAGATGCAAAAAAAAAACCAAGCGATTAAAGCTTCCTTGAAAATTACCAAACAGTCAGGAACGATCAAAAATATTATTTTGAAGATCTTGAAGAGGTTCATTTTGAATATATACTTTTACCAATTTTTTCAAAGCTTTATAAATAGACTTGAAACTCTGTAATGCTCTGTAAGATCAAAATAAGAACTCCTGACAGTTCAAAATCCCCTTTCCCTATTTCGCGTTACTGAGAAAAGATTGATGAATGATCCTAATAAACTATTCTTCATGAAAAGCCCTGCCACGCTTCCGATAATCCCTACAAGAACCATAAAACCGTCCTCGAATACCGAAACAAAGCTAGAACGGCCATAAATCTCGAGTAATATTTGCGGAGCAACAGAAAGCCCGGGCGGTTTACACCAAAGCGAGCCTTGGCCCAAGTACCAAGCCAAGAATCCCGCAGCGAGTCCGACGCAAAGCCAAACAAGCCGCCGACGACTTTACGGTGCGGCGGGGGTGACCTGGCCGTAGGCACGGCTGAGATTAGGAGCAAAAACAGGCGTTCTTCTAAGAAAATCCAACATCTTGAGAGCATTTTGCTGCCCAATGGCTAATAAAGTGCTAGTGGTGCCTAGGTGAGAGCGTGACGTGAAAGGATTATCCATTTTGAGGCCATTGATTGGATTGGAGAGGCTTTAGATCTGTATCTACTAAACTCTGAGTTCTTTATCCCTTATCACGCGAAACAAAATTTATTGGAAACCTATCATTTTGCTCGCTTTTTCTCTAAATTTTGTTATTCTGTACACATATGCTTTCGGAGCCAGAGAAGTTTGAATTTCAATAGTCGGTACAAAATCCTGCGTTTTGAAGGCGCATGGGATTTTTCCATAGAAGTATCAAGACGAAAACCACTAGCAGTACTGCTTCATGTTTAAAAAAAACTTCTCGGGCTTCAAAAAATGAATAAATACGAGTTTTTCCCACTGTTCATTCGCACCGATTGGCATAACATCGAAAATGTCGCCCCCGACACGTTGAGGTTTTTTGTTTAATTACAAAGTTGGTTTGTCAGGAGTCATGTGAACGGGGTCGTCATTTTTTTAAATATTTTTTTTCAAAAACCTCGAATGAATGAAAGGAAAAAAAGATTAGAACTTTTGAAAGCTTTCTTTTGGATATACGAAAAAAACTTTGAATATACTTGAAGAAGATCTCTTTCAAAAAAACACTTCTTTGATTGCAATTTTATTAATCAGAATAAAAACGCACTTTTCCAAAAAAATATCAATTTGAAGAAGATCCCTCACAAGAACTCCAAATAAACGCGAAAAATGACCGATTTCCGAAAATCCAACTCGGAACATTCTTCTTTGTTTAAATACTTTACATTACAAAAAATCTCAGGCAGCTGTATATTAAAATTAGTCTTCCTGCGCACTATTGTGAAAAATTACTTTGAAGTAGTCTCTATTGTCGAACCATGAAAGACTTTTTCTAGACCAAAATTTGAGCTGGAAATTTTCATTTTGCTCTGATTTTTTTTAGTAGAATAATCTCCCAGTTTTCATTGAAGCTTTCTAACTACCCTTCAAGGATTTTAACCCATAGAACTTCTTTAAAAATCGATTTTTTCAACTGGTAAAGCTCAATTTCACGTATTTCACGTCAAAAAAACTCAAAACAATCGGCCAATTCACGTTTGAAATTTTTCCAAATACACACCCAGGTTTTTTGTTTAGAAATAAATAACGTCTCAGCTGGTAGAAAAGCAAAAGCTCAATTTAACGAGTGTGACGTCGAAAAAACGCAACAGGTAAGGGGGGCATCTGGCCGTTGCGCAAACCATTTTCGCTTCAGAATATTGCGCGAATCAGCGGCCGAAATTGCGTCACTCGGACATGATATTCTTAACGAGACAAGCGCTTAAGCCATTGAGGTCGCACTGTTGGGCGCGCAATCAAGGCGTTTAGGCAAATAACGCAAAAAATGACACCTTCTCGATTTTGTTTGGATATCTTAAGTAACGGTTTAGAAAGAAGAAAGTGTTATTTCTTCGATCAAACATTTTTTGAGAATTGAAAATATGAAGATAGTTTTTTTGATATGATTTTATAAAATAAAAATTAATATCCTTGTCCATTTCATTTTACTCTATACCCTGTTCAAACAATTTTTAAAAAAGCATAACGAAGTTCTGTAAAGGTTTCAAGGCGAAAGTAGGAATTTCAGAGTGATCCCTATGGGGGGCCGAAAAAAAGTGGTCTTTTTAGGGTTTTAGGGTCCCTCCAAGGTAGCCCACTTTGGAGTTCCTAAGAATAGTTATTAATCTTTTTCGAAAGAATAGAAACAATCAATAAAAAAATTCGCAGTTTATAGAGCAAACTCCACTTAACCTATTTTTTTCCTATTCTTTTTTTCGAAAAAAACAAAAAAATTCATTATTTTTTTATGCAGAATGCTTTCTCCACTTAAATTTTTGGATGATAATTCCGAAAAACAATCATTTAACGAAAAGGAAAGGTTCAAAAATTAAATCCAGCAAGAAATCAGACAAAATTCCTGAAAAATGCCGAATTTTCATGATAATCTATTTTCAAAGATTTTCTGGATTTGCTCAGAAAACCATACTTTTGAGATAAAAACCCTGGAAATTTACAAACAAAAAAAAACAAACCGGATAAAGTCGTCAGCAAGGTGTCATCGATGATATGATAATCAAAGGTAAATAATCATGGCGGCTAATCTCATAAGCCCAGGGAGTTGTCCAAATCGCGCAACCCTGGCAAATAAACGACAGTTTTTGAGCATGACCTTTCGCGCATTATCAGCGAACAGTACAATAGGTGTGGAGGATACAATTTTTTTAGTTATAGGTGAAATTAGCAATGAAATGACGGTATAATGACAGGAAAAGCAAGAATTTTATGATCAACAGCTTTCTGAAGTCCTTAAAAGAACCTGAATCATATTTATGAAATTTTGGACGGGTAATAATTATTATTTATGAAAGGAATGCATTTTCAATATATAAAATTGATCAGGATAAGTTAAATAAATTGGGGATTTTGAAACGAAACAAAAAAACACTCGTTAAGCCTTGAAATGAAAAAATGTTTGAACTGTGCAAGATAAAAAATAATTTGATCAATCAGTTTTTTTTTAACTCTCTTGAAAATTTGTAAGAAACCCAATTTTAACTTCTTACCGACCTCAAAAATCTGTTCCAATATGACATGTACAACTGACAATTGTAGAAGACACTATTAAGTAATAATTAGCATCAAAACCTGGCCCGACACCTCAAAAAAGGCTCAAAAGATGTCCCGCTGAGGCCAGACGCCCGGCCCAAGCGCACATGGCCCAAGTCATCAGATAAGGCTACAAATCTGTCTCGGAACAAGTTTTCAATGGGTTGAGCCAGGTGTCTTCGATGCCAAAAAATGGAACACCTGTTAGAATATCGGAGAAAACGGGGAAAATTGGCGGTGGACGGCCTTCGCAAAACCGTTTTTTTTTTGTTTTTCCTTTGCATAATATCACGTGTCTTTCTAGTTTCCGCTAGAAGTTTTCTGCTTTTTGTGCTATTTATTGATTTTTTAGAAGTCTTCTTTTTAGGATTTGAAAGTGATTTGATTTGTAGTAATGGACTATTCAAATTTTATCATTTATTTAAGAAAATTCTTTATGAGATGACAAAAAGAGCTTGGAATAATTTTGAAAAAAATCGAGTCATTTTCATTTTATGTTATCAATAACCTTGACGCGCCTTTGAGTTTACAAAAAAATTTTTTTTTAATAATCATAGTTCACGACTGTTAGGATAAAAAAATCAAAAATTCTGATCTCATGGAAAAAAATGAATAATTTCAGACTATATTCATCCGAAATTATTTTTTTTTTGTACCGAAAATTCGCTGGATCAAAACTGAACAAATCACACGCCATAAATAACTGAGCGATTCAAATTAAAACTGAGCCGAAATCCAACCGACGACGTAAAGTCAGAAAAACAGGATTAGGCAAGGTTCTGGAGCTAGAAAAAACACTACGAAAGAAATTGAGGACAGCACGCGACTTGACGAAAAAACGGCTGACCGGAGGACCACCCACAGGCAACAAGAGAAATGATCGGAGGGTAAAGTGAGAGGAGCGAATGGCCCGTGGGACACTCGTTTTTTAGGATTTCTTTGTTCCGAAAATTCAGCCTAAAGATGAAGCTTTAGATTCAAAAAGTAAACGCGTTTCAATAGGCGAATTGATGCAAAAAACGTTGTGCCGTAAAACTCCTTGGAAAAAGAATAAACGGCAAAAAAAAAAAAAACGATTTTCTTTGTATAGACTATTCCGCGCCAGCTTGTCCCGTTTTTCTTTCCGCCAAAAAAACCGTATACCAAATTAGATCAAATTTCGGTTTTTATAATGGCAAGAAACAAAGGTCTTGAAGTGAATTTGTTCAAATTTGACCTGGCTTTTTGGCGGAAAGAAACGGGACAAGCTGGCGCGGAATGGCCTATAATTTTGAAAGCAAGTCTTCTAAAAAAAATATTTTTGAACAGGTATAAAAATTAAAAAAATTTAACCTTAACTCAAGAACAAAAAAACCTTTTTATGCACAGGAAAAAACAAAGAAAAAAACAACGCGAATTTTACAAATAGATCAACTTAAAAAAATTACTTTTTCACTGTTTTTTTCTGAACGTGTTCGACTCCTGCGCCTTTTTTTGAAAAATAACGCCCTTTGAAGCTTTGAAATCAATTGGAAGCGTTAAAATTAGAAAAAAAGAAGAAAAAAAGATGAAAACAGAAAAAAATTTACATTTTTTGGAGTACTGTAGTCATTGCGTCCTGGAATTCCACCGTAACCATTTTTCGTGGGAGATCAAAATTTTCCATCGAATTGTTATTCCTTGTTGACAGACTCATCTCCTTTATTAAGAAACGCAATAGGCAGCCACCTGGCAGCAGAAACGTATGATCTGTCCAAGGTTTTTCGTTCTAAATTCGGAGTTTCTCCAACACCAGCACCAACGGGCAAAAGAAGGCCTTTTTGACATTTCCAACACAACCTTTGATTTGATGACAAGTTTAGCGACTAATGAATGACTAGAGGATGCCATTTTTGGATGGACTTTGCCAAAATAACGACTCATTCATTCTCTTATTCTCATGACTCATGAAAAAATACAATCTATCGGTTCAATCGATGGAAAACGATCGATATTCCGAGGGTTCTGACAAGCCGAAGAGTTTGACAAGGCAATCTACACGCAATCTCGCCGCGATCTCTATCTCCGGACCGAGTTTTTCGAAAAATTTACTCAGTTTCATGTTTTTACTACTTTATTGGGGTACCGACAATGTTCGGTCGTTTTTTTAGAAAAAAAATACAAAAATTATCGAAATTCTTTGGTTCAAGCCACGATGAATCGGAAATCGTACAAGGCTACCGCAAATTGATAAGATAAAATGCTGGTTTTTAATAGTTGCCTGCTGATAAGGGAGCCTTGATTCAAAGTCCATTTTTCGGAGAAAAAGGAGGAGCTATTTTAAATTTAGTTGAAAAAAGTGAATCTAAAAGAAGTTAGCTTTGAAATGAAGATGTTTGTAGGGAAACTTGGAATCTGAAAACCTTTATTTTAAGAAAATAAAAGAAGATAAAAATTACTGATATACCAATTATTAAAGTGCATCATAGGCTCTTCTAACTCGATAACTCCTACATGTCAAGCACTAAATTAAGGCGATACTGATCGAGAGGGGCAAGTTGCGGTCGCCGAGGGCCGTTCACCCGAAGATTTCAATCAGAAGACGTTCCAATCCGAACACGCCAGATGGCTTCAGACGATAGGTCTGGACTTGTTGATGGAGGTGAGCACGTTATCGGCTCGTTCTCGCGCACTCTCCCCTCCTATCGCTTCACACCTGTCCGCCAGCGCTTGATTTGTAGGCTGAGGTGACGGACAACAGCTACGCTTGTCAGCCGTTTTCAGTTTTGGAACGGTATTTAAGGTTGGAAAAAGGCTGAAGGGAAAAATAAACTGTATTTCTAACATCTTCACTAAGAATAACTGACGAGATAAACGCGAGGTCGGTGGCGGTACATTGACGAGCTCGCAAACATCTCGCTTTTTTCTAGGCGCGATCTCGCATTTCTCTCGGCGCGACCTCGCCTTTTTCTTGGCGCCATCTCGCATTTATCTCGCATTTCGGAAATTTTCAAAATGCGAGAGAAATGCGAGCTCGCGCCTAGAAAAATGCGAGCTCGCGCCCAGAAAAATGCGAGACCGGCGCGAGAAAAAAAGCGAGATGTTTGCGAGCTCGTCAGTGTACCGCCAGCGTCTCGCGTTTATCTCGGCAGTTATTCTTAGTGTTACGAGAGAAACAGAAGATAAAATCTTTGATATTTCAAGCGAAAAAAATTTTACAAACTGAGACCGTGGAAAATAATATTTTCATTCAAGAACTCAGTTGAAAGCTGAGAATATTTTTACACTAAGAATAACTGCCGAGATAAACGCGAGACGCTGGCGGTACACTGACGAGCTCGCAAACATCTCGCTTTTTTTCTCGCGCCGGTCTCGCATTTTTCTGGGCGCGAGCTCGCATTTTTCTAGGCGCGAGCTCGCATTTCTCTCGCATTTTGAAAATTTCCGAAATGCGAGATAAATGCGAGATGGCGCCAAGAAAAAGGCGAGGTCGCGCCGAGAGAAATGCGAGATCGCGCCTAGAAAAAAGCGAGATGTTTGCGAGCTCGTCAATGTACCGCCACCGACCTCGCGTTTATCTCGTCAGTTATTCTTAGTGTATTTATTGGAGTAATCACTAAAGACGCCACAGTTCTTTTATTGACGCTTAGCTCGCGCATTATTTCGGCGCTTCATGTAAATTTACTAATGCCGTGTTCAAAGTAATTTCGGGGAATCGAAAAATAAAAAAAAGTAACGATTTTCTCGTTTAATTTGAAAACCCGAAATCCTGAAAATTGGCATTTCGAGGGGCCGCGACGCGCCTGCTACGCGGGTGCTGCAGCATTGGGTCTCGCAACGATCAAACGCGGAAAAAGGAAATTTTCAAAATTTTCGCAATTAATTTTTTGTATTTGTTGATTTGATTATTGTTTTCATTATGGCGCGTTCAGGAGCAAAACGCGAAATTTTTCGAAATTCAAAAGAGCGTTCACGGCGATACTTCGAAATTAGCGAATTTCGATTTTTTTGAGATAATTTCGAGATAATTTTTCTTCTTTTTTTCTTTTTTTAGATAATTTTTTTCTTTTTATTTTTTTCAATTTTCAACCCGTTCAAATTTATTGATTTTAGAAATAGTACGAATGAAAGCCTTAAGTTAATTTTTTCGACTGTCTGAACTTAAAAAAAAGTTCAATTTTTCTCAAATTTCGAATTTATCGTGTTCATTTTTTTTTTCCAACGGATGTATCAGAGTGTTTGAAGTTGCAGGTCTCTAAACTATGGCGGGTATTGGATTACCGAAAGTGCTAAAGTTGAAAAAAAGGTAATTTTCATTCAAAAAAACTTTTTTTCGCAGTTATTTTTTTACAAATTTTTGATTCTTTTTCACAAAAAAATTTTAGACTCGTTAGGGAGGCACGAGCGGCTCGTGTGAAGGTAACGCAAAATTTTCGTCTCTACAGTCAAGCATAAATTCGTGAGTTCTCTTATTCTTCGATGTTATTTTCTTTCATTTTCAATATGTCTTGTCAATATGTCTTGTTCAGTTGTAAACGAAAAATGAATACCACGGTTCAACCGATGGTATGAAAAAAAGAACAGCAAAAGTTCGAACGACCACTTCTCCGATTATTTCATATCGCTAGGGAACTTTCCGACCAATCTTTTATCGAATTTTCTTCTCAATAAACTTTTCGTTTTAAATATCCCTATATAAAGTAGGCAAGTTATTCATGTTTAAAAACACAAAAAAATAGGAAAAAAATATGTTGATAGATGTTTTATAAACCGAAAAAAATATAAGGGAAAAAAAGTCGGAAAGGGATCCGTCGGAGAGGTGGCCGTCGGAAAGTTCCCTAGCGATATGAAAAAAATTCGGAAAAAGGGCGAATTTTGTTTGAATTTCTGCTTGTGTTTTTCATACCACCGTTCAACCAGCTTTTTCCTTTCTGGAAAAAAATTTCTTCTGCTTACAGACCCTAGACGAACGGTTTACGAAGGACACGCCGAAAGACTACACGTGAAACTTGGATCTTTCCTTATGGAACTTTTTTTCTAATAAAAAAATTTCATTGTTTTTCTTCTGCCTTTCAGAAACATCTCATCACAAAAACAGTTTCTGTTGTTAGGTTTTTTTAATTTGATTAACTAAGCAGCTTGTTTTTTTACATTAATTTTTTTCAAGAAGGTAATGCTCATCATCTTTATTCAAACAAATGATAGAGAAAAATAAACGCGTAATAAAACAAAAACAAAAATCATTGAAAGAGAAGTTAAAAAGCTGTGTATTTGACAAAAATCGAGACATGGTAAATTCCAAATTTATCCGGCTGGCCACAAACAACAATGTCTTGTTCGAATGAGCTGAAAAAAATTCAATACTTTTCTTTTTAATGAAATGAACCAGTTATTGAAAAATTGTATAGATAAAAAAACCTTCCATTTTCTTCTTGACCGTTGCGTCGAAAAATCACGGATTTATGCTTGACTGTAGAGACGAAAAATTTTTGCGTTACCTTCACACGAGCCGCTCGTGCCTCCCTAACGAGTCTAAAAATTTTTTTGTGAAAAAGAATCAAAAATTTGTAAAAAAATAACTGCGAAAAAAAGTTTTTTTGAATGAAAAATTACCTTTTTTTCAACTTTAGCACTTTCGGTAATCCAATACCCGCCATAGTTTAGAGACCTGCAACTTCAAACACTCTGATACATCCGTTGGATAAACACGATAAATTCGAAATTTGAGAAAAAAATTGAACTTTTTTTAAGTTCAGACAGTCGAAAAAAATTAACTTAAGGCTTTCATTCGTACTATTTCTAAAAATCAATAAATTTGAACGGGTTGAAAATTGAAAAAAATAAAAAGAAAAAAATTATCTAAAAAAAGAAAAAAAGAAGAAAAAAATTATCTCGAAATTATCTCAAAAATCGAAATTCGCTAATTTCGAAGTATCGCCGTGAACGCTCTTTTGAATTTCGAAAAAAATTTCGCGTTTTGCTCCTGAACGCGCCATAATGAAAAACAATAATCAAATCAACAAATACAAAAAAATTAATTGCGAAAAATTTTGAAAAATTTCCTTTTTTTCCGCGTTTGATCGTTGCGAGACCCAATGCTGCAGCACCCTGCGTAGCAGGCGCGTCGCGGCCCCTCGAAATGCCAATTTTCAGGATTTCGGGTTTTTCAAATTAAACGAGAAAAATCGTTACTTTTTTATTTTTTTCGATTCCCCGAAATTACTTTGAACACGGCATTAACTTTTTGAAAAAAATTATTTTTTTATTATTTTTTTGATTTTTCACAGAAAAGCTAAGCTCGATAAACCGATTCATTCAATATTTTTTTAGATAGATTATGAATTCGTAGTGTTCAATGAAACTTGTTGAAAAAGGGTAATTTTTCAAGTCTGCCTTCTAATTTTAGGCCAAAGTTTCTTTTTTTATAACTATATCTTTTCTTTTTTTCTGTAATTTTTCTTTAATCTTATGAATATATGCAAGTTTTTATTCTTGAATCTAGCTTTTTATATTCTGTTTTGTTGACTTTCATGGCGCGTTCAGGAGCAAAACGCGAAATTTTTCGAAATTCAAAAGAGCGTTCACGGCGATACTTCGAAATTAGCGAATTTCGATTTTTGAGATAATTTTGAGAAATTTCAAAAAATAGCGAGAAAATTGGTTTCGCGCGAAATGGGTTACGGTATATTGACATTTTGTGTGCCAAACGCAGTTTTTTTCTCTTTTTTTCTTTTTCAGATAATTTTTTTCTTTTATTTTTCAATTTTCAACCCGTTCAAAGTTATTGATTTTAGAAATAGTACGAATGAAAGCCTTAAGTTAATTTTTTCGACTGTCTGAACTTAAAAAAAGTTCAATTTTACTCAAATTTCTTTATTTATCGTTTTTATTTTTTTTTTCCAACGGATGTATCAGAGTGTTTGAAGTTGCAGGTCTCTAAACTATGGCGGGTATTGGATTACCGAAAGTGCTAAAGTTGAAAAAAAGGTTAATTTTCATTCAAAAAACTTTTTCGCAATTATTTTTTACAATTTTTGATTCTTTTCACAAAAAAAAATTTAGACTCGTTAGGGAGGCACGAGCGGCTCGTGTGAAGGTAACGCAAAATTTTCGTCTCTACAGTCAAGCATAAATTCGTGAGTTCTCTTATTCTTCGATATTATTTTCTTTTGTTTTCAATATGTCTTGTCTGTTCAGTTGTACACGAAAAATGAATACCACGGTTCAACCGGTGGTATGAAAAAAAGAACAGCAAAAATTCGAACGACCACTTTTCCGATTATTTCATATCGCTAGGGAACTTTCCGACTAATCTTTTATCGAATTTTCTTCTCAATAAACTTTTCCGTTTTTAAATATCCCTATATAAAGTAGGCAAGTTATTCATATTTTAAACACAAAAAAATAGGAAAAAATATGTTGATAGATGTTTTATAAACCGAAAAATATAAGGGAAAAAAAGTCGGAAAGGGATTCGGCAGAAAAGTGGCCGTCGGAAAGTTCCCTAGCAATATGAAAAAATAGAAAAAGTCGCCGTTTGAATTTCTGCTTGTGTTTTTTTCATACCACCGTTCAATCAGCCTTTCTTTTCTGGAAAAAAATTTCTGCTGCTTACAGGCCCTAGACGAACGGTTTACGAAGGACACGCCGAAAGACTACACGCGAAACTTGGATCTTTCCTTATGGAACTTTTTTTCTAATAAAAAAATTCATTTTTTTCCTCTGCCTTTCAGAAACATCTCATAACAAAAACAGTTTCTGTTGTTAGGTTTTTTTAATTTGATTAACTAAGCAGCTTGTTTTTTTACATTTATTTTTTTCAAGAAGGTAATGCTCATCATCTTTATTCAAACAAATGATAGAGAAAAAATAAATGCGTAATAAAACAAAAACAAAAATCATTGAAACGAAGAAGAAGTTAAAAGCTGTGGATTTGACAAAAATCGAGACATGGTAAATTCAAATTTATCCGGCTGGCCACAACAATGTCTTGTTCGAATGAGCTGAAAAAAATTCAATACTTTTTCTTTTAATGAAATGAACCAGTTATTGAAAAATTGTATAGATAAAAACCTTCTATTTCCTTCTTGACCGTTGCGTCGAAAATCACGGATTTATGCTTGACTGTAGAGACGAAAATTTTGCGTTACCTTCACACGAGCCGCTCGTGCCTCCCTAACGAGTCTAAATTTTTTTTTGTGAAAAGAATCAAAAATTGTAAAAAGTGATTGCGAAAAAGTTTTTTGAATGAAAATTAACCTTTTTTTCAACTTTAGCACTTTCGGTAGTCCAATACCCGCCATAGTTTAGAGACCTGCAACTTCAAACACTCTGATACATCCGTTGGAAAAATAAAAAAACGATAAATAAAAGAAATTTGAGTAAAATTGAACTTTTTTTAAGTTCAGACAGTCGAAAAAAATTAACTTAAAGCTTTCATTCGTACTATTTCTAAAAATCAATAACTTTGAACGGTTTGAAAATTGAAAAAAATAAAAAGAAAAAAATTATCTGAAAAAAAGAAAAAAAGAGAAAAAAACTGCGTTTGGCACACAAAATGTCAATATACCGTAACCCATTTCGCGCGAAACCAATTTTTCTCGCTATTTTTTTTGAAATTTCTCAAAATTATCTCAAAAAAATCGAAATTCGCTAATTTCGAAGTATCGCCGTGAACGCTCTTTTTGAATTTCGAAAAAAATTTCGCGTTTTGCTCCTGAACGCGCCAT